ACCCATCAACCAGTTTCATTCTTTTGCTTCATCCACTCTTAAACATTCGTTCTTTTTGCCCAGCATGAAGGTTTCTACTTCTGCGGGCGCGCTCGCCGCTCTTTCTTTCGTTTCTTCTACTACTGCAGCATCCAACTCTTCTTCCACCCTTACCAACGCCATTCTCGCTGACGGATATGGTATGTAGACGCCTCTAACATGTGACAGCTTTCCACTTGTATCTAACTTCTCTCCAACAGTCTCCCTCGGCCGTTTCGACGATGCTTACCAGAAGGCCAAGGCTTTCGTCGCCACTCTCGACACCGCCGCCAAGGTTTCCATCATCACCGGACAGAGCGTTACCGGCAACGCCACCTGGACCGCTCTGAACAATAAGGATGGTGCTTCCGGCATCAACTACCAGTTCTACGTCTCCGGCTTCAGCATGGCCAACGCTCTGACCATGAGCTGGAACCGTCAGCTCATCGAGGAGCAGTTCAAGGCCATCGGTGACGAGTTCTACGGCATGGGCTACAACCTCATCAACGGACCCGAGGCCGGCCCGCTCGGCCGCACCCCCTACGGCGGAAGAACCCCCGAGACTTTCGGTTCCGACCCCTACCTCACCGGTATCGCCATGGGTAAGGCCATCTCCGGCATGAACTCCGCCGGTGTCATCGCCGGTGGCCGCCACTTCCTCCTCAACGAGCAGGAGACCAACCGATCCTCCGGCATCTCTGCCACCACCACCAACGTCTACTCCTCCAACGCCGACGACAAGACCATTCACGAGCTCTACTCTTGGCCCTTTGCCGACGGTGTCCAGGCCGGTATGATGGCCGTCATGTGCGGTATGACCCGCGTCAACGACACCCTCTCTTGCGAGAACAACGCCCTCGTCAGCAAGCTCCTCAAGAAGGAATTCGGTTTCCTCGGTCTCGTCTTCCCCGATGTCAACTCCCAGTCCACCTCTTACGGCTCCGCCAACGCCGGTCTCGACTACGGCTCCAGCACGTACTGGACTGAGGACATCCTCAGCGCCGGTATCACCAACGGCAGCTTCACCCAGGCCCGCCTCGACGACATGGTGGTCCGCAACGTCATCGGATACTACTACGTCGGCCTCGACGACGGCAAGCAGCCCTCCAAGGCCTCCACCACCGAGTACCGTGATGTCCGCGGCAACCACTCCAAGCTCATCCGCCAGGTCGCCGGCGAGTCTATTGTCCTGCTCAAAAACTCCAACACCTCCGGCCTCGGTCTTCCCCTCCAGAAGCCCCGCACCATCTCCCTCTTCGGAGCCCACGCCGGCCCTGCTCTCGCCGGCCCCAACCAGCCCTTCAGCGTTCAGGGTACCGACAGCGACGTCTACCAGGGTCACCTTGCTTCCGGCACCGGCTCCGGTCAGCTCTCGCTCCCCTACCTGGTTACCCCTTTCCAGGCCATCACCCAGCGCGCCATTGACGACAACAGCATGATCTGGTGGCTCCTGAACAACACCTACACCTCCACCTCTTCCGGCGGCATGTCTGGCGGTGGCGGCAGCCCTCCCGGCGGTTCTTCCAGCAACAGCACCGGTGGCGGCATGGGCGGCAGCACTGGCGGTAACAGCACCGGCGGAGGTATGACCGGTGGCGGCGGCGGTGGTCTCGGCAACCTTGGCCAGGGTACCGCCATGACTCCTTCCTTCACCAACTACGCCGAGAACTCCGAGGTCTGCATTGCCTTCATCAACTCCTACTCCGGTGAGGGTGGTGACCGCAGCCTCCTCTACGACGACGAGCAGGATGCCATGGTCACCTCCGTCGCCTCCAACTGCAACAACACCGTCGTCGTCGTCAACACCGCCGGCCCCCGCATCCTCGACGCCTGGATCGACAACGAGAACATCACCGCCGTCATCTACTCTGGTCTCCTCGGCCAGGAGAGTGGTAACGCTATTGCCAATGTCCTCTACGGCGACGTCAACCCCAGCGCCAAGCTGTCCCACACCATCGCCAAGGACGCCGACGACTACCCCGTCTCCCTCTGCTACACCGAGGACTGCGACTTCACCGAGGGTGTCTTCATCGACTACCGCTACTTCGACTCCAAGAACATGACCGTCCGCTACCCCTTCGGCCACGGCCTCAGCTACACCGCCTTCACCTACGGCAAGGTCGACGCAAAGGTCACCAACCAGACCGCCGCTTCCTCCATCTACCCTACCGGTACCCTCGTTCCCGGTGGTGAGGAGGACCTCTTCGAGGAGGTCATCAGCGTCAAGACCAACCTCAAGAACGACGGTGGCGTCCAGGGCGCCGAGGTCGCCCAGCTCTACATCAGCTTCCCCTCCGAGGCCGCCCAGCCCCCTCGCGTCCTCCGCGGCTTCGAGAAGCTCAACCTCGCCCCCGGTGCTTCCGGTGACGTGACCTTCAGCGTCCGCAGACGCGATGTGAGCTACTGGGACACCGTTGCCCAGCAGTGGGCTATTGCCAAGGGCAAGTACACCTTCTCTGTCGGCTCCAGCTCGCGCGACATCCGCGCCTCGGCGGACATCACGATCTAAGGCAGACCAACTTTGAGTTTTTTTTTCTTTGTACATACTTTTTTGGAAGTCAACTGTGCTTGTCGTTTTGATCGGACTCGCTGTGCTATAGATATAGACTAGATACCTCTTGCTGCAATTCATTCTCTTTTACAACATGTTTTAAAATTTTGCTCCTGAATTATTGTATCCCATGACGAATAAGTGACCAAAATACACCTAAGTTGACTCGTATTGAACATTACTCGAGACACAAGAAGTGAAGGCAAGGCTTGGTTCACTCGTATATTCACCATGGCATCGTTCTGTGCTCCGATGAATGAACCAGTCCATAATATTCAGATTATTGTAGTCCGGAAAAAAAGAAGGAACGAAACAAAATGACACATTCAAACCCAAGAGCGACCTAGACAATCCCGGTCCTGCCCCTCAAAATTGTGATTCAGAGGTATTAGTTTCGCTTCAGCTACAAAGCCTTCTTCAAGGCCTCTTTCATCGAGAACAGCATCTCTTTACTACAACACATGAAGGCTTTGGTTAAGAGGCATTATTTTCCCTTAGCTGAAAAGACTTCTTTGGTGCCTTTTTCAACATTTTGATGCAAATTTCTTCAACTACATCACTACTTCTTCAACAGCATCACGATTTTATACATGGCGCTACAGCAATCGTATCCATTGCCCCGAGTACCCCCACGACCACATCGTCCATGACTCTTGCGGGCACTTTACCCGTGAGCTCAATCACAGCAAGCTCATCCCTGGTAACGCCATTGCCGGCCTCGTGGTTATGGAACTGCGCGTACGACTTCTCGAACATCGTGACTTCTTCAATATTATTTCAACTTATTCAACAACATCGCGACTTCTTCAACATTGCGACTTCTTCAACATTGCGACTTCTTCAACATTATTCCAACTTCTTTACCATCATCGCGGCTTCTTCCTATCAATAACTACAGCACAGGCTTACAAAAGACAGGACACCATCGTGACGAGCGGCCTCGGAAGCAGCGATCAACAGTAAGTCTTTCCAAGAAAGAGCCATCCGGAAAGATGGGCTGACTTTGTATTCAGGCTCTGCGCAAACGTCTACTTCAGCCAGACATACCGTTTCAAAGCCCTCTTCTCCTTCAACGCCATCAGCACATTGATACCACACGCAAGACATTACATAACGGCTTTGATTCAACAGTGGCAATTTCGAATCAGCTACAAAGTCTTCTCCGAAACCTATTCCAACATCATTAGCACATTTGTGCCACAAACACGATAGGTCATCACCATGAGCAGCTTCGGAAGGAGCGATGAAGAGTGAGTCAAGAGCGACCCGAAGTCCGGGTTGGTCTCATGTTAGGCTCAGCGAAGACGCAGCTTCTTCGACTGGGAATACATCAGACCGTATTCATCACTTGAAAGGATCGACATTGACGAACTGGAATATATATAGGCTCCTCAAGACTGGCATATTCTCAGACTGCCAGGTCAGGTGCGACGGCAAAACGTGGAATCTACACAAGTCCATCCTGTGCGGCCGCTCCAAATACTTCATGAGATGGTTGGTTGGCGATTGGCCGGTATTTTCACCTGAACACAGACAGATTGAAAACGTCAGATCTGACCTGTTGATAGGAGGCCAAAGCTGGCATTGTCGAGATCACCTGCTTCACTGCACAACAGATGGACTGGATCATTTCCTGGATCTACACCGGTGGTAAGCAGATTCCTCCCCTTCTCTCATATTGGTTATTCTCCCCTGCACTTCTTTCATGAGGATGGACGGGAACGGCAACTGGCTTTCAATCAGATTGATTAGATGCAACATGCATTTCTTCGATATCTCAAGCTTCACTAAGAATAACTTGGAGTATGTTGGCTAATAAAAGATTTTTGGACGAACAGAATTCGACTTTCACAGCGCTGAGCAGAACAACACCCTCCTGCACACCTCCGTACAGCTCTGGACGTTAGGTGATTACTTCCTTATGCAGAACCTCTGCTCTCGCGCCGAGCGGGAGTTCAGAAACCTGACATGGCGAGCACGAGGGGCACCCTACCACCCCGACCGCCAGGATTGGCTTAATGCCGGCCGCCTGATCTACACCGACTACGAAGATTTGGACAGCACGCACAGCCTCAAGGAGAGGTTCCTGGACCTTACGCTAGCTAAGTCATGGGTCAGGAAGCAGAATCTCCAGATGCCTGAGTTCAAAACTCTTTGCCAGGAGCATCCCAAATTTGGCAATGACTGCATGATGAAGCTTGTTGACGATCGTATCTCACGGCTTCAGTGATCTGAGATACCTGGGCGGGCATTGGAGACACGAGAGAGGTCCCTGAATTTTGCTTCCAGACGATTCCGGACCTGAGATGAACATGAAGGGGCTGGATGTGCATTGGAGGGACTCGGGAATGGGTTTCCAATATGAGTTACAAAGGCACGACTAACATGGTGACGGGACACCCGTTGCGAGGAGGAGCTCAAGGCCAATGATGCATCTACAGGGGCTCCAACTTATTTACCTTAGTTACCTACAACGTTCTTACAGAGAATAACTAGCTTTCATCAGTACCACCTTCTGCTGATCTTGCTGTTCCCGGCTTTCGGCAACACCGTGAACTTGGCCGTCAGACCCTTCCAGCTCTCACTTATCTGAGGATCAGCAAAGGGTAGAAGAACCGCAAACCTCATGCTATATCCAGGTCAGCATCGTATGATCCAAGGTCCATCGCCTGCTAGTGAAGATGAAATAAGAACTCACGTGTAGTTCCCCGGTGTCATAACACTCCCGTCACTCAACTTGCCAAACTAGTAATACGTCGTTGTGACCCACCCGTCGTTAACGCGTTCCTCGCCACATCAGTCTCTGGGAATGAGAAAATGTCGCTGGCGTTGTGACGAGCAGGGTGGAAGCTTGACGTCTTGCCAGCAGATGTCCAGGACGTGGCCGAGCCAATGAAGCCTTGTCTTCCAGGCACGGGAGGGTATTCCCAGTCTCGGGCCTCTTCATAGTCGGATTCGTAGATCTGGCGCTCTGGATTAATATCAATCTGGACTGCAAAGGTTTTGGGTGTTAGAGATGACATACATCCCACCGAACCTCTCTTGTCCCCCATTTGACCTTCATGAACATCATGGGGAAGTCCTGTATACCGCTGGCGAGTTCGAAACTGAAGCTGTGCCTCGAGTTAGCCTCGCTCATACCTCATCAGTGGCGAACTCATGTCGTCTTGTTGCTGTACGTGCTCGTCGACCTCAACCACGGGTAGGTCCCATGGAAAGGGCTCTCCATCTGCTTCTGCAAGTCGAAAGCAAGTCCTTGGTACGGAACGCCGACAGTCTCCCCTTTGCTGCCCTTGACAAGAACGCGGCTACCATACGCTGGGAGCGCTGTCTGGTTGACACCTTCAGGCACCTCAAAGACAAACCTGATAAAGTCAGCATCACGTTCAATAACGGCGATCGAAAGAGAGATACTCACTCTGCCCTCCTCTCCTCTCCGGGACCCAGCACAATGTCGTTCGGTATCGACGCTCTCGCCGAGATGTTACTGGGCACAATCTCCGCCCTGTACCTAATCCTCGGCGTCTCTCCCGGATCCCGTCGCCCTGGCCGCGGATACCTTGTTCGTGGAGTTTATCGACACCCGTGGCCCAGTGAACTGCGTGCGCTGATGCCGCGCTCGGGTCGACTGCGACTTGGCGCTTGACGGGGGCGATGAGGGTTGCTTTTGTATTCGGCCAGAAGGCTACGATGTCCGGGAGGACGAGGAGGGATTCGAGGGTGTGGTTGTTTGCTTCTAGACTTGCGCCGGAGAAGATTGATGAGTCGTAGGTTTTGAGGACGCGGATTCCTGTGGAGGAGGAGAGTTCGTCGCGTTTGGTTTTTGTGTGGGTGCCCTATTTGAAGTTAGTGTGAGGAGCTTCACAGGGATGGATGAGACTTGCGCTGGCGAATTCAATGATGAAGCGACTTGCTTCAATCTCACGAGAGTCCTCGTCGGTTGTATCTTGAGCGGTGGCCTTGCCGACTAAGGCGAGGGCGGACAAGATCCAAAGGCAGCGCATCGTGGCTTTCGGCGATAGACTTCACCTTCGCCTTCACAAGTTTGCTGCAAGTGATGAGCGCATCGCGATGGGCATAGTGACTAGCATTGCGCGCATCCCGGCTTTTAAACCATCGCGATAACTCATCGTACACTTCTCTGCGCACATTGCCCAGTCTCCAGCGTTGCGTATCAGTTGTCCCGCCTCTCGTGCGAGCAAGGGTTCTTAATGTGCTCGTTGATAATCCAAGCTCGGAAGAGGAAGCTCAAAGAGGGAGGTCGAAAGCGGTGCTGGGTCCGATATCGCCATTTCAGGATGTGCCAAGACAAGACTGGGTGAGTGGAAGGTCAGTTTTGATGAGATGATGGATAAATTGAGCAAAGTCGAGTCTTTGAGATGTTTGGTTCTTCACGACTATCAACTTGTCGCATCGACCATCAAATCGCAATACTCTCATGATGAATGAGAGATGACAATATTTGCCCTACGAAGAGCATCCAGAACGGCCTCTCCGGCGAAATATTGTAGTATTCGCCAACGAGATCCACACGACTGGGATCTTGAACCTGCGCAAACGTGCTCTCTGGGGAATTGCCAATATTTCTTATCACAAATTGCCCATCACCGCGAGAGGAAACGAGTTCGTGGTGCTGTCAATCTGTCAGCCGCAGTCAGTTTCTCACAATCGGGTTGCCAGTTTCATCCAAACATTTCCAATCTTGAACAAACGATTCGTCCCAAGGAGCAAACAAGCTTGAATTGAGTTTCGGCCATGCCGCCCGAGCGTATGCCAGGGACCGGGCTGTAGATCCGACGATCTCGAGCACAGCCGCTGTCAATGTGACGTTGTTTTCTGGGGCGGTTACACACACCCGAATTGGAGTGCTGGGTGCATGTGAAAGAAGCATCACGAACACCAGATTGAAAACACAGACATCAGGTCCAATGTGTAGGATGAGAATATAGTCTATATGCATCTAGCCCGTCTCTTTGGGCTGTCCCGCTCCCATGCTGAGCCCTATGCATCATGCCTCGTATCAACTACCTCCCCATGTTGCTCGATGACTTGTCGCTCTGTTCATCGGCGTGTGTGTGTATGAATATCAAAACATGTAAAAAAACAAAAACAAAAACAAAAACAAAAAAACAACGCAAATACCGGCGGCTGAAAAAAATCAAGAATGCCGCTTTCTATCCATACTCCCGGCTGCATGACTCCCCCAGCTGTATGCTATTCTTCCATCACAGCTTACTTGGCTTCTTCTTCAGTCACTTCTCCGACTCGGGAATGTGTCCCTCGACAGTGCTGAGAGCAGCCAAGTTGACCTGACCAAAGTGCTCGTGAGCCTCGCCGCCGAGACCGACTCCGGTCAGCAGCGCGACGCACTCAACCACGTCCTCGGGCTCCAGCAGATGCCATCTTGCAAGGGTGACCTTTGTGCTGGCGCCGACGGTGACGGTGAAGATGTGCTCGTGCTGGACCTCGGTGCCCGACAGGCCGTTGAGAGCGCGGAACATGTCCTCGTCGGTGAAGTCGTCGCCAAGGCAGAGGACGAACTCGACAGGGCCGGGGTGTTTCTCGGACGCGGGTGCCGAGTTGTAGGTGTGTACGAGGCGCTTCGCAATCTCGCCCTTGTTGATGAACGTCGGCCTGACCTCGAGGTTGGCCTTGCCTGCCATGACTTCGACATCCCACTTTTGAGCGACCGTTGACTCGAGCTCCTTTTGGCATTCGCGGGCCATGTGGATGCCCTGCTCGGGGTCGGCAAGACGGTAGTGCCATGTGAGGGCGCAGCGCTTGCGCTCGACAAAGGAGCCTTGTCCATGTTAGCAAATGTTCTTGTTGATAGGAGTTCAGTGAAAGGCATTGCAAACGTACCGGGCACTCTGTCAGTGAAGGACTGGAAGCAGGCCATGACCTCAGTTTGCCAGCCCATGTCGAACTCGTCGGCGAGGTTGACCCACTCATCGGAGCCGGGGTTCTTCATGAAGCTGCCGTGCTCAGCGCTGAAGCCGAGGCCGGCAATGTGGCCTAGGTGCTGGGTGAGGAACTCTTGATCGCGGCCCGAGATGATCCAGACAGCGTTCTGCTCATCGCTGGCGAGGGCCTTCAAGGTCTGCAGGACGCGCTCGGAGGGGACCGCGGCGCTGGGCTCGCGGACGATGGGGGTGAGGGTACCATCGTAGTCGAACATGAAGAGGCGCTTGCCGGCATCGCGGTAGGTCTTGAGGAGGGTGGCGCGGTCGAGGAGCGGGGTGGCAGCAACGTTCTTCTGGGTGCCGAGGACGTGGACGTGCTTGCGGATGAAGTTATCGATCCAGCTCTGGACGTTTCGGGTGGTGACATGGTTGTAGAGGTTGGCCTGCATGTGCAAGCGCTTCTCGGGGGTCATTGTGAGGGCATTGTTGATCTCGACAGCGACACCGCTGAGGTCCCAGGGGTTGATGTGGATGGCGTCCTTGAGGCTACCAGCGGTACCGCTGAACTCTGAGAGGATGAGGGGGCCGTGACCCTCGCGCTGGCAGATGACATACTCCATGCTAGTCGTGTTCATGCCGTCGCGGACCGAGGTGATGAGGCCAATGTCGGCGGCGCGGAGGAGAGCAAAGTACTCGTCTTGGCTAAGGTACTGGGGGTAGTGCTGGACGGGGGAGAAGCCCAAGCTGCCGTACATGCCGTTGATGCGCATGACGAGCTCGTTGACGCGGGTCGCGATGCGACTCTCGGATCCATCGTCGTCCTTTTCCTCCTCGATGCTGGTGGGGGAGGTGACCTGGATGAGGACGACCTTCTCGCGCCAGTCGGGGTACATTTCGAGGAAGCGCTCGAAAGCCTGGAGCTTCTGGGCGACACCGCGAACCGAGTCGAGGCGGTCACGGCCCACGACAATCTTCTTGCCCTCGTACAGCTTCTTGAGGGCGTCGTACTTTTCGGTGACGGCGTCGGTCCAGGCGTACATTTCGCACTTGTCGGCGTTGATGCCAATGGGGAAGACGCCGACCTGCACGCGGGCACCGTAGGCATCGACACCACCGCTATCCGAGGGAAAGCCCAGAACACGGGTGCAGCAGCTGGAGAAGTGGCGCGAGTAGCTGTAGGACTGGAAGCCGACCAGGTTCGAGCCGAGGACGCCCTCGAGTACCTCCTTGCGACGCGGCAGGCAGCGCAGGAACTCGGAGGAGGGGAAGGGCGAGTGAAGGAAGAAAGAGATGTTCATGTTAGGGACACGCTGGCGGAGCATGCTGGGCAGTAGCATGAGGTAGTAGTCGTGGACAATCACAATGTCGCCGGGCTTGTAGAGGTCGATGATGCGGTTGGCAAACTTTTGGTTCATGCGGTAGTAGTCGGCCCATTGCAGGCGCTCCTTGCGACCGTCGGTGGGCTCGTGCTGCTTGTAGTGGAAGAGAGTGTAGAGATCGTGCTCAGCGTAGCGGCGCCAGCGGCTCTGGTCCTTGAGGAGAATGCCCTCTTCTTGCTGCTCATCGTCGTCGCAGAGCCAGACGGGCACCGTCTTGATGGTCTTGTTATGGGCGAGCTGGGTCTCGAGGCGGGCCTGGTCCTCCTTGGGAAGCCAGAGGCCCTCGCTGGGGGGCGGCGTAGGCAGGCGGGCATCGCTGTCGATGGGGATGGGCGCGGAGAGGGTGTTGAGGGAGGAGAAGTGTACGGTCGTGGCGGGTGGGGTGCCAGGCGGAGAGAGGACGTCTTGGGGCGTATCGATCTCGCCGGTCCAGGCGACGACGGTGTGGTTCCAGGGCGTCTCGTCGGAAGAGAGGTAGGCAAAGGAGTCGAAGAGGGCGGACTGGCCGCGGCGCGCCTTTAATTCCTGTGAGGGCCATGATGTCAGCGGGGTTATTCAGGATCGCGATCAAGGGAGATAGATGGTGGAGGAGCGCGATTGAGGGTATTGAGGGAGAAGAAGCTGTAGGGACGGACAATGGAAGCGATTGTTGAAGGAAGACGATAGAAAACTCACCCAGTCGGAACCTTTGCGGTACTTGAGGGAATGGGGAATGTTGAAGGTGGCCGAGATGATGTTGCCGCTTAGCTGCAGGTCTGGGTTGGCGCTGCGAATCTGGGAGAGGGACTCGCGACGGCCCATGGCGGCGAGGGTCATGCGCTTGAGGATGTCGCCGGGACCTGGCGACGGAGGGACCTTGTTTGTGTTATTTGTCGACGAGTTTGAGGGTGACGATGTCGGGTTGCTGGTGATGTTGCTTGTGCGAGTGTGAGAGTCGTTGGTTGTGTAGTTGGAGGGAGGGAAATAGCTGCTACCGCTGGGCGATTGGGCGCGCGAGCTGTCGGCAGAGTTGTACGTGTGCTGGTGGATGCCCGGCGTCACGGCGTCCGACAGGGCGATGCTTCTGAGTACGGGGTTGGCGGGGTTGACGGGCATAGGATTGACGGCCGTCGAGTCTGGCGCGGGGGAGTTTTGCTGCTCCATGACTCGTTATTTCTGTCTCTCTCTCTCTCTCTCTCTTTTCTTTGTTCTCTTGCGACGCTGCGTCTCTCTTCTCTACAGCCTGAAGGGGGGTTGGTGGTGGTGCTGAGTGTAGTGAGTGTGGTGTTGTGCCGGGGGGGGGGGGGACGTGTAGAGTTTGGCTTAGCGGCGGTCCCGAGGTACAGGGGACAGGAGAAAGAGGCCGAAGGGGGGAGACGGGCAGATTATTCAGACGAGCCTCAAGTGGGAAATGTGACCCTGCGACAAGGGTCTGGATGAAGGGATGAAGTGAGGGTGGTGATGCTTCGTCTAGTAGTGAAAGGTGAAGGTGAAGGTGAAGGTGAAGTTGAGAGGAAGGGAAGAAAAGGCAAAAATGGGAAGATGGAAAGAGAGAGAGACTACTCGGTAGTTTCCTCAGAAAGTGACGGACAAAGACAGACTAAAAGACGGTTGACCGCTTGGAGGCTGGACCTGAGCTGGGGCTGGACCGGGGGGGATCTGGAGACTCAAGACGGAATATGGGGGAGGGATGCAGCAATGGAGAGGAATAGACGAAGAGAACCAAAGACCAGAGACCAAAGAAAAGAGACCGGGGCAACAGAACACGCAGTAAGCAACCAAACAAGCTTGAAGCTACCGTCACTGATCTGATGGCAAACCAAACCAAACGAAGCCAACGGTGAGAGGTGAGTTCAGAGTGACGGGGGAGACGCAAAGTTGACGGGGGTTTGGAGCCGGGGTGAATTCCAGGGCCTACGGATCGATAGAATGTGACTGTTGAGTCCAAGCAATGGGGCAAAGGTGAATATGCTCCTCGGTGGATATTCTCGTGGGATTCTCTCTTGGTGTGCTCTCTTGCTGATGGTAATCTTAGTGCTGTGATACGATAATGTAGTAGAGGTATCTTTCCGCAGTGAGCACACACGAAAGATACTTTGTATCAGAGAGTACGACAGCTGCAGGACGCTTTGCTCTTATCCTCTGTGCCTCTTCTCCAGTCTGGTGAGCGTGTGGGTGGGTGGTCTTCTCCGGCCCAGGCCAGTCTCCCAGTCTCCAGAGTCCTGAGCAGAGTCCAGAGTCTCCAGAAAACACAGGAGAGCGTCGCCAGGGATCGCAGGTTGACAGACGGACTGAACACGGCAGAACCCACAACTGCTTGCCCACGAGCTTGGTGATTGGCCTTGGTAGGCGATGCCAATGTCGCTGTATTGCTTGGTAGAGGCTTGTACCGTTGCGTCAGGGATCTCTCTGCTCTCCATCGTCTTTCTATCTATCTGCTTTCCTCTCTAGTGGTGAAGTTGACAATAGTGAATACGTAGTACGGATAGACAGTTCAACAAGACGAATATGCCAGGTAGTCTCCCAGTCAACTGTCCGTGTCTCGGAGCTGAACCACAGTAGAAATCATAGTAGATGCCCCAAATCGAGATGCTCAAAGGTGCTGAACGGTTCCAGACAGAAACTGACAGCGAGGGAACCGTCTATTTTGGTGCCACATAATCCTGGAGGATGCTGGGACGCGGGAGGATACCGTGGTCAAGCTCTGGCGTTTTCCAGCTTGTTCCTCTCTGCGTCCAGAGCATTTACCGGGAGGACTCCAGGAGATGGAGAGATGGAGGTGGGGGAGGGGAGAATCATTCCGGGATTGGGCGTGGAGCATTACCAGGAGTAGACACAACCAGACCATCTTGACCAAGGTCTTGGACATGTAACGAGCCAAGTGGAAATAGCTGCGTCATAAGTCTCTCCACACCCCTTCAATGCGGCGGGATACACCGAGAATACCTCCTCGAGACTCGCCCGATACCTGGACCTTGTTCCCCCCCCCCCCTTGGCGCACCTGGTTCGGATGGGACGAATTGCTAGAGCACCGGTGGTGGTCCTTGGTCCTTGGTACCTATCCATACACTCATAGAGCTTCAACAAGATGGTGCCGAGTTGACAGGTTGGTGGTGGGTTGGTGGGATGTGCCCTGGTCGATGCCACTGTCTCTTGTCTGCTCTCTGCTCTGTGCTTCCTGCGGCTTGCCATTGTCTGTGTGCCCTATGATGTCTCTGTGATGCAACACAAATTGCATCTCTGGAAAATCCAATTGTTCGACCAACCACTCCAACAAATCTTCAACAACCCCCTGTGCTGGGCAAGTACGTAAGGAAATACTGAGAAGGGGAAACACAAGAAGATACAGTTATTGACAGAAAACAACACCACAGCGGGACTGAGTAATGATCCCATCCCCCAGTCCAAAGTCCACAAGCCTCTTTGCTCTCAACAGTTGATTGGGCTTTGCACTAGCAGCATCCAGACAACACAATGTGAGCCGAGAAAAGGGCGCCGGGCTACAAGCTTGAAGCAGCCACGCAGCTAAAGCATCTCACCATCTCATGGCGTGAGCTGAGCTGAGCCCACTAGAGCTGGCTGCTGGACACTATCCGTTTCTCTACCATTTTCCTACCTACGGGGTAGACGTGGTAGACTACCGTAAACCTGCGGCTGCTCCCCAACTGAAGCCATCCCCGCCACCGTCTGATAGTGTCCGCCCTGCTGGGTGAGCCACATTGAGCTGCCGCCGCGGTCATCCCGGATGGCGCAGACACCATCAGAACATGATGACAGAGCCGCCGTAACTCTGGGTCAAACCACTGTGCAAATGACTCTGATAGTAACCTTTTGAAAAGTTCAGACCCACCTGACGTAATTCGAGGTAATTATCTGCCCCCTTTTTTCTTACTCCGTGTTGACTCGAGTGAGGCTCTCTGCTTTGCTCCACAATAGAGTCGCCTTAAGACTCAAAGCCGATGCGTATCGAATTTGGATAAAGTAACGTTGAACCCGTCCGTGTTCCAGCCTCGGGGCTGTTCCGTCTACCTGTCGTTGATAACTCTAACCGCCTGCTCTGCTCTGTTTTGGTCTCCGAAAAGACGGTGAGCGTTGCGGAATGCGGACTAGGACGCTCTGAGCGACGAAACAACTGGCTGTTCGCTGGCTGCTGCAATGCGACTCCGACTTGCACTTGTTTGACTTGACGCGTTGTGAAGGGCAAAGGCAGACCACAAAGTCTGGTCTATCTCTCTATCAGGCCACGTCGGACGACATAGAGACCAAGTGGTGTTGAGATGCAACCACTCACCCACTGTATTCACTCGAGAGTTGCAGAGTAGTAGACCCGCTCGGAATTGTGAATACATGTACTGAATAACTTAGAGAATGGTGATCTTATTCTGCCCATTCCGGGGCTTTCCTCGAGCACGCTAGGTTCCACCGCCTTTTTGACATGCTCCCCGACATGCAACTCCAGTTTTCAATGACCAACGGCTTGGCTCATGAATGAGTGATGACTGGATGGCTTGATGAGAAACGTGCTTTCAGTCCCCGGTCAACTGTCTTCATTCCATGCATGAGAGTCGACGACGAAGCAGACTCCAACAAACCCGCTAGACCAACAACAGTTGGGGAGCACTACCTCTTGCAGTCTGCATTCTGCATTCTGCAGCCTGCGGCGCCTGGAGATGCCCTCATGCACCCTCGGCCCATTCCCTCTTAGCCCGCACTATCGCCCGCCGGCCTCGCTCCGTTCCCTTCCCAGAATCAGGAGCCGCAGTGCGAGTAACCCATTTTCGGATGGTACAGGCGGAAGGGGAGGGGAGCACGTCCATCCCCATGCCATCTGGATCAGAATTGTGATCCCCGGGACCTTGGGAGGATCTCTTATCAACCTTTTCCAGTCTGTATCGAGTTGGAACTTTGCCATGGCACAGACAGCTAGAGCTTCAGAGCTTTGGAACGCAACTGACGAGTGCCCCTCCCCCTCATCTCTCCATCGTCGTTTCGTCGCTTGGAACCCAACCAAGAACCCCCAAACAAGATGAAAGTCTGTACGGGTACAGACATGCAGCACTTCTGTTTCTCTACCGAGAACGTTATGGCCCGTAGATAGACGACGTCCAGACCGGTCTCCAAGCTCTCACACTCTGCCTAGCATATCCACAGGCCCCCATGGGTCTGCTATCTCGTCACCCCCATATCTTCATCCCGCCTTCACTTCTCATCGGGCCTAGACCCAGCTTCCACCAGGCTACGCTGAGAGGTTGGTTCTCCGTCTCCATCGGCTACTTCCTCTCTTTCGCCGTGGTGCCCCTGGCTGCGCTACCCGACGCTCTCCGAAGCAGCTTCACCACCCAACCCTTCAGTCACGTCAGGCTGAACGGCATCGCGCATCAACTGAGCCATTTTTCCCTCCTGGACTCACCTCTGTGGCTTCCGATGCCACCGACTCTGCCCGAAACTCGATGCAGGCCCGTCGCTCTCCGTCTGATCTCGACGCCCGATCCAACTGCTACTGCATGCTACCACAGATAAGGCGCTTCTTTTGGTCCGAACGAACGGGAGAATCTCCCCGCCCATCAGACCAGGCACATGGCGCCAATCCCGCCTCTCTAGTGGCTGCTGCATCCAAGTAAACACATCTCATCGTGGCCGTAGAGTCCGAAAAGGCCAGCCACGTTTCTTCGTCTTCGGCGGCATTGTGGTTTAAGCCTGATTTCGTGCATCTTGCGTCCCGACAGCTCCATTTAGGAACGTGCTTACTGGCTGCTGTATGTGATCGTTCGGGTCATCCCGCCGAGGGTCATCTCACGGGTGGTGCACCCCTCAACCACTAAAGTCAACCTAATGCCTATGCAAGCTGGGACTTGTTCGTGAATGTCTACAACTCAGTCTATCTATATTGTTGTCGGACTCCTGGGCCTCCATGGTTTGATCGCGTCATATCCAATTGGATTGTCGCATATCAACATAACCCCCGGTGAGTCCCTCGGTGAACTAGGTAATCTCATCGGGAAGTCGAGGGGTCCTTTCAAGATACCGCGGTTTTACTCAGTGACATGCCTTCAAGCCCATGATACGCCAGTTAACCAGGCTCTTTACTAATGAATCACGTGTTCCGTTCTTCAGTCTGTCTTTCCAACCAAGCTCCCGGTGTCTCGATCCACAATTGAACTAGCATGGACGTTCCCATGGGCCCTTACGCCGCTATGCACTCTTGCAGGACCTTTCTCGCGCTGTTTGAGGCTATCCCCATTGCTGAGAATCTGAGAATAACGGCTCTTTGCTCGATCTGTACCCTGACTTGTGACTATGGTTGAATTGGACCCCCTGATTTGTTCATTGTCGCCACATTGAAGAGAGAAGAGAACATTGTTCCAAGTCGCAATGAACAAGTACGAAAGTCCCATCTCCCTAGGCAGCCGTCTCACTGTCGCATTCTGTTGCCGTCCTGCCCGGGTTGGACACTTCTCCTGAAGATAAGAATCACTCTCTGAAGAATTGTCAAATCATATTCAAGCCTGATGTCAAGTTCAACAAGGATTCCCGTCAGCGTGGGTAGCTACGTAAGCATGAGATTGTCCAACATCTACATTGACCCCGCGCTGACTGTCGCTCCAAGGGCGTCAATTCTCCACTTCACTCCGATCAAGTAGATATTACACCTTGTATCGCGAGTAATTGTCCCAGCTCGACTATTAAAGAGAAAAATATACTCAAAGCAACAGCTCATAGATCTCCAACAGACAATTGAGCCATCATCATGTCGTCCCCAACGATCACTCTGTACTACAAGCCCGGCTCGTGCTCCCTTGTAGCCCACGGCCTGCTCCTCCACCTCGGCATCCCCTTCAAGACCGTCCAGCTGAGACCCAACGCCAATAAGCGCTTCGAAGCCGCAGACGGCAGCTTCACCCACGAAGACTACTGCAAAATCAACCCCTCGGGCTACGTCCCGGCCCTCGTCCTCGACAGCGGCGAAGTCATCACAGAGCTCCCGGCCGTCCTGACCTACATCGCCTGCATCGCCCCGCCCGAGCAAACCGACAAGTTGCTGGGTTCCAGCGCCCTCGACCGCGCAAAGGTGAATGAGTGGACCAACTGGCTGAGCGGGACGTTCCTGGGCGCGAGTGTCGCCGCTTGTGCGAGGCCGTACCGGTTCGCTGACGGAGACGAGGCTCGCAAGGCGGTCGTGGACAAGGGCTGGGAGCATATCGTGGAATGCTACGAGAGGATGGAGTCCAGGCTGGAGGGCCGAGAGTGGGCTGTGGGTGACGGCCTGACGGTGGTCGATTTGTACATGTATTACTTCCGGCGGTCGGCGGTGTACATGACCAATTTGGGTGAGTATCCCAATTTTGAGCGCTTGCAGAAGAAGGTGGAGAAGCTGGAGGGGATTCAGAAAGTGTTGGAAGTGGAAAAGCTCAAGCCGGTCTACGAGTGAAGTTATGAGTCTTGATGATACCAGTCGATAATAACATGAACTCTATTGCATCAGTTGATTGCTTAAGAAAAGTTGTTCCCCCTTGCACATTGGCTCAAACAACTTCAACATGTTCAGCATCCTTCTTATCCACTACCCGATCCTCACTCATACCATCTCTGGAGCTCATCTGGTGCCTCTTTCTCCAGATAAGCTTGTCTTTCAACAAATCCTTCTCGAATAGCTCATCCATCTTCTCCAGTGCAAGACCTGAGGAATCATTAGTACCATAGTACTTAAGACTTCATCGCAACAAATTGAACTCACCGGCGGTCTCTGGCACGAAGAACTACGCAAACACAACCATGATGAAGCAAAAAGTGCCGTAAACAAAGTACGTTCCGAACCCGCCTTCACCAAGCGTAGCAAACATGCTTGGCGTAGCTTTGGCGACAACAAAGTTGAAAAGCCACTGACTTGCTGTGGCCATGCCCATCATGACGGCGCGGAGACGAGCGGGAGGGATCTCGGAGCTGTAGGTCCAGACGACAGGGCCCCATCCAAACTGGTAGGTGGCAGCAAATATGTAGATGGCTACTAGAGCGACGTATCCCGGAGCGGTGACGAGCTCACCGGTGATGGGCGGATCAAAGCGGATGTAGAAGCCAACGTAGAAGAGAGCGATGCCCTTGGAAGATGGCATGTTAGTACTTTGAGTATGATGTTTGGCTTGTGAATCCGGCACGCTGACTTACCTGGACGATCCCAGTCCACAACAGACTCTTTCGTCGACCTAATGAGTCTGTGACGAATACGATGAAGACGGTACAGGCAATCAATCATCTTGACGATGCCGTACACGCCAGTCGCAAAGAGGCCGGTCGAAGATCCTGTCAACCCAACACTGGCAAAGATCCGTGGACTGTAATATGTCATTGCGTTAGTGCCCGTTAGGTTACTCCACATCATTAGAGTGATGCAGAGCATACTACGTCTACGGTAAGACTTGATGGTGAAGGCTTCCTTCAGGAGGGTGAAGTGGTTGGCGTTACGGGACAGGGCCCTCTCTTCCTCAAGCTGGCGGGAGATGCCCTCCATCTCCTGTTGAATGTATGGATGATTAGCCGGGAGATGTCGGAGCTTTGCTAGAACGGCTAGAGCTTTATCAGGAGATCTTTGGGCGAGGAAACGGGGAGATTCGTTTATGAGAAGCATGCCGATGGAGAGGATGACAGCTGGAAATGCTTGCAGTCTAGGGCTTGTCAGCGGAGTTGAGGACCCAGGTGAAAACCCGATGCTTACGACAGTGGAAGGATGTACTGTGTGTGGCCCTTGATGTGGAGGAGAGAGCCATAGTTGATCCAGAATGCAAGCTGAATAAAATCTGCGTGAGCACTGAGGTCTAGATGTACACTTATCGTAGGCTAGGGTGGACTGACCGTCAACCCAGTCACAATACTGAGCTGGTAGAGTCCAGTGAGGAGACCTCTGATACCTCGCGGTGCGTTCTCGGAGACGTAAAGCGGGTTGGCAGATGAAGCAATTCCAATGGCGAATCCGGCAATGAGTCTATCACATGAGTTAACTCACCCGTGTCGAGACTCCTACATGGAGCTATGACTGGTCTGCTTACCTGCCCACGTACATGGCCTCGATATGTCCACTAGCAGCTGCCTGGAGTGCCACGCCGATGAAGACCAGTAGCGAAGCGATTAAGAGAGAGAATAGTCGACCAACTCTGTTGGCAAGCCATGTCGAGAACAAGGCACCCGCAAAAGCTCCCGCTTGCATGACGGAAACGATGTTGGACTCCAGGTTGGCCAGCACGGCCTTGGGCTGGTTCTCAAGGCAATATTGCCTGAAAGGAGGCGATATCGGCCAAAATAAATCAAAGGCTGCGGGAATCATAGGCACCTAACTTCTTGAACGTGTCCATGGTCAATACACCTCCGATAATGCCCATATCCATGCCGAAGAGGAGGGCACCGCCGCAAGCTTATGGGTGATTTCTGTGAGTGCCTGACCCTCTATCAACGGTCGAGTAGACGCAACTTACCACTAAACTGACGAGAATGACGCGAGCGTTGTATATCTCGGGAGGGTCGTTTCTCGTCGTCTCATTGCGAACAATCTTTTGCAACAGGCCCATCGTGATCGTGCTTTTGGTCCAGGGATGCGTTCGAAACTTTCAAAGTTCTGTTGTCCAATTGCTGAAGATTTTCCGTCTCATGGAGTCTGAGAATTCAGGTCCGGATGGACGCAATAAGTACGTCGAATCCCAATATACAATCCATATGCATCGTGTTATTTCAACACTTCCACTTGACATCCACGGCAATAGACGGAGGCTCCATGCCACAGACCTCGGAGAAAGAACTGAGCCAGCATGCCCCCCCTGTGACCCCAGTCCTCCACCCCGCAATCCCAAATCCGGGGTACAGGAGAGGGGATGACAGGGAGAGCCACACCCCGAGAGCTACAGAACCATACCGGGTGTTGGCGCCTAAGGCGAGTCAGAGTCTAGCAGAAGTCGGGGACACTTAGCGTCGGCTGTAGATGGAGGTGGCGTGCTTCGCGGGCGACGGCTGAGAGGATACCGCTTGGCGCTCTCTTGCGCGGAGCATGTCTTGGTGTAAGTATTCGTGAGCGACTTGAGACTCTTGGTGCCAGGGCTGAGATACGCTGGCGATGCTAGTAAAGCATCGAGTCGCAACCCGAATACCAAGTTTTACTGGTCAGATGCACTTCGATCGCAGTTCGGCAAGACTTTACGATGGTTACTTGGTCGGTTTACCTATTGCCCAAGAGACCCAAGAGAGTACAGTTAAACAGGCGCTTGGCAACTTGTGTCTGATTGTGGTGGGAGAAGTACCTATCGGCTTGAGCACGTAACGTGCATGATAAGCGAGCGGATCGGACAAGCGAGCGGATCGCTCGACAGCAACCACTCCACGTATATAAATCTTGATCAACATCAACAAAGTTTAATTAATTAAAACTACCCATAATCCTCTTCTCTAGACATTTCTCTCTGAAATGGACATGTGCGCGCATTATGTCCAGTGTTCCCGCAGACGCCACATCGCCGTTGACCTGTTTCCGTCCTCGGCCGAGGGCCAATACTCCGGCGCGTTTCCTCCTCAATCTGAGCTGTAGCCTCTCTCTGTGATTGAAGGTCATCTGCCTCAGCTATAGTAAGGCTCCCTCCTTGCCTGAGACGAGTTTTCTTAGATCTCCGCCGTCGGCTAAGTAGATTATTCTCCTCCCAAAGGGTTTTATTCTCAGCCTCTAGAAGAGTATTACGATGTATCATAGCTAGTGTCCCTTTAAGGATATGGTTAACTGCGTTATTAGCTGGTGTTGGCGAGCTATTTGGATGATTTAAGATTCGATCTTTAATCAAAGTTGACTGAGAATTTGCCTCTGTTGGGTTGTTTGGTGTCTGAGAAGTCCACGCGGGAGGTGTTGCTGGAAGAGACCCTGGGGGCGTTGGAGTGTGTAACTTCATATCCAGCTTCGAAAGCACACTTTCAGCACTTAACGGAACAAGCCCAGCCCCTTTGAAACCTCCCTGGATGTTTTTTACCGTTAGGGCTTGCGTGAAAGCGTTGCGAAATGCAGGGAAGAAGTCCTCCTTCGTAATATGGGTATTACCCCGGCGCATCTTATCCTCAATTTGTCGACCATAAGCCGTCTTTAGTGGCCCAAAACACCCAAAGTCTAAGGGCTGAAGTATATGAGACGAGTGGGCCGGCATGTAGAGTATGATGATATTGTTTTCCTTGTAATATATCTCAAAGTCCGCAGAGTGGTGACTTTCATGCCCATCAACGACGACGAGGCGATATCTACCAGTTGCACGCGGTTTTGTATGCCGATCAAAGTACTAGAGCCAGTCTAGGCCTCTTTCATTTGTTTTCCATCCGTTTTCAGACGTTGCAATGACCCAGTCGCGTGGGAGACCTGTTTTTGTGTACCAGGTGGAGAGGTGATATTGGCCTGTGACGATGATGTACGGCGGAACGCTGTAGCCTGACGAACTGATGGCTTGAATGACTGTAACCCATTCACGATTGCCAGACTGCGTCATTTTCGTGTTTGAACGCCTTTCAGCACTCGTGACAACCATTCCGGATGCAATCTGGCCCATCATAAACCCAGTCTCATCAAAGTTGTAGATATCGGAGTCCACGATGCCGTACTTCGCGATTGTGTTCGCCACAAGGCGAAACCACGCGTTTATCGCGTCTGGATCTTCGCATTGGGCCCTCTTATAGTCATACTTGCGAAAAAAGCGCGTCCGGAGCTGTGGTTGTCGCTTGACGAAGTTCGAAGCCCAGCACTTCCCAACTGGGGGCGCGCCGCGGTCGGCGAGTAGTCGATTAGCTATTTCTTCTACACCACTGATCCGAGGAGGGAATAATCGAGAATCTAGGTCGATAATATACTCAATTAGCGTATCCTCTTCGAGCAACGTCAAATTCCGTAAGTTTGGTACGGTTTCAAGTCGCGAAGTTCTTCTATTGATACGGGCGCGTAAGGTTGAAAATGGCACTGAGTAGATCCGAGCTGCACCTTTAATACTCAAATTTGGTGTTTTTTCGATAGCTTGAACTGCTAGAATTATGCCAGCTTCTTTATTTGATGACTGTATCATTGTGGTGGATGGATATGTGTTGGAAAGAAAAAGATGTGGCGGTCGCTGTTGAGCGATCCGCTCGCTTATCATGCACGTTACATTATAAGGAAAATAATATCATTATACTCTGTATGCCGGCCTATTCGTCTTATCTACTTTAGCCCTTAGACGTTGGGTGCTTTGTGCCACTAAAGATGGCTTATGGTCGATATATTGAGGATAAGATGCGCCGGGGTAATATGCATATTACGAAGGAGGACTTCTTCCCTGCATTTCGCAACGCTTTCACGCAAGCCCTAACGGTAAAAAACATCCAGGGAGGTTTCAAAGGGGCTGGGCTTGTTCCGTTAAGTGCTGAAAGTGTGCTTTCGAAGCTGGATGTGAAGTTATACACTCTAACGCCCCCAGGGTCTCTCCTAGCAACACCCCCAGCGTGGACTTCTCAGATACTAAATGTTACGCCCGCCGCAACTTGTCACTGTGGGCGCGTAGCTATATAATGCAGAACAAGGGACAATGATGCCGGAGTCATCATTATCGAAGCTTTTGCTTTGTGCCACAGTTGGTTGCCTTGTCCAGCTCGTAACACTAAACAACCTAATAGAGGCAAATTCTTAGTCAACTTTGATTAAAGATCGAATCTTAAATTATCTAAATAGCTCGCTAATACCAGCTAGTAACGTAGTTGACCATATCCTTAAAGGGACACTAGCTATGATGTATCGTAATGCTTTTCTAGAGGCTGAGAATAAAACCCTTTGGGAGGAGAATAATTTACTTAGCCGACGGCGGAGATCTAAGAAAACTCGTCTTAGGTAAGGAGGGAGCCTTACTATAGCTGAGGTAGATGACCTTCAATCATAGAGAGAGGCTACAGCTTAGATTGAGGAGGAAACGTGCCGGAGTATTGGCCGTTGGCCGAGGACGGAAATAGGTTAACGGCGATGTGGCGTCTGCGGGAATACTGGACACAATGCGCGCACATGTCCATTTCAGAGAGAAATGTCTAGAGAAGAGGATTATGGGTAGTTTTAATTAATTAAACTTTGTTGATGTTGATCAAGATTTATATAGGTGGAGTGGTTGCTGTCGAGCGATCCGCTGAGTCAACCAACCTACGAAACAAGTGACATTCTGTTTATAAACTTTGTTCAGTTACCTATCTCTGCGACCGAGAGATCTTTATTCGAATGGGACAGGCTTTCTGGTCCCGTGGCCCTGCGCTGTCTGCCCGGTTCACCGCAGTGGACTTCCCCTCCCTTCAGCCCCAATACGCTTCCGGGGATGACTTTGTGTCTTTGCTCCAAGCGCAGGTTGAGCTGACCACCCTCTTCGGTAACGCTCATGACATCCTGTTTGCTTCTAAGCAGAGGACTGCTGAACTCATAGTGCGTGGTGACTATACCAAGTACATTGACGATGCAAGTCGCGCCATCGTTGCGTGGGATCTGGTATGGACCCGGTTGACAGCCCCCTCTCACCTCAAGTGCTGCTTGAGAATGATGGAGAAGTACCTCCGTCTCTACGTGAATGCCTTTGCTTTTCAAGCTGTTCTGTACAGGGCATCGTTATCTGGCACAGATGTATCGAGGGTCTCGTGTTTCCCGCATTCAGCCATGGCGAGCCCGGATGCACGAATGGTTTACGAGGCAGTTGATGCTGCGGAGGCACTGCTCAAGATTGCAATCGAGGACATTGACCCTGAGAGACACTTGCGGTTCATGCCAGCTCGGTTTTGCTTGTAAGTACAGAATCACCAGCTATCTCTCTAGCTCTGGAGTCTAATCTTAGGCTCGTGATCAGGTATGAGATACATTCAGCCGTCTTCCTCTACAAGGCTCATGCAGCCGGAGCAATTTCGTTTGGGAAACACGCCCAGACTGCCAATCTCATGCGACGGTTTGTAGGCGTTTTAGAAACTGCAGCCACAAATACCGACCACATTGCGTCCAAGTATGCAAAGCTGCTCAATGGTTTGTGGTTTCATAAGAGAGGATCGAGAGGTGATGCCACCAGAAATCGGGTTTCTGAGGAAAGGGCACAAGCCGATGAAGTTGGCAATCTCGCCATGGATCAAGTCAATGATGATGAACATGATGACGACACAAGCCATCTCCCCTCCTTCGATGAGATTGGTCTCCAACCTTTGGACTAGATTAAATTTGTCGAAGGACTGTTCTCAATGCCTGCCGCCTTCCCTTGGGACCAATCGATATACTAGAAGTATTTCTAGTCGGGTCCTATTTCGGGAAATCGACTATCATTGCCACAGTAGCCGGCCACTTTCCGCGAATTACAATGAACGACGAATCACAAAGGTGTCCCGAGGCAATGAACATGTTGCATAATAGTTTATCAGTTGCCTTTGTTGACTGAGTCGTGTGATGCATCACTATTCCGACGCAGCATTTGACCCCTGCGTGGAGCTCCTCTTCCCCGCGCTCAGTGGGAGGAGCTCCACGTCCACTTCCTCCACTGCTCGTAAACCACGAGCGATGCGGACGGAGCTACTGCAAGTGATCTACAATCTCTGGGGCAGCTCCTATTGAATTCGTCTTGGTTGTCATGACCCGTGAGCCGGGATTGTCAATGCCGCCACAAGCTCCACGTCTGGTTGAGCATCGAGAACATGGAGGGTGGTGTCTGTGGACGTTCCGCGGAGCATCGTTCCACGTCCTCCCAACTCCCTTGGAACGCATCTTGCTGTAAACATCTTTGTCAATGTTTGGTTATTGAAGCAGACAAAGGGAAGAGTAGCGGTCATATAATAGCCCAAAGTTCAACTGAGTTTAGTCGAACCATACTCCAACAAGAACAACATCCAGCAAACAGAAATAGAAAGACCCAAGAGCATCGGTGTCATTTTCTTCAGCACATTTCATATCCTGGATACCATCTTAACGTTGCCCAACATGGTCGCCGACATCAACCAACTCCCGCCTTACACCCCGCCCCCGCCAACACAAGAGGACCGTAAGTTGCGCCGACACCTTCAACCGACCAATGGATGTAAGAGCATGAGCTGACCTCTCCTACCACAGTCGACTACGTTGACCTTGTCAACATCGATCTTTCAAAATTTGATACCCCCGAGGGCCGCCAACAGCTTGCCAAAGACCTGTACGAGGCCGCTACTGGCTATGGCTTCCTTTACTTGACAAACCATGGCATCTCCAACGAGACCTACGAGCGCCAAATGCGCATCGCCAATGCGGCGATGACACTCAAGCCCGAAGAGAAGGCCCCTTATGAAGGTTAATAACACACCACCGCCGGCCCCCAAAGAACCATGCTAATCTTGGCTGTAGTAACCCCCGAAGAGGATGCTCGTGGACTTTATGCCGGATACAAGCCTGCGGGACCTCTCGGTCACAAGGGTGGCTTCCCCAAGGCCCTGGACCACTACAACATGCTTGTTCACGATCCGTAAGTGATGCCAGCATGTCGGGAAGCTAGATGGAGTACTGACCCATCACCAGCAAGGACCGCCCTCACCCCGAGATCATCCGTCCGTTCATGGACGAGACGTACGAAGTCATGAGCTACATCCGTACCAACATCTTGGTGAAGCTGCTCAAGCTTGTCTCCATGGTTCTTGAAGTTCCCGAGGAGAAAGTTCTCTCTACACACGCCCCTGGTGGATCCAAGACTGAATATCTGAGATATGTGAGTTGAACTTCTGAACGTGAGTCTTATGTCGCTAGTGCTGACAATTGATAGATGATGTGCGAGCCTCGATCAAAGGAAGGAGGAGAGCGAAAAGTACCGTGATTTTTTCCTTGCTGGACACACCGATTGGTAAGCCTTTCCCACGTCCAACCCAACTGAAGGAAGTCATCTCTAACTCTATGTCTAGGGGCACTTGGACATTCCTTTTCTCCCAGCCCGTCGCAGCACTGCAAGTTCTTTGCCACGAGACTGGCAGATACCGTCACGTCCGCCACGTTCCCCACGGAATCGTCGTCAACTTCGGCGAGGCCCTCGAGCGCCTCACCGGCGGCCTCTTCAAGGCAACAATCCACAGAGCCATCCGTAAGCAAACTCTCAAAACACAGATTTGCAAGCCCGCACCTAACACAAGAACAACAGAGCCGCCCATGGACCAGCGCCACCTCCGTCGCATCGGCGTAATCTACTTCTCCCGCCCCGCCGATGAGCGCGAGCTCGTCCCCATCGAGAACTCACCCCTCCTCCAGCGCATGGGCACCGACAAGCCCATCGACGAGCGAGTCTTCTGCATGGCCGAATACCTCGACGCGAGAAAGCACGGGTGGAAGCGCTACGACTTTGACATTGACCGCCCTCGTGAGGAAGGTGTTCACCAGGACCCCTTTGATGGCGAGTACACTGACCCCGAGGGCCACAAGTCGCTCGGAAAGTTTGATAATGTGCCGCGTCTTCAGTACAGCTTGCCTACTGTCAAGACTGGCACCGCTTGAAGGAGGATGTAGAGCGTTGATGTACTGGGACGGGCTACGCTCTGTCTTGCCTTTTGAGTTGTAATCGGGATGGCGCACATTGTTGCAATGAATTGAACTTCAACTTTTATCAAAACCTGGTTTCCTCACGACGACGTTTTGAATGGCGCTTCATAAGAGTAGACGGATCACGAGTCGTAACTTACTTGGACGTTGCATGCAAGGCTTCCGCACTCAACCTAGTTGCTAAAGTACCTTACCGAGCCTGTTGGCGGTAAGGGTATGATAGCAGCAGGTCTCACGATGCTGGAGGCGATGAAGATCACTCTTCATATGATGATCAATGGGCTTCTATGAGCGAGTACTGCCGCTGTCTAGGTTCCCCATGGAACGATACATCTGCCTCAGTCGGGTCAGAGGGCACATGAAGTCACCTGCCTCAGTACTGATACCTTGTTCGATGCCGAGGCTTAATCATGACGAAGAAAGGCGGCTTGGATCCAATGTGCTTTCACTGTTCGAGGTTTTCGAACGTCAGGTGCATGGAAATGGTAACTTCATTCACTGAGTGGTGCTGCATACGCCTCTTTCGCCTTGGACAGACTCTCCTCCATGACCGTAGCCACCCACTTCCCAACCGGCCAAGTTGTCCGCTTATTGAAGTTGGCAACGATCCATTCGAGAAACCGCACCTCGCTCCGTGCAAGGTCAACGGGCCTATCATCCAGCATAGCCAGTGCAGCCGCCGCATTTTCGACGTCGTCGTCTCCGGCATTCCCGACACACGCCATGATGGCATCCAGAACAAAACGGCTGGGCTTGGAGCGACCGTTGGTATTGTTTCCCATTCCCATTCCCAGTCCCATTGCCATTCCGCCAGGACCATTCATGTCGTTGGCGCTACTGCGTTGAGCCGCAGGCATTGTGAGACGCACGAGGCGCCAGCCGGCGAGGCAGATCTTGAAGCCGAGGAGGGTTATGAAAGGGTTTTCGAGGGAAGGCGGTGCGGTGGACTTTATCGGGTTCAGCAGATCGAGGGCCATTTCGAGATCGTTGAGCTGTGAGGGGAATCGTTGTCAGTAACTGCGCAGCAGATAGAATGGGAAGGGTGTCTCTTACTATTCTGAAAACATCCCGGTCTTCATATATGTCTCGTTTGTCTTTGGAACGTGGTGTTGCGAGGTGGCCGGCAGCTACTTGAAGTCAGATCCTGATCTCCATCCTGAAGACCTTGGTAAATGTAATGACACTCACTGGCAATTGCTAGAGGAAGATTTGACTCGACAACACCGCTCACTAACAGCGAGTCCGGGTGTGATAGAGTGATGGAGGTGTAGTACCAGAGTATCCAGAACGTGTGCCACAGCGGAGTCTGGTCCGAACCGTCTGGAAGGACATCCATGCGTCCGAAGTCGAAGAAGCTAAACACTGGCTTTTGATTACGTGGTACCAACTCAGCAATCCCTTTGAGTGCCTGCGAAATTTGCGCGTGCTGCTTGTCTGTCAGGATGGAGAGGGCTCGGCGCTGTGCCTTGGGCCGTTCAAGTAGACAACTAGCGTGCGTGAGCTCGCGGGCCATCATCTGAAGCTGGGTGACGAGGATGACGGCGGCAAATGGCGAAGCCCAGAGAAGCCTGAGTTTCTTGGGCTGCCGTTTCCCGCCGCTCTCCTTGTCGTCGCCGCGTCCTGAATGCAGGAGCGTCTGGGAGGCTTCGTAGAAGAAGCCTTGCGACGGGGGTGTCTCGTGGGAATATGCATTGTCGTCGGGCTCGTCGAAAGATTTGAATCTTTGCCGGCGGCGTTCGTACCAATCTCTATCGGAGCGAGCAAGCCAGATATCCTCGCAGCATGGAAGGTCGTACTTGATCTCGAGCGAGGAGAGCATTGGTCTGAGGTTACAGAGGATGGCGAGCTGTGAATCGAGGAGGTAGAGCATGTAAACACATCGCTTCTTTGATTCCTTTTTGATAAAATCCTTCCATTGCTCACTCAGGGCATCGGCGCTAACTGGCTCGTTGATGTCGTCTTCGTCGCCTTCTTTGCCGTACCCGCTGTCCTCGCCAGAGTTCGTAGACAGGGACTCTAGCGAACTGTCTTGGAACATTTGGAGAAGTCGTATCGCGTCTATGAGGTCCCGATGAATGCGCTGGGCTTTCAGGAAACTTGTGTCGTTGCCGCCGTAGATGCCGAGGAATTCGAGGAGGAGAAAGGTCTGAAGAACCCATATCTCTTGGTACCGTGATCGATTCTGCTCAACCTACTAACCCTGTCAGCGCAAGTGACATAGTCAAGTGAGTTCTAGCATACTGACATATTGTTGGAGTGCAGAGAGTGTAGACTCGAACACGGCTTTCCGAGCAGCCTCGTCGAACGAGGACTCGCAGTAGAGGCTCCCCACAGCCGTAATGACGTTCAACAGAGGCACTTGTGTCGAAACAATGTGGAATGAGCCCTCGTGTAGAATTGGGAAGTTTCTGTGGAATCCATCAAAGAAAGCCTCAACGCATCGAATCTCACTCGATATTCTGTCCGTCCAGTGTTAGTGTCAGGCTAGACTTAAACTGCTCAGAGTCATGAACTCACGCTGAGGATGGAGGCTCATAAGTCTGGTTATGCTGCTGCATTGGCTCTGGTACTTCATTCTGAGCTGGTGGAGGATGTGTCAACAAGACGTCCATCCAGGCTGTTGTGCTGGGTGAATCGACGTGTGATGTATTAATGGCGGGAGGAGGTGGTGCCGTCTTTGGTGGTGAAGCTTGGGAAGAGACATGGCAATTCTCTACATGTCGTTTCCTAAGATCACTGCCGTTGTTGTCAGAAAAGATTGATTCACAATGGCGACGAAGCTGAATAGCATAGCGATGATCAAGCCGTACCTTCGCGCGAAACGAGCACTGCATTGATTGCATGGAAAACATGGAGCATTTCTGCCTCTATGATCTTATCCGACGTCAGCTTCCCATGTGGAATCCAGGACACAATCGGAACATCTCACGTGTATTTACATGGCGCTTGAGGTTCTCCTAGGTGACGTAGCTGTCGTGTTAGTGACGATTAACAACAGGGCAAGATGCCGCAGCTAGAGGATTTGCGTACCTGGCGAGTAAACCCCTTCTTGCATGTGGCGCACTTGAAAGGACGAGGAAGACTTTCATCCATTTTGAAAGACAGCAACATAAGATTGTGCTTGTTTGTTGAAGAATGCGAACGCGCACATTGCCATGGGTTCTCGCGAAAGTCTGGGGGAGGAGGACGGCACCGAGGGGCTTCACGGAAGTGGACGAGGACTCCTCGGAGGTACGTACCGAGTGGACGGATAAGCAGATAAGATACAGATTTCCCAATTGGGTCAAGCTTGTCCACCCACGTGACTGATAAGGTACCTCACAGAAGTGGATAATTTGATTAGCTAAGTTAAACTCGCTTCTATCCGCCCCCGGAAGCCAATCAGATCGCCTCAATTGGCGATTCGGGCATCGATGAGCGGCCCCGCTATTTCTCGGAAGCGGAGAACTCCCCGCATCAACAGCTCCGGGCTCCCTTTCCTACGCGTCTCTATCTTCCTCTGCTCCTCGGATATCGCCTTGATTGCTGGGATTGACTGTCTAAAGTTTGTCATGTCTGATTCATTTTGTCCACCTTCAGATCGGCTTTCCTCCGGGAACGTCCAACACGTACGGCTCGCCATCAATCTTCTTCCAGATGTCATCGCTCTTGATGCGCCAGTACCACGCGTGGATAGCGGGGCGCTTTTCCGTCCACTCCTTGGCAAACACCTGCAGGTTGGATGATTAGCATTCGAAAACGAAATTCTCCGAGATCGGAATGTAGCTTGCGATTTCCCGGGAGCTCTCCTGTGAGAGTAGGGGCCACTTACAAACTGGTATCCTCTCGCAATGGCCGCAATCATGAATAGATCGGCTATCGTGAGCTCGTCGCCAACGAGGAACTTCTTGCCCGTCAACGCCTTCTCCACCACACTGACCATGCCCTCGCTGTTCTTCTCGGCCGCGGCGAGGATCTCTGGTGATGAAGCCGCCTTGCCGATGACTGGGTTAATCCACGCCATAATGGGAGGCAGAAGCTCGCTGTTGGCAAATGAGGCCCACTTCAGGATCGTGGCCTCCTCCACGAGAGTGGAGCCGAGCAACTTGGTCTTGGGGTCTTGCTTTGCGACTGGCACACACTGTCAGCTAACGAAGAAAGCAGCAGATCAGAATTGTGTGCTCACTGTAGATAGAGACGGGAATGCACTCGAATAATATGAAGCCGTTGGGGCGCTCGAGGGCAGGCACCTTGCCCGGGGGGAACTTTGAGAGGTAATCTTCGCCAACACCGCCCTTGCTAGCATCGACCTTGATGGGCCATGCCTCGACGAATTCGATATCGAGCCTAACAGTGACGCTTTTGTTAACAATTGCGCCTGACGAGTCTGGCAGATACATCGCAAATAACGTGCTTGTTGTACTCGGCGATGTAGAGGCACTGAGTGGCGCGAGGCGCCTTGGGATACCAGTAGAGCTTTCCAAAAGACATGGTGTGAGATTGAGCTTCTGTAATGTTTGTCGCAATGGGACCGATGTGAGGGTAGAGCTAGGAATGACGATGACGGCCTCGAAGAAGCAAAATCTAGCTCGGCGTCCGGTTAATAAACCCAACAACTTGCAACGCGGCAAGTTGACCGAGTCCATCTCCATTGTTTATCAGGCAAGCTGCAACTCATACCACATTTCTCAACTCCACGATCTCAGCGTCACCCACGGCCATCTCGACGTGGAGCTCAAAACAAGAACCCCTTCTCCACGTGGAGCACACCTTGGGGTAGCATGGTAGGTCGTCGCACCCACAAAAAAGCCGTCTGCGAGATCTGCAGGGACCGGGACCCCAACCGGCCTGTTACTTCGGAGGCGTCGTCCGGTGCTTCGGGCCTCGGCCGCCGCTATCGGCAAATAGGTCGAGTGTTTATCAATGAGAACTGTCTGCAATAGACTTGGAGAGTCGCGCGAGATCTCTGAGAGAGCATTCTGATTTCACGAAGAATTGGTCCACATCACATCATCTACATCAATCGATCTAGACCTTCACGATGGCGCAAAGACAAGTTGGGTGGGTTGGGCTTGGCTCCATGGGCATCGGTATGTCCTCCAACCTGCAAAAGTTTCTCTCTTCGTCCGGAGCACCAAATTTAGTTTACACCAACCGGACGTTATCGCGCGGCGATTCTCTCAAGGAGCTAGGTGCCGTTCCGGTAGAGACTGTTTCGGAGGTGGCCAAGAGGTCAGAGATCATCTTCTCTTGTGTAAGTGAAAATCTCTGCCCCGTGAACATATCGCGAAACTCGATGGTCTGACGTTCCCGCAAAGGTGAGCAACGATGCCGTGCTTCAAGATACTACGAACGAGATCATCAAGTCTGGTGATATCAAGAACAAGATCTATGTCGACTGCTCAACCGTACACCCCGATACTTCTGCCGCTGTTTCGAAACAGATCACCGAGGCCGGTGGCCAATTTGTTGCTGGTAAGCTCGATTTCAAATCGCTAAACCGATTTCCACTGTCTGACGGCTGAATAGCCCCCGTTTTCGGAGCCTCAGCAATGGCCGCCACCGGCAAGCTCATCTTCGTCACGGCCGGCCCCGAGTCCGCGACCTCAGCCATTTCTCTATACCTCAACGGCGTCATGGGACGCTCCGTCATTCCGATGGGCACAGACGTAACCAAGTCAAGCTTGCTCAAGATTGCCGGAAACATCGTAGTCGTCTCCTTCATGGAAGTCCTCTCCGAAGCCCACGTCTTTGCCGAGAATACCGGCCTCGGTTCACCAGTGTTGGAGAACATGATCTCTGACATGTTTGGCCCTGTTTTCGAGAGCTATAGCAAGCGCATCACTAGTGGTTCGTACGCTCCGCCGCCTGATGGAAAGGCTGGTTTCAATGTGGCGCTCGCGATGAAGGATCTGAGGCATGCACTCACGTGTGCCAAGGACGCGGGAACAAAGTTGGAAACTAGCGAGGCTGCATTGAGGCACATGGAGAAGGCTAGAGAGTTTGAGGCCGTAAGACCGTTGGATAGTAACTCGATGTACGGTGCAGTGCGTTTGGAGGCTGGACTCGACTTTTACTCCGATGCTTGCAAGGAACGAGACGCCAAGAAGTAGATTCAAAGATGCATCCCAATGATACCAAAACCATTCAAATCGTAAAACCATGGCTCCAAGTCTGTTCCTTTTCACTTCAACTCGAAAGCCAATCTCAGCGGCATCCCTCTCGCCTTGGTTGAAGGTTCTTTTCTGAGCTCCTTTGTCTGAGTTGTCCCGTCGATGGCTCGTACAGTTAACATCACTAAGTAATGCCGGAAACATCTGGCAAGCTCTGAAGGCAAATAGTGTCTCTTCTCCCGATGCAAAAGATGCGATATTGCTCCAGAAACAAAAGGAATGCGTCGAGGGGGAATCGAACCCCCGGCTCCCCGACGCTGCTTGATGGCAACGGAGAATTTTACCACTAAACCATCGACGCTGTCGAAGCTGGTGATGCTTCAAGTGGATTGGGATGCTGGCGCTGGTTGCTGGTTTATGGAGCAACGGGGGTGGTGGTGGATCAAAGTGGAGGGTGTTGGTGAGGCCCGAGAATGGAGTCAATTAGCCTCACTTTTCAGATGTTGAAAGAAGCTCAAGTAGGAAGTAAAACAAAGGTTGAACAAGTAGTTGCCTTCTTATTCAAGTTGCAAGCTCTAGACCATGAAGAGGCTGGGGTGCATGCTCCCCATGCAGTAAACCTCCATCGCCCCCTACTCCCTCCCACCTTGACCGGGACTGAGCAAAGTCTAATCTCTTGTATCCATGCTTTCTCGCATGAAGGTATTGTGACATTGTGTAAATCTTCTCGTCCAATGGTTCATGAAGGCCCAGTGTCTGAAGCAAGGGACTGTCGAGGGGTCGAAGCCCTTGGTCATCCATCGGCCTGGCGAAGTAGATGATACCCCGTCTCTTCGCTCTCTCCTGGTCTGATGGCGGTTTGACAACTCTATGTACAGTAGCCCGAAAGAGTCCACCTGTGAGCAGTTCCAATGCTTCGCCGACATTGACGATGAGGGTCCCGGGAACGTGGCGCACCCACTTCCAATTACCAGATGGAAGTTGGATCTGTAACGATGACACCGGTTGAGAGAAGCGAATTGTGAAGGAACCCAGATCGGTATGTCCTCCCAGCCATAGGTCTCGATATTGTGTCCCACTTTCTGTAGGGCGCGGATTATACAGCAGGTATCGTAGGTACTCCGAGCATGGTTGTGTACCCGAGGCGTGTGTGGAAAGAAGATGCTCTTCTGGGATCTCGAGTATTATTGCTACAAGTGCCAGAAGCTTGGGCATCAAATGTTGACGAAAATGACTTTTGAGCTTCTCGACTTGAGCAAGTTGCGAGTGCAAAAGCCTGGGGTGTTCATCGTTGCGGGAATCCTTAGTCGCCAGGAAATTGTAATGATCCACGGTCTTGTGAAACCCCTCCTTATGCTTTTGACTTCCCGAAGGCTTGAAGCCAATGTTTAGTCCCTTTTTCTCTTGCTCGAGTGTCGTTTCGAAGGGCCACTTCTCCTCTGGTGGGAGAGTAAGGAGGGCATGTGCTAGATCGACTTGGGAGGAGTAGAGGGCGTCGGGAATGCCGTGGTTGGTAATAGTTAGGAATCCATGACGAGTGACTCCTTTCAAGAGATTCGCAGCTAGTTGCTGGCGGGTGCTATCGTCATTGAAGTTCGAAAAATCGAGGCTGACAAGATCAACGTAGTCGAGGTCTTCTTTGGTCGGGGAGCACTGGGTGAAGTTTGGAATTTGACGGTTTGACTCTGCTGTCATGTCTCGAGGTGAAGTATAGGTAGTTGGACATAGATGGTGTAGATTATTGAACTAATTATCACAATGCACCATCTGGAATTGAGAGTCCCAAAGAGGCAGCAACGCTTTTCTTCAACTGACTCGGCGCTCTTGTCTGGCTAACATAGTGACTGTCTTTCGACAGCTCAACTCAAAGTCTTGGCTCCAACTCCTCATCCCAAAACATCTTCTTCCAAAGTCTCTATCTCAGAGTGGTGCTGATGCACTTCGGACTTCGGACGTGGACTGGTGTGGTGTTTATGACAGCTGAGGACAATGCTCCACACTAACACCGCCTAACGAGACCTCCCAACAAGAGCCGAGTTGACTCGAGACAAATCGCCTCACTCGTATTAGCATTACCCCCAACATCATGACACCCGATGCAGCAGGGGCCGCGGCGAGATCTCCGGCCGTCGTATGCCGTACCCCGCAAATGCTGTGGATTGCAGGAGAGGTGGAGGCGAGCGGAATAATCAGGGAGTTTGAAGACATTCAGACTTCAAAGATACGGGCGTCGCTTGACACGCTTGACAACTATGAGGAGCTCCACCATTTAGCTTCGTCTGATCCTTGCACGCTCCAACGCTTATCCCCCTCCTTATCTCCCAGCTTGATTACTTGACATGGTAATTAGTCTCTCTAGTCTCTCTGTAACCATCCCCCTTGTGTGTACGAAGGTGGAGCAGGTCCTGTCAACTTGTTCGGGCGTACTTTCACGACTCGCTTGGGTTGTCCGGTGATGCCTATCTCTGGCGCGCGTTGCAACACCACGTACCTTACGTCCGGGGGACAATGAAGGCGCGCGCACGCCTCTCGACGTCAACCAGCAACTCCCAAATCCGGTTGTGAATAGCCGAGACGTGCACTCATGAGGAGCACGAGGAGATAGAGAGTGTGCACTGGGTATAATACGCAATCACGCCACTACACCTCGTCCGCCTCTGCTTGTTCCGACCGCAGCAGCCCCTACTCATCTGCTCCGCCTCTTGTCGATTCCCCGTTGCCCTCTGACACCAGTCTGTTTGTCAGCTCCACCTCGACGAAGCTGAACAAATTTCCAGTGACCAATCACGGTTGGTTGTACGTTTACGTGCCGTTCAGCCTGAGCTTCCTTCGTGCGAATAGCCTCGGAGACCGACGAACTACACCATGGCGGGCGACACCGTGGCTACCAGCGTCCGCGAGGAGCAAGTTACCAATGCCAGTTGGTTGGACAAGTGGCGCTGGTACGAGCGCAATACTTCCAAGGAAGAGAAAGTATTGTTGCGCAAGCTTGTAGGTTTCTCTGGTTTGGATCCCGGAACGACTACGCAGTTTCTAACATGTGCTAGGATTTCATGATCTTGACCTTTGGCTGCCTCACATTCTTCACAAAGGTGAGTTAAACCTTGACTTCGATGGGGAGCTGTAACGTTGGCTGACCTTAATTGGATAGTTCCTCGACCTCCAAGCCTTCCAGAATGCCTACGTTAGTGGAATGAAGGAGGATGTTGGTATGCAAGGCAATGACTTGCAATACACCACTGGTGTCTTCCAAGCTGGTTAGTTACTGCGCTGCCATGATTCCGTCCAACATCATCCTCACTCGTGTTCGGTAAGTACAATAGTCCAAATTCGCTAAAGTGAGGTCATTAGCCATCGTACAGCTCAGGTTTGAATGCACTCCTTGTCTCTTTCCTCTGGGGATCGTGCAACCGCATAAGAATTGCCCGAAGGTTGCACCGCGAGATCACATGCTTCCGGGCAGAGAGAGCATGGGAGTCTCAATGTGGTACTTGCATGGCCTCTCTCCGGAAGCTGATGCATGCATTCAAGTAGCATCCCGCCTCACGTCGCACAGAGTTGTCCCGGCGGAACGCGATCACGCTCTGGCCAGGCGAACCTAGCTTTACTCAACGGTCACTGATAATTATCGACACGGTTGACAATAGGATGATTGGTTATGGTTTCTCAATGGGCTGAGCTAGGATCTGGGCACGGGAACCGGCATGAACGAGGCTGGGAGTTGAGGACTCGAGATCATGGACATCGTCAAATACCAAGCATTGTGGCGTCTCGGTTGTAACGGCGGAAAAATTCCGCTGGATAGAACTCGGCTGTACTATTGGGAAATGTTTTGATATGGCCGAGACTGATTGTAAACATACCTTACGTAGGATATAGTTCAATTGTCAATAAAGGTCAAGAGGCAGGTGCGGGTACCCGCGTATTTGCAAGTTTTGTAGTAAGTAGTGTACTATAATGCATGAGCCTATAACTAATGTTGAACTCATAATTCATCATATATTGCTAGTTAATCTCTAGTCACTCAAATCCACATTCGGCACGAAAGAAACGTGGCCAAAATTCTTATTCTCGTTTGTGTCCTCGAACCCATCCAGGAAATATCCCCGTGGAATTAGTTTGTGGAAGTTTTTACTAAGCTTGGGTACTCATTTCTCTGAACCTCAAAATGTTTACGACAATGCTTTACAAGGAATATAAGATTAGCAGGTCCTAACTCTTATCGCCCCTCCCGACGACGTTGTGTGAGGTGATTTTACTGCATGTTCTACTTACCATGGTTGTTTGACACGGAGATAGTCATGCTGACAGCAATCTGCATCAAGACAATGGGCAGTATTACTTGGTGCAGCAATGATCTAACTAGTAGGTACACGACGTAGCCACAATTCAAGAGGTAGCCACGTGCAGGCCTGCCACCAAAGACAAGACGGCAGTTCGTAAATGCGACTAAAAACCAAGTGAATCCGACAAGACCACCAAGACCCTTAGCGCAATCCGCATCCGCATCAGCGTGAGCATGAGCAGGGTCGGGAGCGTTTTGCGTTGACGCATGTGACTCATGTGAAACTCGCCCTCCCGCCGCCATCCTCCAAGAATCCCATCAATGATCATCCATCCCACTCGGCCGCATCCCTGGACCATGTCGGCGGTCCTCCGCTACGCCTCCGTTGGGCCTGCGAGTTTGTCCGTGTTAGCGAGTGCGAAGAGCGGCATTCGTCATCTCGCATAAGGCAGTCACCCCAAGCCCGTCAATTGTCCCGGCTCATCGGTGACAAGGCTGTCCCTCCTCTTCGCTTGACAAGCTTTAGCTTCCGTTCCATGTGGCTTACACCAAAGTATCTGTAGTAGGTATTGTTCTTAGTGACCGAGTCTGAATCTACGGTGTGTCTGACTGCCTATTGCAGGTACGAGTACCTATCCCAATGTCAAGGACGAAAGACGCTCCGCTCGTGAACCCCAGGCTAACCCATTCTCGTATGTTAGTCTACACCCTGGGGCTCTTCATCGACCGCCATCGCCAAACACGCGTGCCCATCTCGTCTGTTGTTCCGATCTAATCATCTAGCGCCGCTGCGCTTTCGCTTCTTTTTTCCACTCTAAATTCAAGTGATCCACGTAGCCTGGACTCGGGCCTGAAGCTTTCAATTCCTCCTTCCCCACCAAACCATAACATTTTGACAAGGGTCCAAGTGAGTGATTCACTCACCTCCCTTGATCTTGGGTGCGTTCAACCTGGGCTTGCCAACGGCTGTATGGGAAGGAGTCAAAGGGCGCTAACGAACGACCCTTTTCAGCTTCCCTTTTCTTTGACGATATATTAAAGCAAGGGACCAGCCTCTTCTTTCCTTCCTTCAACCCTTCAACCTTGTCCGAATCAGACAGTTCCACGACAGCATCAACCTCATCGTCACTATCGACCGTTACGCCTCATCATCAAACTCACACCGTATTCTCACTCATATTCACACTCGTCCTTCTATTCGACCTCACATCGCACTTGTATTTACGGAGCGCCATTGAATAAGTACATCACCGCTCGAAATATCCATGCTCACAATGGACACCGCTACCGAATACCAGACCGCCGAGCGGTTCCACGGCATATTCAAGCCGACCGAGTCTCCCCAGTGGACCAAGCCGTACAACCATCTTCCTGTGAGTTCTTCTTCATCACACCCGAGTGTGACGTCGCACCAAAGCAAATATTAATGACTTTAAATTTTCAGCTCCTCGTCAAGGATGGCTTCAACCTCTCAACCCTCTTCGCCATCGGCGCCTTGATGCAGTGCTTCCTCTTCCTCATCTTGCCCGCCAAGTACGCCATCATTCCAGCCTTGGCCATGGGCCTCAGCTCCATCGTCTCGACCATCCTCGATACTCGCTCCGAGAAGTCCAACCCCTTCATGGAGGGCGTCGTTCACGGTCGCACCAGCGCCCAATTCCCCGATACCTCCACCGGCGCCATCCCAGCTGTCGCTGCCTCCCAGTCCCTTGTCGTCTTCCACCTCGGCGTCCGCTTCAACCACCCCATGGGCCTCCTCTGCCCCGGCGGTCGCGAAATCGGTCAACATTTCAGAGATATGAACAAGGACCTCGCTCAGCGCGCCTCCGAGTACGGCATCTACCACGTCTCCAACTGGCTCGGCGCCGATGGCCCGCGCAACAACTCTCTGCTCAACATATACTACTTCCGCGACGTCGAGGGCCTCAACAAGTTCGCCCACGACCCCATTCACCGCAAGGGCTGGGACTGGTACAACGCCATCAAGCAGCAGTACAGCCACATTGGCATCTACCACGAGAGCTTCGTCACCAACGCCGGCCAGTACGAGACCATCTACGGCAACATGAAGCCTCTTCTTCTTGGTGCCGCCAGCGTTGAGTGCCAGAGCGAGGAGTCCAAGGATAAGGTCTGGGTCAACACGCTCGTCGACGCCAACGTCGGTCCCCTTCGCGGCATGATGCGCCGCATGGGCAAGAGAGATGCCCCTCTCGCACACTATGCCTAGTCTCTAGGTCTTGTGTCTTCTGTCTTCTTCTTTGTCTTCTCCCCCAAGGCGGGTATTGGAACTGGTGTTCCGACGCCTGCTTGTCTGACTCAAGGGTAGCATTGGGTGGTGTTTGGCGTTTGGCTACGGCCTAGGTTACGTTCATCGATTATTGAAGTAGAGGCTGGTAAGCCTCATCATCGGAGTGGTTGTGTCAGAGACTGGTGTGTCTCTTTGTGACCATGAATGATCACATTTCTTTCCTGCACATACTTGCAACACGCCACGCGGCATAGTCCCCGAATCAGAATAAGTTCAAAGTACTCAGTCCATCACTAGACGCGCTTTCGTGCCTCGCAAGTAGTGCTCCTTCTTCCCCTTCCAAACAAGCGTTGATGAGTGTTCCTTCTGCGACCAGCTTGAAGTAACCTACGCGACAGAACGCTAGACGTCCTTTCTTGGGAGCATCTCGCAATATCAAACCTTCTATGCACGGCTCTGGGTCTGTGCCATCAGGCTTGTAGGCGGGGTGAGTCCCTATCGGAAGCAAGATGCTCCCTGCTGACAGCCGATAGTTGGGTTTGCCAATCCCCTCCCAATTCCACTCGTCCGGACAGACGATGAAGGTGCGAATTCTAGGATCGGAACATTTCATACCGATGCCCTTGACATGGCCGTCGCTCGAGAGAGCCTCTCCTTCCCAGGATGCGGTGCTCTCCAGGAGATGACCTTCGAGCTGTAGACGAGCACTCTTGAGCTGCCCGGTCGTGACCCCGTCATAGCCTTCAACGCAGTGCTTGACGTTCCTCACAAGAGCCTCCTCATCAAAGACTTTCCGTCCCGCATATCTTCCAGTCAACGTCGCCTTCTTAACCGACCCGCCATCAATCGAAGCCCAGCTCCACGTAGGGGCGCGCCACGTTGTTTGCCGCGAGTACCACGCTCTCTCACCCGTTGCCGAACAAGCCCACAACAGGTCCTCGACCAGCCGGCTCTCCCATAGTCCTGCGACATAACAATCGTCCACCGCCTCCTCCATGGCTTTCGCCAAAGCCTGTACCGCAATGAGCTTGTCCTCGCCTTTCGTCAAGTGCTGCGCCGTGTACGTCGTCACGACTTCCTCCCAGGGAAGGTACGCCTCTTCGAGCATGAACGGATCCTTCTCCTCTTTTGCCATACTCTTCAGACGCCAGAGTACTTGAGAAAACGCACGTGGATCACGGTTGGTGTAGGCCTTACCAAAGGATCCTATGCGATCATTAGAGTACGCAAATTGTCCTATCCGGTAGTCCATGCCGCACTGCCAAAATAGCTGATGTCTGGAAAAGTGAACAACCCGCGGGGAGAAGAGTCGCTCCTGCAGCACCCAACCGCGTGTATTCAATGGTGCTTCCTCAACACCGCGTTGCCAGATTTTACTATTCAGAAGGAAGTAATCTCCGGGACCTACCACATACGGTCTCACTCCGATGGTCTCTTCTTCTGAGGGGTCGCCGTGGATGGGTTGCGTGAAGGATATCCGAAGATGCCTTGAATGTATTGGATCGGGATCAAAGTAGAGCCCTTCATCTCCGCCGGAGGCAGCTGTGGCGGCAATGTTTATGACGCCATTGCGATAGACTTCGGCCATGGTGATGGACTCTTTTCGCCAGTCGTCGACCGAGTCTTGGATTATACCTACATGTCACTGTCAGTCATATTGGTTCAACCATCGACCAGACTCACAAAGCACTACTTACACAACGAATCAATCCAGAGATAGCGCAGTCCAAGTCTCTTGAGAATAGAAATAGTATCGCGGAAGGTCTTGGGTAGCGTTCCTACTTGTATGCCGGCTCGAAAAGATTCTATGTTGGCCCGTTGCAACGTGAGAATCTGGGATTTGCCCCAGCAATGACTGAGAGTGGCGTACTTCTCATGGGCGGGAACAGACGTTGACAGTCGCACCTCGTCATTGTCGGAACTCTCAAGATCGAGAAGTCTCGTTGGAACGAAGCCGCTCGTATCTTTTCCGCAATAATCTTTGTGGTTCGAAAGGCAATCGTCAAGCCATATTCTTGTCATGATCAGGGCTCTATCTTCCGGGGCTATATCGTCCTCAACCAGACGTAGAGACCCCACGTGCTCATCGCCTGCTTCATGTTATTGACTACTCGGCACTCCGGCGTCTAACATAGAGTCTCACCTTGGTTTTTCAACATGTAAAAACTAGCACCGGTTCGACAGACTCTAATGAGGGCATGGACCGTTAGTGGCTGTCATGTCCGCGTGTAGTTCAAGAGTACATGCAGGCTTCCTACATGGATGGCGAGAAATCAAGGTAGCCACTCGGCATGGTTGTCGGCGCGTGAGCCTGCACATATAACGGCGCCGTATCGGGTTGACTGTCAGGAATCAGACGCTCTGCCACAAGCTCCTCATGTATCGAGATACACAGGTGACAGCCCGCAGCGACGGCATCCTCAAATGAGGCCCACGTCGCGTGGTGAATGAGAACGCGGCTCGACGATGGCCCGTCAGCCTGTTCGGGATGTCGCTCGGCTTCTTTACTCCGTGAATTTGCAAGGTCGTTGCAGCTTTTGCACAGCATTGCGATGGCGCATGTGTTGCGAATGCGACTTGCTATGGCTGGAGGGGTCGATACTTGAGAAGGAATGGCGGGGCACTTCGAACAGGGTATAACCAACTAGAGCGTATTTGGCTAGATCCGGTGTGATCTCTCTCCGAGATGGTAACGGAGACGCGTTGTAACTTGTTGGTGAAGGTTGGTCCATGACTTCGCGTGACACCACAGATTCAAGGCCCTAATCACTTGGTTTTTGACAACACACCCGGCCGCCTAGACTTCATCGCAATTTTGACTAGTACTCATCATTCATTACCTTATGTATCAACTGGCGAACAACTCTTGCAGGCTACGACCGACTCCTCTGTGCGATGACAGAAAGAGGTATCAAGCTTCCCGCAGTGATGACTAGAAGAAGATCCCTAACCCCTCCGAGAAACCTCAACCAACTTCTTGCTTGTGTATCAAGAACAATGATCAAATGTTGTGCTGCGCGCAATGCCTCCCAAGCAGAGTGTTCCAACAAAAACACCAAGAAGTATAGACAAGAAATACCCCAGGTTCATAGACATCACCGCCAGCATCCTGTAAACATTAGCACTGCTGGAACTGTCCCTTGCATTTGCGAGAATTGGGTGGCACTCACAAGAGGTACCCTAGAAGGGCGATGACGACCTCATAGGCAGCGAGCGCGACTCTCAAAAGAATTGACTTTGGTGTAGGAGGAGAAGACTTTTCTTCATGCCCAAGTTCCTCGTCGCTTCTTGAGTGGCTCTTTCGGGACTCGCGTCCCCAGACCGTCGCTTCCAACATGGGTTTAAAGGCGATCATCGTACGCAGAATTATGGTGAAAACGATGAGGGCGAGACAAGTACCAGCGTACTGTCCTGACGTCCGCGGTGTCCACGCTTCAGAAAACAACGCTGTTGCCATCTTGGTGTGAAAGACGACCGGCATGGGCTCGATGCCGTGAGAATGAGATTGGGTGTTGGGCATGTCCATCGCGAGGTCTGAATCGAGTCGGTGTTTCATGGTGTCGAGTTGTTCCTGCTTTCAATCTGAAGAAGAGCGTTGTTCCTAGAATTATAGGTGTTCAAGCGAGCAGATTGCAACCTCGTGTTATTCCGAGTTGGAAATGAGGATGCAAGTTAAGCGTAGCATCTTGTTATCTCCGATGCGATCGTAAGAGGGAAGCTCTGCAGGCTACTTTCGACAGGGTCGCAACAGAACGAAACAGCTGCCTAATTCTGCGCATGAAAATACAATCACAGATACTAACTCGTGCACACGGCAAACAATAAACAAGGTGATAAGCAGTCATGGTGCTGCATTGTGGTGGGGGGATGAGGCTGTTTGAGAAGGTTTCCAAGAGGAACCGCTTGGCTCCCGTGTTTAGTCCGACCATATTGGTGCACCATTGAGTACCCTGAGAATCACTGCGAGCACTAATGAGCAGGTTTTGTACGATTAGGTATTCATCTCATTCATTTGAATATTGTAACTATAAACAATCTGTGTTCCCTTTGGTTGGTGTCTCGGCTGTCTATCTCAACCATCCCTTCCTAGACAACAAGTAGCATCTTGCGACACAAGCAAGCTCACTCAAGAGTCAAGAGCAAAGCAGCGCTCGGAACTCGATGCCTCGTTGCCCCACCAGTTCGGCATGGTGACGATCTTTCCAGCACCAAAGAAGAGGAAAGTAAGAAGCATGTTGAAGTTGAAACCCGCGTCGAAAGCAGCAGCCAAGATGTAGTTCCATCTCGCCCACAGGTCGTACCGGTAGCGGTAGGCCCAGAACATGACCACAAAACCACCGATCAAGCTGCTCACGTATCCGGTGCTGATGTTACCGTAGAAGCTAGCCATGGCCGAGAAGAAGATGGTCGAATTCCACAACTGGAACTTGGCACGGGGGAAAGCGCGATGGAGTGCGTAGATGAGGAGCGGTGTGAAGGCGCCAACAAGGAAGCCGTACGGGAGGACCTTGTAGATGTGCTGCTGGAAGAGTCTTCGGGGACCGATGAGGACGTACTGCACGCCCATTGTGAGGTTGGACGTGAGAGACTGAGCTGTCCACTGATGCGCCGGGTCTTCCTTCGCTCCGGTGAGGTAGTCGAACTTGGTGTCTAGAACCCAGCGAACAACAGCATAGTTGATGGGCACACCGAGGAATGAGCCAAATACCTGAGAGAAGAATACGGCCTTGGGACTCAGATGCATGTAGTGTCCGACCTTCATGTCCTGGAGGTTGAGCTGCGCGCGGTACCATGCGTTTCCGGCGATGGCACCGTATGCCGAAGCACCAGTCGGGTTCTTGAATCCGCTGACGGAGTTCACCATCAATCCGTAAAGCAGCTCGTTGACGGTACCAATGGCCAACTGGAAGTTGCTAAGCGCGTACAGCCAGCCAAGCGGCACGACGAGGATTGCACCAGTTCCAATGGCGACGAAGTATGTCCACACGGGGATGAACATGTTTCCAGTGGCAGTGATGGTGATGAGAGCGATGGCCGAGGCAGCAAACAGCGCGGCAAACCATGACAAAGGCACTTCCTGGTAGCTTCGCTGCAGGATGCTGAGCTGGTCGTTGTACTGCGTGCTGATCTGCGATCCGTTCCTCATGCGATCCATCATCTTTGAGAGACTGCTCTTGATGGTCTTGTAGCCGAAAAGAGCAGCCCACGCAATAGCTGAGGTATAAGCAGCGTAGTCACTAAAAGAGAAATAGGTCAGAACATGAGAGAAGTGCCAGAGGATTTGGGGTTTCCCTTACAAGAACATGGTCCACAGGACCTGGGTGCTAACAAACGGGGGACCGTACTCGGCGTACGCCGTCTCGTTGAACGACACATCCGCAGTCAGCAGCTTCGTGATTGGGTATGACGTGCCGTTCTCGAGGAAGAGTCTGTTTGACATCAAATGCCCATGCCACTCGCCGAGGTGACCGTACTTGGCCGCCGGGATCAAGATCCAACAACTGCAGGCGAAGCCACAGAACATGACGACCTGAGTCCACCACGGAGTCAAGAAAAGAGAGCCGTTGGTCGAGATGTTGGACCAGTCCAGCGACAGGTTCAAGAAGCCCATTCCTCCGAATCCGGAGCCCACAAAGTTGGCAACTGCGTTGTTGGGTGCCACCCAGCAGAGGAAGGCCAGAGATCCGAGCATAGGGAAGATGTACTCGGGGAGGAACTGCCACAAGGTCATGCCGAGGAGAGCCCAGAAGAAGACTCTCGTCTGCTTGCGGGACGAAGCCGTCGAGGCCTCGCGCTGCTTCTTCTGCGTCTCAAACAGGGCGGTCTGGCAAAGCGCCGTGAACCACGGGAACTGAGGGTCGTAGATCAGGAACTGTCTAGCCAGTGCGGCAAACGAGTAGCCAGTCCACACAATACCCCACATGAAAAAAATCGCCGCTGCAGGGTGAATCTTGGAGTTGAAGTACAGCTCAGCCATTGCAACGGGGGTGTATCCCAAGTTGTAAGTTGCGCCCGATGCCGCGGAAATGGTAATCAGGACATGCTCCTTCACGTTGAACGGCCCCGGGTTGAGGTTGAAGCTGAACTTGGTGAACGGGACCTTGACTTCCCATGCCGGCAAGATCTTGGCAAGCCATTGGCCGCAGTAACTCGACGCAATCTGAACGAAGAAAATGGAGTACGGCGCATACGTCGTGCGGAAATGGCTCATCATTGACAGAAATGCGCCGGGAATAACGAAGATGATGGTGAGGAGAAAGTATCGGAACGTGAGGCAGGGCAAATCCGGATCATCGTGCAGCGAAACGATGCGGCGCACGTAGGCCGGGATGTCCTTCAGTCTCGGGTCATCCTCGTCAAATGCCTCTTCTTCGCCGTTGGCTTTCGTCGTGAACACAAAGGGCGGCTTTTCCATGTCGCCCTCGGTGTAGGGAGCAGCGGGCTCGCTGGACCTCTTCTCGGGCGTGCCATTGCTAGGAGAGTCGACGGAAATGGCGTCGCCATCATGAAGACCGCCAGTCTTTGGCTCACCGGCGGCCTGTTGCTGTTGGTTGGGGGATGGAGACATGGTGGAGGTCGTTCAGGGCGGCTGATCGCCAAGATGCTCGGAAGAGAAGGCCACACGGGAGCCAAGTCGGCCAAGCCTTAGGGGATCAGGGACCTTCTTCTTCCGAACGCAACCCTTCCGGCAGCTGGGCGTTCCAACTTATATCAAGAACCGTCCATGGCTCAAGTGTTTGCCCACGCGCCGTTTACTGGCTCTAGACAACTCCCGAATGCGGGAGGTCACTCGACCGTTACAGTTAGTTGGCGGAGCCACTGCGATGGTGTCATCGGCGTTTTTCATCTTTATATTGCTTGTGTCGCGCGATGGCACGAGGCTCTAGGTTCAAGAATGTAACCCAACGGGACTTTTCGAATTGCCCCGCAGGATCGCCGGCGCACTACATCGTATTGCGTGCGGCCAAAGTGCCATCCTCTGCGAGTCGGGTCAATCATATCATAGGGGCGACTTGGGCGAGAGCGTGTTCACAGATTGTGCCATAGTAAGCAGCAGAAGTTCCCCAGCTCCTCGTGGCAAACAAACAGAATCATATTGCAGAAAAGTCTCTTCACCAATCCCGTACATAACAGCAATTGCGCCAACGCCAAAAGTTCCTCGAGTCAGGATCAACCTCGATCTTCACAACCACTAGGCAGGTTAGCCGAGATGGATCCTGTGGAACACGGCCCTTTAAGCGGTGGGATGGGTGGACAAGGAGTACGTCAAGCTTAAAAATTCCTTCAATTGGGCAAAACGTTGCTTGGATCCGACTTGTTACATTGTGCTATTTGCCATTGTTAGATTTGAAATGCAAATGTCAGAGGCGGATGAACAATCACCGACTTCCAGTCTCTCCACCATGACTCGTTCCGTCACGAAGCAGCATTCTGTATCTGTAATCAAGAACAACCAGCTCAAGTCCCCCAAGCACTCAATTCCATGGCTGAAGCTTTCCTCCGTTCTGCAGAGTGTAGGCCCGGCCCTGAAGCCAGGAGCTCTCCGGGGCTTTCTGATCATACGCAACTGTGAAGCCCTGGTCCTTGATGCGTCCGAGGTCTCCGCCAACGACTGACAGACCTCGGACGAACGAGTTCTTTGCAACGGTCCAAATGCTTGTCTCGTCAATCTGCACCGTCAAACCCCCACGATTGTTGATGAGAGATGCATTTGCGGAGCCCTGCCACGTGCTGTTTGCCAAAATCTGGACTGTGACGGTACAGCCACCCCGGGTGACAATATCTCCGGAAATGCCATCCGAGCCCATCAGCGTCAGAGAGGAGTTGGAAGAGATTGGGCTCCCGCTCCAAAGCTGTGGCTCGACCTTCTCCAGGTCCCGGGATGCCGTGTTCGTATCCGCCAAAAGCAAAATTCCTGAAGGATTGTATATCCTTGCATTCATCAGGATGATCTCGGCGGAAAACGTTGCGAGGTAAAAGGCTGGGCCCTCGCGCACCGTAAGATTGAGGGATGTCGCCTCCAAGGTGCCGGTACCATGCTGTGCCGTGATAGACCAATCGAAGAACAAGAACCCGCCGATGGTTCCCGAAGTAATGGTAGAAGCGTTCAGATGTACATACTGAGGCCCCTCCATGATTATGGCGGGAGATGCATCGGCCCAACCGGTAAGATTGGATGACATGGTTCGCCCTAGAGAATATATCAATGGCGACCCCGGGTTGGTAGTGTGGGCGATGCCCCCACGACTATTGATATTGAGACCCGCGAGGGTAGGTGATCGGTAGCCACCCGAACAATGGCGGAGATTGGTAACATCGAGACTGGCACCCCGGATAGCAAAAAGACCAATGGCTCCTGGGCCGCTGCTGTACAATCGAGGTGCGTCCAGGGTGACCGTAGTCCCAACTCCAGTGGCGTACAGATTGATGGCGCCATTGTGGGTTTCGATCCGTCCAGAGAACCGTAGTGTTGATCTTTCGCCCTATTTTGAAGTCAGTCAACTTGTATGATCACGTAGGATTCAAGGGCGCTGTCAGTCTTACGACGAGAATTGCACTGTTATATCCCGTTCCGAGGGATCGGGGCAAGTCCTCAGGCGCTCCGGTCTTCAGCACGTCAGCCTGCAGCAAGTCTACGATAACTCCCGTCATGTAGAGCACGCTGGTTTGCTGCAGACTAGTCACATATGACTTGCCAGTCTCTGAAGTCTGGGGCTGGTCGAAAATTCTCTGGGCGACGACTGTGCCCGAGATTCAGTAGTCAACTCCATTGCGGTCTCTTGTGATCACTTGTGGCCTCTCGTAATGCGAAATAAGGCATCAATCAGTACTCACTAGGTTTTTCCTCGGTCGTTGCCGGGACGTAGTTTGGCCGGACCATATTGTCGTCAACCCAATTTGAGGCAAGGACCCCAGGATCAAGACACGGATCTTGGTCCTCAGGAATCGGATTTTGTGACCTGCATGTTAAAGCCAGTATGCCGATGGCGAGGGCGAGAGGAGCTCGGACACCCATGATGTGTTATGCGTCATGTGCTTCAAGTAACATAAAGGTAACGAATCCTTGCTGAGAGTCGCTTCTGCATTGCAAGACTGAAAGGCTTTCCCGAGAGGGTTCAGATGATGGCAAATGCGCCTGGAGGTTGGGATACCTGTCAGTTTTTAATCTGAGACCGCGTTAGTTGAGTATAACGGGAGATGAGCATCGAGCTATCAGCTGAACAGACGCGGGGAGGTAGCCAATTTGTGATACCCTCCACAGGGAATCGCACTACCAACAATAAGACACATTGTGCATCACATTTTAAGTTGAGTACGCCTGATATCTATCAGACTTTGCCTCTACAGCTGCTCTAATTCTCATTCACTGTGATAGATCCGCTTGACAAGATCAAGTCAGATCTGTGTACATGTAGACAAACATTGGGAGATACACTGCAAGAAACAGATATTTGTTACCTGTCGTCATCTCTCATCCGTAATATCCGTCTATTTCTTACCGTTTTCTTGTCTCAAAGGACTTAAGAACAGAACGAGCCATGTTGAGACATCGAATCTACATGTGGTTTCAAGCAATTGACGAAGTTTGGAGTTGATTTAACACGTCAATATCTAACTCTAGCCGAGGGGTTCAAGACATCCGGCAAGTCACCCTTCCTCTGAGTTACCTGTCATCTGTACTTGTCTCACATGTGCGACTCGTCTAGAGTGTCACTCCAGAACCTCGCCGTTGGCACCTTCACTCCCATCACGAGGACCCATGTACAAGATGTCGTGAAAGATTTGCATCCAACTTCCTTCTTCTCTTCTCCACCAGTACTGCACCTTGACTAAAAGGTCCTCTTTCTTATCTGCTTCATGATCTGGCGATTCGTCCCAAAGGTCGACCCTCATTCCCACCCACTCCTCTCTCCTGGCCTTCTGCTCGACCTCCACCGCCGAAGAGAAGCCTGCAGGAGCTGTCTGCTCATCGGTGCCAAACTTGAATTCGGAATCCTTGAGTGGTCGTATCGTGTAAAATCCCTTCTTTGTCGGCTTTCTTCCTGGCTCCGATGCCTCGGCCTGCTCTTTTGGTGCGTACTCGTGCAAGTAGCGCACAATTGTCTCCCGGTCTTGTGCAGCGAATGGAGGATTCGGGCGACATATCTGATAGCAGAAGGGAGAAAAGAATGCACCTTTCGCGTCGATGTCAGTGGTGTGCCTGTACGAAGCGTAAATTATCTTCAGATGAGTGGTGAGATCCACGGCGTCCGTTTGTGAAGCCATCAGAACAAGAAATGAAGTGTCGTCGATGTCGGGACGGGGTTTTATTGAACAATGTGTTTTGACGATGGGAGGATACTCCATCGTTTTTCATCCGACATTGGTGTGACTTCTCAAGCAGTCTAGGTCAGCATTTAGCGCCCAGCAAGATGGGTCAACTTGCAGCACATCGTATGTGTCCTTTCGAGCCTTTCTGGCGGTTCTCATTGGGTGAGAGATGACCGCCAAAAAGGGAACGCCTCAAAAGAATATTCATTCCATCTACTTTGCTCTAGTCTCAAACGAAATGCGCCACAAGCGGTCAAATGGAAGTTCCAAGGTCTTTCTAATGCCAAACGATAGCCTCACAATCTTGAGTTGGGTTTCTTATTATGGGCTAAATCTCTAATTCGAGACCCTGCAAGTTATCGCAATGCAGCTGGACATGAAGCTTGTAAGGAGGTGGGAAAGCATTTGTTAAGGTTATCTTGAAAGCCTTGCCCTTGAGTAAATCAGAAACAGTGAGTGGCGACATAGCCCCTTCGGTTAACTTGGTAATCTCTTCCGAGTCATTACTATCCGACAGGATTGCGAGCACACCAATAGCCGCAGACACTGCTTGACGTGTCGTGAGAGCAGTTCGCCGTAACACGGCATCGGTATTACACAGACCGGTTAGAAACACTGCACCTGACTCTGTGCAATGACAGATGACTGGCTAGAATTTCTGACAAACGTACGGGTCTCACGATAGCTCTATTCCCAGAGGACTCGTTCAGTATGGCCTTTGGCATCGGTGTAGACCGCGCACGCTCCTACTAATGGTCGAGTCTTGACAAGAATCAGGAAATCAGTCATGCAATTAATCTACTAAAAGCCAGAGAATCTCTGGCATACTTGCAGCAATACAGTTGCAGCAGCAGTTCCGGCCTATTTAAAGCGTAGTTACGGAAGCAACGATGAAGAATACTGATACTACCGGCGCCGAGTAGGAGCCGAGCGCCGGGCGGATTGCTCCGCACCCCTTGCTGGTTCAAGTCTGGACCACAGACGGAGATGGACATTTGTGTCCACATCCCTGCTCGGTCTCCTCGGAGGCCGACACGAAGCTCCCACCGCCGGTATGCCACTCAGCCTAGGCAATGGTGACCGAGGAGCCCGAGACGAGATTCCACGACGCTCGCTCCGACAACTTGACATAGATTGGCTGTATCCGAGCCCGAAGAGCAACTGCGGTAAGCAGACATGGTGGTCCTGCTTGAGTCCAATTCTGACCGAAAGGTGCATGTGTCTAGTGCGACTTATATCGGTTACGCAAAGTAAGTGGAAGCGCTGCACTGTGAGCATAATGAGACGCAGAATTGTTCTAGGGGCACAAATCTCAACATCAGTGTCTCTACGTCTGTGGCCAATAGGTCATTAACAAGCGTTCTGATAGGTTCGATGTGACAAAAGCGTACCTTGCTTCAACTGTCGTCAGTCTTCGCAGGATTGCACGTTCACAGGCGCTGGTCAGAAGCCCAAGGTTCCTCGACAAAGGGTCCATGTGTCCCTACAGTAGTATGTTTCCTGATCAAGCCTATTCTTACCTTCGCTGTATGTTCTAGACTAACAGGCTCGCAGCGAGGAGAAAATAGACCTTCTGGACAAACGCTTGGCCAATATTGAGTCCTTGCTGCTCAGACAACAGAGCACGGCGTCAACACAATGTTCATGTTCAGGGTTGACACCTAAAAAGGCCTTATCGGAGGTGCCAGCCTTGGTGAAGGATGCATCTCACGTTGCCACAGGATTCGATGCAACAGATGAGACTCCCCCGGTTGGAGGCCCTTCTTCACTAAGATTCCAGATGGCAGCAACAAGAAAACTCACAGAAAGTGCGGCCATTGAGCTGGGGTGCCTCATGCTACGTGAATGCCGTAGCTAGTGCGCATCGTGTTGTAGGATCTCAGTGCCCAGCAGGAGCATCCGAACGGCAATCGGCGCAAAGGCCTGTGACTTACCGAAACATGCCTCTGCCGCCAACATCTGCTGTCATCAACGTACTCAGACAGCTGAAAGGTGCGCGTCTTATCTTCCAATAGGGTTCGAGTTATTTTCCACGGTCTGTTGCTAACTTGATAGACAATCCTCCCAGTAGTTTCTTTGTCTTGAGGTGTTTCTTACCGTGTGCCGAGTTCATCGACCTCTGCCGAAACGTTTACTTCTCCGTCGATGACTTTACTGCCATCGAATTCATCATAGTAAATTCGGGTCTACACTATCTCTTCACAGAATACTTTTGTCCTCCCGGCCTCGGGAATTCTGCGCTTCGGAAACAGTCTCTCACCTGGGGGGCAGTGTAGAAATGCTCTTACGGCCGCTGTGGCATCGATTGATGCCGGACTGTCTGCGAAGGCGGAAAACGTACAAGCATTGATCCTCGGGGTATATCAAGCCCGCGTCTCTTGATCATGGTACTCTCTAACGACGCAGACAACACACGCCATTGAGATGGCCAAGCCCTGGTTGGCATGGAGGCTGATATGCTTCGCAGCACAGCTTTGCATGGCTGCAGGCTTTCATGACGAGACTCTGATTGCAGCTGATGATAAGAATACGAGGAACAACAAAGCTTTGTTGTTCTGGCATGTTTATGGGCTGGAGAAGACTCTTGCGTTACGCGTTGGCAGAGCCTCCATGATTGGAAATTGTGACATTATTATACCGAAAGGGTTGAATTCGGTGTGGCTGCCGAGGCTGTGGGATAAAGTTGTGCCGTTCTGGATCGCGGATGCCCAAATACATGGAACATTATACGACTTGCTGTACAGTCGTAGCGCCCAGCTCATCTCCCAGGAAGACCTGTCTGATCGAGCAAATGGCTTGCTTGCAGACCTCAAGTTGATAGAGCCCATCAGACTGGCGAGTACAACCTAAGAGATCGGAGTTTATAATGGTATTAACTTGCATACAGGTAGTTAAATCCAACGATCACATCTGCTTCTAATCACACCGAACCAATGACAAAACTGGAGGATGTTCTCGCGATATCCGCCGGAGTTATGTACAATACAACAGCAACTCTGATATGCAGAGCAAAGACTTCTCGAGCTTCTGTGCCGTCTTTCTCGCCGGACTGCCTGTCATATGCACGCGCGACAATCGACGCTCATCTTGAATGCGTCCCCTTGATGAGTGGCGACTTGCATATCATGAATCTTTATCTCCATTGGTAAGAGGACAGTAACTTCACAATTCTTTGCGGAACTAACAGGTGCTACCATGTTGCCAGGCGAATTTTGCAGACCCCTTTCATTCCTCTCCTGGTGGTAATTCTGCCACATAGTCGAAACTCAAGACACGGGCGACGCGCAGCGACTCTAGAGTTTTGCAGATAGCCTTAAGCAGGGGGCAGATCTGTCCCCTTCTGCTAAAGAGTTTTATGATATCACTCGAGAGCTCAATATGATTGCAGAGAAGCATATTGAGACCAGTAGCGAACAAGATTGGGCGTCTGTTCCCTCTCCTTCAACGTTTGGGCTTAGCCAGTTTTATCCGGCTAGTGCTTTGGCGGAGAATTATCACTTGACATCTGAGAATGTGCAGTCTAACCAGGACATGGAGATGATGTTTGATGGTGAGCAGGTCTTGCGCTTTTTCTAGTTCGTTTTGCCGATGTTCCAACTCGAGGCGTGTGGCTGGACGCGAGAACAACGAAAGAGGCATAGACTTCAACATCTGTATAATCCGAGAATCTTGCTATCAGGGTGGCTGAATATACCTATATATGTAATAAAATAGAAGCATATGCAAAGATTAAGTAGCCAGGTAAGAAATGCAAGCCAAAGAAATTCTTCAATGCTACAAATCCGGTCTCTAGGGAAGAAGAGACAATATCAAAGTTCTTGGCTTCTTCAGGCCCCTGTGCGCTTGTGTGACGCATGGGACAAGCTTCTCCAAGAAGATAAAATAAGCAAGCTTTTGAGTCAAGATGACTTATGATCGGGATCGCGTATAAGCGTACGATTTATCTCCGCCAGGAGGGGCGGGCAAAATTGGTTCTCGGGGACCGAGAGCCCCGAAACCTACGAGAACCCGTGTCCGTGACAGGTGCACATCCCACCGCTAAACTCGGGGCAGACAATGTTACCGGTAACTGCCGCATTGTATTTCTAAGCTAATTGGTAATTGCCTGTACATGCCTTTGCGATTCCGAAATCTTGTCCTCAACCTCTGGCGTATGACGCTGTCAGCAGTGATAATGCCATGTGAATCGTGATGGACACTGTCGTTGTCCGAACTGCGACGTGAGTCCATCTTCTTGGCGTAGGCAGGGCCTGTGATATATACACCGTCATTGATCCACAGTCATCTTATATAGAGTGAAAAATTCGAACATTGAGTAAAAGACGACCAAGTAATGGGATCTCCTTCAGACTTGAACACTACTCACCTTACTTAAGAGAAGTTTTAGATTCTCAACGTCATACAATCTGAGTCAAACATGTCTGTAGCAATTTCTGGCGGAATCGGCGGCCCTGGCCGTGCCCTCGTTGAAGCTATCTCGGCTCGAGGGACCCATGAGGTTATCGTGCTTACGAGAAAGGTATCCATCCTGCGACGCTCTGTTTCGCATCGAAACAACACAGTCTATTGATATTGATGTGATTAGGTTTCAGGAAGACCCGGTGGTGCAGCCCCAAATGTTCGTTTTGTTGCTGTGGACTACTCCGATATCGATTCTCTCGCCTCCGTCCTTGAGAGGTACAATGTCGACACGGTCATCTCTGCCGTCAACAACATCACCGGGGATAATAAGTCAGAGTTGAATCTCATCGCAGCTGCCGAGAGGTCAAAAACAACGCGGAGGTTCATACCAGGTCACTTCGGTGTTCCAAACCTACCCGAGTTTGGCTTCTAGACTTTCCCACCTTACCTTGCATCTTCACCGACCTAAGGGGGCTGTACCGGCTCACGTGCAGATGTCTTTCGGATTCGGGCAATGTGAATCATTCCCTCTCCCTGCTTCATATAGAAACCGGCCATGGACCAGCTGAAGTCGACATGGTTGAAAGGAATCAACCTCTAAACCGGATACTTCCTCGACGCCGGGAGTTGATATCGTTTACCTTATCACCGCCATTCCCCAAAGCCCCGACCGGCATCCGGAGAGCTACATCATTGGCGACAAGGCCACTCACTTTTAGCGACCTTGTCCATCTTGTAGACGAAATCAAAGGTGAATTGCCCATCATTTAAGGGTCTTATGTTGCGAAGCTAATCGTCTGAAGGCACCAAGTCTACCGTCGTTCATCGCCAGATTGAAGATCTTGAGACCAAACAGATGACGGAACTGCCATCTTACAAGCTGGTGTTTAGATTGCATTCAAAGGAGATTGTTCTAGCTTCCTTGATCCCTCCGGCCTTGACTGCGCGCGAGGCCAGGCCGAACCCAAGCCGGGTCGTATACCCAACGACTACTTCGTAGAGATCAAGGCGGAAAACTGCAACAAAGACTCTGGAGCATGGCTCGGGATAACAGTGATGGAGGTGCCAGCTCGCTGCATGGGACTCGAAAAGCCGCGATGGATTGGAAAAATAGTCGGACCTACGGTGATGTGTAGGATTTTTGCCTGGTTGAGATTTAACAAAGGCCTTGTAAGCCACAGTCTTGGCTGTCTGACGGAGCTTCGGATGTGCATGGGGGGAACTCCGTTCTCATTATTACATGTAATCTCACGTCGCCCGCAACGATAAGGCCCTTCATCGACATAACTCCCCTCCTGTTGCTTTCTGCCCGTCAATGAAAGCATGAACGTGCTTAATAAATGGGAATGGGAACTCAATGGCTTGGGTGTCTTGCGCAACAAGGCTCTCCATTACAACATTACTTGAATATTCTATGTGTCTTCTCTTTCATTATTGCTCTTCCGACCGTGACCTCTATTTCTCCTGCCTTCGCGTCTGCTGTACCGCCAGCTGTACCAGGAGAAAAGGGGACGGCTGAAGATACCGGGATTTTGCGCCGCACCGAGACGGAGACGGAGCCGGCGATAAGAGCGGAGACCGGGGTCGCGGGCCCATCAGCCGGTAAACTTTCCTCCTCCCTCCGAAATGCAGCAGGTAAGCACTAAGCTTTCGCTTCGCAGCCAGCCTAATTTCCATCAAACAACCTTCTTCAGGTTGAACCCTACCTGCACAGTCCTCGCCGCGATGAAAACACCAACCGCCGCCAACATCGAGAAGCCACAGAACAGCTGAAGCCCAAGATACGTGCTGCCTCCTTGCGACGCAACAATGGCGCCGGCAATAGGACTGCCAGCTAACGCACCAAAGGACTGAACGGCGAAGGCGGTGCCCGTGCGAACACCGATTTGTCGAATGTCGGAAATTTGGGCAATGCAGGCTGGGCCAAGTGAGATGAAGCCGCCAGAGGAGAAGCCGAAGATGACGAGGAAGACGATGATGGCGGCGTTGCTCTTGCCCGGGATCCAGAGGCCGAGACAGAAGATTGCGCTGATGAAGGTGATGCAGATCATTACGTTGTACCGACCGACTTTGTCGGCGACGATGCCGGGGATGATGCGACCGAGGATGCTGCGCCTTGTTAGCTACCATCGTACAGACTCAAGGTGAAGAAGGTCTTACCTAACGGCGTTCATGATGGGCAAAAGGTAAATGACAAGGTTCTCATCCATGCCTTGCGCACGCGCCTGGAGAATGACAAAGTTGAAAGGCAAGAACATGCCGAGAAAGAAGAGAAAAAACGCGCACACGGTGATAGCCATGGGCGGCTCGCGCAGGCCACCAACGTACTCCTTGAACACGAACGGTCGCGGGCGAGGCGGCAACCGCGACTTCACTGTGAGGCACGAAATACCGAGCAAGAACAGGAACAGGAACGCCACAGCGCGGATGGCCCATGGGAAGCCGACGGAGGGAATCATCTTGGACATCATGATGGGCAGGATGACGCCGCCAAGCGATGAACCGGACACCATGATGCCGAACGCGGCTGCGCGTCTTTTGAAGAACCATGAGGTCACGGATAACATACAGGCGTTGAAGCACGCGCTCGAGCCGATGGACGAGACGAGACTCTGGGCGAGGATGAATTGGTAGTACTGCGTCGACAGCGAGGTCATCATCAGACCAAAGACGTATACGACTGTGCCGCAGTAGAGGAGGTACTTGGGCCCGAACGTGTCATACGCACGGCCAAACTGGAGCAGGGTGTTAGCTGCCGAGACAGGGCGGCGGAGAGGTATTATCCCTTGGGGAAGAAACTCACGATAACGCCCATAAAGGTCATCGCCCAGACCTGCAGACTGGTGATCCACGCGACAGTCGACGAAGGGTACGCGCTGAGGGGACCCGACACATAATACGCCTGGAAGACGCCGACGCAGTTGATCAACCCAAACGTGCAGAACAACGCGCACCACCCTCCAAAGACGACAAGCCAAGCCTGGGCGCCGCCATCGGGAAAGTCAGCGGGGCTCATTCCCGGCGGCGGGCCGGCAGCGGGCGGTGTCGCCGCATCGCCACCGGCCGGGGCATTGGTCTTGGCACCATCAGTTGTCGCGTGCGTCAAGCCGCCCTTTTCAAGATCGGCCTCGACGACGTTGGCGGGTTCTGGGTAGATGTTGGCCTCGGTGTCGCGCTGCTGGGAGGGGATGCGGTCTAGGGATTGGCGGGCGGAGGAAGAGCACTCGTAGGGGATCGGGTCCGACTTTTCTGGGTCTGCGGGCGCGGTGGACCTGTCCATGACGGTTGACGAGTTTGACGACGTCGAGAGGGCGTGATGTGAGCGCGCCATGGTTGTGAGTTGCGGGTTTGGGGTGTTGTTGCGACTGTTTTCCTCAGCGAACTTTGTGGTACAGACAAGAGTTCGCTTCGTGTAGGTGTGTCTTTTCTCCTTTTCTGTCTTGATGGTTCCTCAAGAGACTTCGAGTGAAGCTTTGATTGTGAACACCCCTTTCACTCCGTGGATGCAGATTTTGTCGGCGAAAAGTTCCTGGACGAGATCAGAAAAGAAACTCCCTTGGGCCCTTGAGTGCTGGTAACGTTTGTGGGGCGAGCTGCTGCGTTGTTTCGTATCGTCGGTGAATAGATGGACGAGATTGCTTGCTTCTTGATCGGCTAAATATGGGACTATCAAGTAGCCCAAGGTAGTAGCAGCAGCAGCAGTTCGTCTTGTTCTTATTCTCTGGGGCCCTGCCTATATCCGAATGATCAAAGTATTTCCACACTCCACGACAACTTCCATGGTGCGGCTCAAGTGACGGACAATTATTAATCGCAAAGTAGACATGGAGTCAACAAACGTTGACATAAGCTACTCTCGCGCCTTTCTCGCCCTTCAAGTTCAAGGAAACAAGATTGTTTTGGGGGGTCAGACTGAAGAATGCAGAGGACTCCTGACAAACCCATGTTCGGTTATAAACGCCATGCCCTTCTGGATCACCGCAAATTCCGGATCCTGTAAAACCTGGGGAGGGGCAGGCGACCCTTAGCTTAGCGGGCCGGATATAACAAGCGACTTACCGGCCGAAGGGCCTTTGTCCATTTGAGAAATGTGAGAATCTAAGCCGTTAGGCAGAGGTTGGGAAAAGCTGGACGTTTTGCTTCCAAGCGGCTCAGCTAAGGTATGACCAGCTGTTGTGGTGACGCAGCATGCTTGGGCTGCTATCTTCTAGCTTCATGAGCTTGTCGCCTGTCGCAGTGTCATTTGTGAGTCTCCCGGCGGGAACGTGCGCTTGTGATTCACGGAAACGGATGTCGGCCGCTAGATCAGTCGTTTTTAACCCCTCTCAAATCAACCAGTGCGGTTTCAACGTTCAAGAGAGAGAGAGGAGAAGTTTGGTTGCTGATCTTTCCTTAGCTTAGCTTTTGGAGAGTCGGTGAGGCTTCATCCCAATTGCAAGTACGGAGTAGGTGACCATGAAAGTTCATTTGTGCGCCAGCTTTTCAATTGATTTGGACCGACAGAATGATCTGTTTCGAAAGTTGAAAGAGCGGCAAGGCTTGTTCTCACCAAGGTCTCACGACCTCAGTGAGGTTCCTGACCCAAACTCTTGGCACCTTGAAACTCGTCTTCTTCATCAGAACGCGCCTTGGCTGCAAGATCTCACCTCGTACCCCAGCCCGGAGCCGTGTTCCGGAGTGGGGGGCCGGAAGGCACTTGTTGGCTCGGTGTTGAGATGAAAACGCGAGACCCGAGACTCTGGATTGGAATGAGGGATGTTGCAACTCATCACCTTTGGCGATTTGACCAATCACCACAGTTCCATTGTCTCGGAAGGGTGTGCTCGGCGCTCGGTCGGAAATCGAGGTGTCATTTCGAACGCCAGGCTTGTCAATAATGCCAGCCTCCGTGGCTTATTATCGCTAAGCCGGACTAAATCAACGGCGCAAAACCACGTGGTTTTGTGACCTTCTATCCGTAGCTGTCATTCAGCAAGCTTGTTCGACGAGAATCAGAGATGTCCAGGGATCGGACAACGACCGAACTGATATATCCGATATGGTAACTATCCGTGCGAATATATCCGTCCGACAGAATACCAGCTAGAATACGAGTGAAGAAGATTCGGCCGGTACTGAAGAACAGCCAAAACACCTTGCAGCAACCGGGCTTATTTCGCACGTCACCCTCACTTGCAGATTGTGACCTGACCGTTTCGTTGTCTATTACACAGTAAATTTACATTTGTCAGCCTTGTGGCTGTCTGGCTCAATTGCCATGGCAATTCTGCTTCGCGGCACGGGTGTGCCCGTTTTTGATTCCGACTTTGGTTCCGCCTCTATCGCACGAATTCCTTGAGATCCTTCGCGTCCTCAAAGCTGACCTTTCCATCACGCGATACATTGGCAACATGAATGGCTGAGGGTGGCTGCTCAACCGATGCGGGCTTCGCCTCGACCTTGGGCTGGGTGGTCAGTTCGACAGCCTCCGCAACTACGCCAGCCGGCGCATCTGCAATCTCGTTGACCTCCTTGTTGGTGAGGGAGTCGGCAACCCTCACTCCTCTGCTGGACATGAGAAGGGTTGTCGGGCCCCGGAACTGAAGGAACAGGCGATCGCCCCAGATGGTGCGTCTGAGTGACGTCCTCAAGGTGAACAACAACTGAGCAATGTTCTTGTACGTGCTGGTATCGCGCATCGCCTTCATGAAGTTCGTCTCTGGGAAGAAGCGAGTAATGTTGGGGATCTGGAGGCGGAGGATGTTCGACTTGAGGCGCATCGGTAAGGGAGGGTTGCGAGAGACGGCGTATGCGACCACGTGCGAGGGGTGAGCGACGAACTCTTCGCCTTCTGCGAGCGTGACTTCGTATACCTGACCCGGAGAGGACAGAGCAGCCAGGCCTCGACCGGTGAGGTGGGTGCTTCCCCAGTGGGCAAGCGAAAGACCACGGCTTATACGCGGCGATACGGAGAGGGTGTGGCCAGTCCAGGCAAGAAGCGCATTGCGCTGGGCGACCATGTAGTCGGTGGTACCATCGAGGTGAAGGACGGAAAAGGTCGTCGTGGGAGACTTTGTAGAAATCAGAGCCGTGAGGGGGGTTGAAGATGAAATGCGTTGGTATAAGAAAGGTACGCCAAGAAAGGCTCGTGTGAAGGGCGAAAGAATGAACAGCGTCGATTGGGCCTGCGATTGAGTAATTAGATATTGGTCAGAGGAGCAGAGTCCGAATCAGTGCTCACATTTTCAGCCTTGCCTGCAACTCCTACCAATGTTCCCCTTCTGGTGAAGAGCTGCTGCGATGGCGACAGAGAGACAGAAAGAAGAGAGTAGGGGGAACCAAGGACCTCGAACCGGGCATCTGTTGGTCTCAAGTTAGCAAATCCTCCATACTGAATGCCTTGCGATCAAAGACTGAACCATACCGGCGGCATCCCGCGACGCTCCTCGAGCTCCAAAGACATCCCCGCCAACTTTTGGGGCTTCAATCGTCGGCGCAGCGCTGATCTGGATGCCCCTACATTGCCTGCAGACGTATGAAGGCGATTGACCAGGTCGCACACCTCGCGCCGTCCTCAGCAAGGGCAATTGGGCGCGCATGGCGGACATCTGGGAGGCTGATGACGTCGGTCGTTCAGATCGTGACTTGCAAGCTCCAGCAGCTGTCGGCCTCTGCCCTCTGCTGCATCTGGAATTTGGAGGGCCGCCGACCTTGCGCTGACGGCAAAATCCCGGAGCTCCATCCCGGGTGAACACCGTCCCGAGCCGAGAAGTACGTACTTCAAAGTCCGGTACGTACAGGTCGGCACGTGCTGCAGCTACGTACCTCACCGTTCTTTCTCAGCGTCAAAGCTCGAAGATTGAAGTGGGGTGGAAGATTGGCTTTAATTCGCTTGGAGGAGATTAGCGCCGTCACCCCGGTAACCTCCCATGTCGACACCCCTGTTGACAAGGCCTCAGTGCAAACCTTCCATATTCCTTGCACAACATTGAATAAGTCACGAACACGGTTTAAACACCACAAAAGTCTTCTCGTCGAACCATTTCGACACGTCGCGTCGACCCCGACACCATACTCCCGAGTATCGACACCCATTCATTCCTGCTGGCGACGGGCTGCTGCCACCCTATCCATCGAGTCGAATCCTGGACTGGCCTCACCATGTCGGTTCGTGTGGTCGCGCGTATCCGTCCCCTCCTTGAGAAGGAGCTGGATAAGGACGTCATTGTCCGGGCGGACAGCATCGAGCAAGGCAAGCCAGCCACGCTGGTCAAGATCCCGAGTCCGAAGAACGAGAGCGAAGAATTCTCCTTTGCCTTCACCAGTGTCTACGACCAATCGACGACACAAGACGCACTCTTTACATCAGAGGGTACGGATACCTTACGCGAGACACGAATATGGAGACATCGGTCAAACTAACTTGAGCAGTGGCACCACACATCAAGGCACTCTTCCAAGGTCTTGATGTCACCATCTTCGCCTATGGAGTCACAGGAACCGGCAAGACACACACGATGAGAGGTGGGCTGAAGCTAGCAGATCGCGGTGTAATCCCGCGCCTGCTGAGCGGTGTGTACCGGCGCGGTAAGAAGATCGCCAAGGACACCGGCGGCAAGACAACTGTCGACGTTGTCTTGTCATACTACGAGATCTACAACGACAAGGTCTTCGACCTATTCGAACCTCCCGAAAAACGCCAGCCCTCTGGCCTACCCCTCCGCGAGAAAGATGGCAAGACGATGGTAGTGGGTCTCTCCGAACGGGCTTGTGAAGATCTCCAAGACTTCTCCCGACTCTACATCGAGGCGAATAACAACCGCGTCACGGCATCGACGAAGCTCAACGCCCACAGCAGTCGAAGCCACGCCATCATGAGAATCAAGGTGACCCAAACGACGGGAGACCAGATCCGTGAAAGTGTGGCCTCAGCCATTGACTTGGCTGGCTCGGAAGACAACCGCCGTACCGATAATGGAAAGGAGAGACTGGTAGAGTCTGCTGCCATCAACAAGAGTCTTTTCGTCCTGTCGCAGTGCATCGACGCCATCTCCCGAGGGGACAAGCGGATTCCCTACCGCGAGTCAAAGATGACGCGCATCCTCAGCTTAGGCCAGAACAACGGCATCACCGTCATGATCCTGAACCTGGCCCCCATCCGCAGCTACCATCTTGACACTTTGAGCAGCTTGAACGTCAGCTCGAGGGCCAAGCGCATCGAGGTTCGCGAAATCGAGAACGAAGTCGTCTTCAAGCAGGTCCCGCGTACGAACTCGGGCAGTTCTACATCTACTCTGCGACAACCCCTCCGCCCCCTGGCCAATGCCCACAACATTCACAGTGGCACTATCGCAGCCAAGGCAAGTGAGAAGGCTGCTGATCCGACGCGACCGGTGAAGCTTTTCAATGTTTACACCGACCGTAGCAAGGCCGCTGCTCCCGTCCGACCGACTGCCAATATGACGCAGACCCGGAAGCCCCTCGTCGAACGCGAATTGCCGTCCAAGGCTAGCAGGCTTGCACGACCGTCGCAATCCTCACTGATAGCTCAACCAGTCCAGCCGTCTCAACCAGCCGAACAAAAGCTCTCCATCTCCGCAGAGCAATTGGAAGCCATCGTCGAGAAAAAGGTCAGCGAGATCCTCGCCTCCAAGGAGAACAAGACGGCAGAACCTGCACCTGCACCTGCTCATCCCGACATCAACGATGCTGTGCGGCGCCGGTTGGAGGCACTAGAGCGCCGGATCGCAAACGAGGAGCGGGAACGCGACGATGGACGCTCAGAGGGACTACGCTTCTTGCTAGCTGCCAGGCAGGCAAAGGAGACTGGCGACGACGTTGTGGCCCTCCAAATGTACGAGGAGGCTCTTCCTTTCTTCCCAGGCCAGGCCAAGCTGCTGGGCAAGATTGAGAAGCTGAGGGTCAAGCTTGGAAACATGCTTGCCACCGAATCTTTGCCAGTGTCATCATCTCCCCGGAATGGACACGAGAAGAAGCGTAGAAGAATTGCTGCCGACGACAGTGACGAGGAGTACCAGCAAGGTAGAGGGGACGAAGACATGAGTTTTGTGGACGTCGCCGCCAAGACGAAGAACCGAAAGGCCAAGCCTGCCAGGCCCCCCAAAATGGTCCTCCCCGACCCGGCCGGACCAGCTTCTCCCCGGACTCAGAACTTGCTGAGCATCGTCAACTCGCGAGACCTTGCCCAGATCAAGGGCTTGCACGGATTCGGCTCGAAGAAGGCCCAAGACCTCGTTGATTACCTGGAAACGATGACGGATGAGGAGGCCGAGATTGAGACTTTGGCGCAGCTGAAGACCATCCCTGGAATGGGTGGTCGGACCGTCGAGCGTGCTTACGACGGTCTTGTTGGACTGGCTATTTGAAGCCAGTGAAGTGATATCCTACCTAGCATGGCGCATCGGGCGGCTATAGGTGCATTGGGCATGGTGTTTCTGGAGTTCTGCATACAGGCCGCGGTGGCCTTGAGAAACAGGTTGCTTACAGAATGTTGCATAATGTGGCGAGAATCCTTCAGGGCAAAGCATACTAGATAGGTAATTCGTTCCCGTCAACCCCCGGTGGCATGCGTTGCATTGTGTGATGTATCTCAGTCTATTCGTTCTATCTAAGTGTATGCACCATAACGGTGTCTTTAACTAGTAGAGCAGCCTCAACGCCTACCACATCTCTCCCCGTACATCTTCATAAGACTCTTTCGTCATGATGAAGTACAAGTTGTCGCAGCTCAGCCTTGACGAAACCTCACAAAGCTATCTTGGACAGCTTGACATAGCATTGCCGAGGCTTGACCGTCAACCCATCATAGCCTCTATAGTCTGACAACTCTGGAGGACATTGCAAAAAGTCAAAGTTCCAAATCAGCATCGCAGTGAACATGCGAAGCTCCAAGTATGCCAGCCTCCGCCCAAAACACGCTCTTGGCCCGAGGCCGAAAGCCATCTGAGGCCCCGCCGTGGCATCATACACCATCTGCCCCGGATCCTTATCCGACTTGACAAGCCATCGCTCAGGTTTGAAGTCCTCCACAGGATACGGCGATGACTCCCAACTTCGGATCCGATTAGACGCGTCGAGTGCCGTCTTGGACCGCAGGGCATCGAGGATATCAAAGGCTGGCTTGAGGATGCTCTTGCCAATGGTCACCATCATCACGTTTGTGCCTTTGGGGATGTGGTGGCCCAGGATCGTGGTATCTTGCATCGCTTCGCGGTCCGTGACGGAGGTCGTCCCCGCGAAGCGCAGGATTTCTTCAATGGTGGCGTCGAGGTAAGGGATGGTGGTCTTGATGATTTCTTCATGGGTTGGGTTCCGTCTCTCTTTGACCGCGTCGTGCAAGTGCTGGCGGAGGGCTTCGCGGAGATGTGTTTGGGCTTCTGGGTTGTCTGTGAGGTATTTGATGCCCCCGCCAAAGGTTGTGGCTGTTGTCTCGTGCCCGGCTAGTAGGAACCCGAATGCCTAGATCTTGTTGTCAGAGTGTCTGGCCTCTTTAATTAGATCGCGTGCCGATACTCTGACTTACCTCGCTGTGCATACCAACCGACTTGTAGACCGGGGCCCTGCCTTCCTTCTCGGCTACCCGCTTCTCTCTGTAGACCATATGATCGAGCGCCGAGCACGCAGGTTCACCGGCCTCGAATCTCGACGGCCGTCTCGAGTTCGTGGTTGACAGATTCATCTCTGATCTTTTTGGCGGCCTTGATGCGAGGTGTCTGATGGATATACCAGCACCGAAGCCATGGCAGAACTGCCTTTCTCGTTTTCTCGACCTTTTCTGCTAACTCTAGCATCGCTTTGATGACTTCGCTCTGTTCACTCTCCGGAAAGACCACCGGAGAATCAGCATCGGCTGGAAGTTCCACGGTTCCGAGGGCCGAAATCAGCTGCAGTCGACTTCGCAGCGTTATGTGTTGAAAGTTGCTGCTGTAGGAGAACGCTAATACGGCGTCAAATGCCCCGAAGTAGATATCGTTGAAGGCCTCGAATGGGTGGCTGTCGGCAAGACGGGCCTTGTGCTCCCAAAGCTCAACCACCTGCCGGACGCTATCATGGATGGGCTTTGCTACAGCACCATGAAGGAAGCCAGGCGTCATCAGGTCTTGCAACCATTTCCGCTGCCTCTTGTACAGGGGATCCTCGCTCTTCATCATCATGTGAAACTGAGGCATCAGCGGCTGGGAGATGTACCGCAGAAATTCGGTTCTGTCAACTCCTTGTACCGTCTCATGGATATATTCTCTGCTTCGCGGTAGTCTGTGACGATGACCGTTGGGGGAGAAAGGGGGCGCATGAAGAGTTGGATGATGGGCGATTGGAGGTTCTCGGTCTGGGCTGAAACCCATCGGAACATAGAGATGCCTTGTTTCTGGCTTTCGAGGAAGGAGTCGATGTCTCCCATGATATTTGTTGCTGCATGTTTGTTGTGAGGTATTCCTGGGATTGGTTTGGGTAGAAGAGCGCGGTGCAAGAGGTAAAGGAGTGCGACTGTAAGACCAGCAACGACAACGCCTTGTTGCAGGTCAGAGTCGAATGAAGACATCTTTTGCTTGGGTAAAGCAGTGAACAACTCTGTAACTGTAAGTAACTTTCGAGTATTTCAAGTTCATTGATGCGTTCGTCTCAGTTCGTTTGAAGTTCTTTTCGCCGTGTTATGTACACGGAAAGAAGCTTTGCAGCGGGCAATAGAAAGCGTCCGAGACTAAGTTATGTCGCGTCACCTCCCCGAACTCTCTGCCCATCAGTCCAAGCGTAACTAATACGGACATTTCATCCTATTCGCTAGTGATTGAAGGCTTGTTGATGGATCAAAGTCCCATGGCAGACTTCTGGATGACCACAATTGCCTGGTGCGATCCACTTCGTCTACTGGAACTTGGCTTTGCTTTGACAATGCTGAGTCCGACCCCTCCCCCGAGTCCGTACCATGCTTCAGACCTATACTACGTGCAAACTTGGACCCAGGATGGACCTTTATTCTCTTTCGGAATTTGAAGACTTGTAAGAGGAAGATGCACAGTGTAGTCGCTGCTCGAATTACAGTCGTTGTACACGACCGCTGCCGTGTCCAGTCCTAGCCCTAAAGTCTATCACTAAGTCGTAGAGTGAAGAGTTATTGTGTTAACTTAGTGCATTGCATGCATTTGATGTGTCTAAATTTGGGGCTTTCACTTCCTTTGGCCTCAAAAACTCTAAGCCTGGGAGAAAGACAGCAATGAATTGATGTTGACTAAGTTGATCGTACAAGACATCATGTTTCCGTTGTCAACAGATCCGGGATCGGAAATTGGGGAAACAAATGTTCCTGCGGAAGCTTCAAGGTTCCGGATACAACTCCGGGTTGGAAAAAGCACCAAGGCATCTCAAAAGGAAGCAACCTCTCCAAGCCGGCTATATGCGATAACTTGGCGCCTCCGCATCGGGTACGTCATCCCCGGATATCTTGCCCCGAGACCGGTGCTTACGCGGAGAACGACAGCCACCAACCTCCGTCTACGACAAAATCTCATCTCCGTCGGCCGACTCTCAATCAGAACCATCACGGTAAAGTTTAATACCTTACTGTATTATTTTCAAGCGACCATCTCTCGACTTTCAACGTTATGGCTTCTCACAAGATCCTTGTCCTTCCAGGCGACGGCGTTGGCCCCGAGATCATCGCAGAAGCTATCAAGGTCCTTGACGTGATCCAAAATGCCTCTGGCGTGAAATTTGAGATCCGCTCAGAGTTGATGGGAGGTTGCAGCATTGACGAGCATGGTGTAGCCCTGACCCAAGAGGTCCTAGATGTGGCTAAAGCAAGCGATGCTGTCTTGTTCGGGTCAGTCGGTGGACCCAAATGGTGAGTTAGGCCATCAACACGACTTTCATCAGCGGCAATGACTAAAGTTTATGTACCCTCAGGGGTGCTGGCAAAGTGCGACCTGAACAGGGTGTCCTAGCCTTGCGCCATGGACTCAACGCCTTCGCAAACCTCCGTCCATGCAAGTTTGCGAGCAAGTCTCTTGTTGACCGAGGTCCCATCCGACCCGAGCTCACAGAGGGAACCGATTTTGTCCTCGTGCGAGAGAACTGCGGGGGTGCTTATTTCGGAGACAAGACTGAGGAGGAGGACTTTGCATCGGACGCCTGGGCGTACTCCCGAGCAGAAGTTGAGCGGGTTGCAAAGGTCGCCGCCGACCTAGCCATGGAGACGGACCCGCCTCAGCAAGTCATCTCGTGCGACAAGGCCAATGTTCTTGCGGTCAGTCGGCTTTGGCGGAGAGCCGTGACGGACTTTTTCGCGAGGGAGTATCCGCAGATCAAGCTCTCCCACCAGCTTGCCGATAGCGCGGCCATGCTTATGGTTAAAGATCCGCGCTCTTTCAACGGAGTGGTACTCATGGACAACACGTGGGTGTTGCAGACCCAACAAGTTTGATCAAGCTAAACAAAGAATTGCGCGAGTTCAGGTTCGGCGATATCCTTTCAGATGTGAGTAGCGTAGTCCCGGGATCGCTGGGTCTGCTTCCATCCGCGTCGATCTCAAGCACCACCCCTGGCTCGGGGGGATCGGCCTCTACGAGCCTATCCACGGAAGCGCCCCCGATATTGCAGGCAAAGGTAATAGAGCTCCGTGCCGAATACTCCAAAGGTACCAGTAGCTAATTCTCCTTCTGCAAAGGTATCGCCAACCCAGTCGCAACCATTCTTGCGGCTGCAATGATGCTCAAGTACTCATTCGGGATGGCCGATGAGGCAAAGGCCATTAATAGAGCCGTTGAGAAGGTCTTAGACTCCAAAGACATCGGCGGCCATGAGATACGGACCGCGTAAGTTTCTCCTGCTACTCAAAATCCGCCGTGTGTCTAACTCATCTCTTCAGTGACCTGGGTGGGATTGCAACAACCGTTGAGATTGGTGATGCGATCTGCAAACAGCTCGAAGGCCTGTTGAAGTAGATTATACCGTATGACTTTAACAGAAAGATATGATGCAGAATGAATGGGCCACTGATGCAAGAACACGCCGAAGACGAGTGGTGAAGGACACCCCAAGTTGACTCAAATGTTGATGCGAAAATCGAAGGATACATGCAATCATGGAATCGACTATGCATGCCGTGTGATGGCCTAAAATCTAGCATAAATGACATTCTGAAGAAAACACTAGGAACTTATTGATCTCGTCACGAGGACATGAATTCTGTTGACGCGGGGGGGAGGCGTGCCGGAGTGGCCACTTACCTTTACATTCTGATTGAGAGATGCCTCCCGATTTTGTTCGAGACAAAGGCTTTTTCCTTCTAATACACTCACTAACTTTGTAATTCAGGACCACACAGACCTCTTGGTTCAAGCCCGACCCCGAAGCAGAGTCCCACCCCGAGCCCGAGCCCGCGCGCGCCCGAACATAAACCCGTCAACATGGTGTCAAGTCCATCACTCTCCTTCACAACTCCGGTTTCGCGCCTTCTGTGCTCGTGGATCAGATCTCTCCCTCTGTTGATCATACGCGCGTTTGACACAATGGACACACCTCGCCGTGAAGAGCCTAGGGTACGACGGCGAAGGGCCCTTGCCTGCATCGAGTGCCGGAAACGAAAGCTGCGGTGCGACCACAACCGCCCTTGCAGCAAATGCCGCGGGCAAAGAATAGGGCATGCGTCTATCCTGCCAATGCTCCTCCTGCCAGTCATGCGAACCCCATCAACGACCGACAGAGTAGCCCGTCACTTATCGGAAGGCGCCAGTCCGACTCGGATCACGGGGTAATCGCCCAAACACCAAAGCCCGCGGACCAAGACCGGGTCTCCACAAGCGCCACCAATGGGACATGGCATTCGTCTTCGTTTGGAAGCGTCTTGCTCAGTCAGATTTCGTCGCCGGGGACGATCGTCCCTCTCGTGGTGGCTGGGACTCCTACACGTCGGCTGGTGACAGAGCTACTCTGCCCAGCAGAGAAATCACCCACTATCAGTTCGCTCACCGAGCTCACGTCTCTACCGACTATGATGATGGTTAAATCACGGTACATTTCGCCAAGCCACTGGTTATACTCAGTGATGCTAGTAAGCCAGCCCAAGTTGTATGGATGATAACGTCAACTCACCGGCCTGCACTGAAGGGGCTGGATAATGAAATGTCCAAGCAGGAAGAATGCTGGCAAGGCCTCTTACACTGCAAAAGTCTAGGAGGATGTCTTCGGGCACAGAGGCTCCTTGTAAGCTCTGCCGGGCAGTTTGGTTCATACACACTCGGCAACATCGTATCGACTGAGCTATTGGTGAATTACCTACGAACCTTTGAACAGATTTATCGGATCAACCATGTACCAACCCTCCAGAGAGAGTTTGAGGCATTCCTACAAGATCCAGTCTCTGTAGCACAAGAGTGTTTGGTGAGACTCCAGCTTTGCTTCGCACTTGGGGCGTTGATTTACGACGATCTCTTTTCTCTTCGACCTTACGCTCTTCAATGGATCCACGAGGCTCAATCTTGGCTCGCCAACCCCGAGAACTCACACCCAATCATTTCAGGCACTTAGATCATGTATCTCCTGCAGCTGGCTCAGCAAGCAACAGACTCACTCTACGGGGACCGGATCTCAGTCCTGTCAGGTAACCTCCTTCGGTCTGCGATGTGAATCGGGTTGCATCGAGACCCGATAGGGTTGCCACGAATGTTACCTTTCCAGATTGAGATGCGACGCTGTCTCTGGACGACTGTGCTAGAGATGGTTCTGGACGCAAGCATAGAATCCGGCCAGCCCGTCCTCATCTCACCCGAAGACTTTGACTGTAGCTTACCTTCAAACCTGAACGACGACCAGCTCCACTGCGAGGCAACAATCTGTCCTACTCCAAAGGATCCTAGTCTTTACACCGATAGCTCTCTGCAAATTGCTCTCGGTCACTCGTTCACGTTGAGACTGACGATTGCTAAGCTGTGGAATAAAGTCAAGCAAGAGGCGAACTACGCCACAGTCTTACAGCTCAGCCCGCAGCTGACCGCTGCCCGCCAGATCTTGACAACTACGCTGAAGGACTTGAGCAAGGATACATTGCTGTTAACTCGATATGTGCGAGATGGTACTTTTGCGATACGTATTTGCTTTACACTTGCCCTACATGCTTCTACCCGACTCCGTCTTCTATCACTCGCGACGAGAGTGCATTCATGCTGCACTGCATCTCACATACAGGACCCTGCCCTTACTCGACAAAGATGAGCCCCTCTCGGAGCTTCTACGACAAGCAAATAATGAAGAATGCTGTCCCGAATTTGGTCGGCTAATAGTGTGCAGCTTGGGGTCTTTGCGGTCAGCGCAACACATTGCTATCAGCGTGATTGCTGCTGATCTCAACAACATGATATCGGAAAGGGTTAAAACAGCAACGGGGTCGGCTCTCCGTGTTGCAGAAGAGCGCTGGCTGCTCAGAGCTGGCGTTGCATGGGCGAGAGACAGGATCAAGGCCGGACAAGAGAATATCAAAGACTATGTGTTTTTGGCTCGACTCTGACTTCGGAAGAGACTCAACATGATGAAGTTTTCCCGCTGTATCTTGGCGCTCTCGGCCATCGGCTCTGCGATTGCTGCTCCGACTTGGAACAGCAGCACCGTGGACCGATCGAACTTGACGATTGCGTTGATCCGCACGCCTCCGCCAAACTGGCCGCTGCCCTTGACGAACTACAACTACACTGGAATCACTTTCAACATCAGCGAATGTGTCGATGCGGGAATCGAGTTGATCAAGGACGCTAAGGCTAGCGGTTCCGATGCTGTGGTCTTCCCTGAGCTTTGGTTCCCCGGGTAAGTACTAACCCAGCCCGATATTCAAGCATCTGAATATTGAACGCAAGTATCTAAACCGTCTTGAATAGGTTTCCCAAGGGTTCGGACAGTCATTATAACTTCACGCGCGACTACTTGCCATCGTACATCGAGAACGCCATCACGCTTGGCGATGCGCAGTGGAACCGTCTGATTGCGGCGATCCAAGCAGTGGGCATCTATGCCAACCTCAACTTTGCAGAAGTTGAAGGCGACTACATTTACATGTCGCAGGCATTGATTGATCCTCAAGGCAAGATCATGCACCACCGTCGTAAGCTTCGACCGTCTGGTGCAGAGCGTTACTTCTTCAGTGACGGAGTTGCCGAAGACCTCAAAGTCATAGAGACTGACTACGGTCGATGGGGAATGCTGGAGTGCGGAGAGTATGTCTACAGAGCTCACCTTTCTCGACTGATCGGGCATTACTTCGATGAGTGCCGAAGCTGACCATACCACTTTCAATCTAGGCACCTGTACCCCAGCATGACGTTCAACATGTACGTGCAGCGAGAGCACGTTCACTTCGCGCCTTTCCCCTGCCTGGCGGGCGTCGGAGACGAGACCTCGCTTTGGTGGGAGAACGAATGGGTCAACGCCGGCACTCTGAGCGTCTACTCTGTTCTCAGCGGTGCCTACTCCTTTGTCGCGGCCGTCGGCGCGACTTTCGTGATAGACCCGTTCGGATCCCGCGTTGCCCACATCAATGCCAACGCCAGCTTTGAGGAGTTCCCGATGTTGTACTACAACCTCAACACTAGCGGCTTCAACAGCTCTCAGACGTATGATGTTAATGGGCAGGCTTCATGGGGAACGCTGAGCCAGATTGTGGATAGTTTTCCGGGGTATGTGCCGAAGGTGGAGGGGGAGTTCGTCAAGCACAAGAACGTCTCGATTGTTTACCTGATGACCGGGGATCTTGTCATCCCGTCTTAGCCATAGATAAGGTAGAGTCATCTGATTCTAAATTTGGCTTCCCGAACACTGAACTGCGGGGAGAAGTGGCACCGTTTCCCAGAATATCATCCCACGGTATGCCGTTCATGATGTTTGCGATGAATACTGATGCTTGATTGTGGTTCGAGGCCCCTTTCATTCCGGCTATTGTTGCTGCTGTAAACATCAAAACACTTTCTAGAAGTTCTAAATATGGGAAAACAGCGATGAGATACCAACGTTGACCTATCATAGATCATATGTCGCAGCGCCACACGTGGCGCTGCCGGTTACTGCCGTACGATACCGCTTTCCACAAGCCGATTACCCGTCTTGTACGGTATATCCCATCGGGTGCTAACTCACCTCATTTTGCCAAGAGGTGGGGTAGAGCCAATAGGAACTTCCCAGCCTATTAGACTTATCCAATGATTCAACAGGATTTCCAGTACTTCTATTCTCTATATATTTTGTGTATGCCAGAGGTACCAGCAGTCTCCCTTCATACATAAAGGTACATTACAGTCTAAACAGCCCTGCCGAGTTTTTCTTACTTGCTGCGTGAGGTTATTCCTAGATATTCAGAGGCGAAGAGACTGTCAAGAAATAAGTGGTAGGTTGCAGCTGGAAGTAGTGAAATAAGCGTAGTTACTACCTGCTGCGTTGGTGTCAACAGAGCCAGCTTTCCAGCAGCTGGCCTAGCCGGCCGGGCCTGGGGGACTATGCGTATGGGCCCTTTCCATGGACGTGCCACAGCCACCGTATACAGTAGCCAGACTGGGCAAGGATCCAGATCTTATAGCCAGTTGGGATAGGTTTCGTTGGAATCGTTGTCGTCTCAAGAGATCGACCTGTAAATCGGACCATAGCCTCGTCAACTGTAAGGTCTGAACCAGGTATATAAAGGGAATCCCCAGTCTCTTGGATGTGGGCTGACCACTGGTTAACTTTACGGTATACATCTGGCATTTGATCCTGGCCCCGGCCCTGGCCCCGGCTAGGCTGGCTGGGCCGGCTGGGCTGGCTGGGCCGGCTGGGCTGGCTGGGCCGGCTGGGCCGGAATTCCGCAGTGTTGAATATCCGTAGTCGCTGGAGTAGCAGTTGGAAACGGTCGCGGGACATAAACCGTGTAAATAGGTGGATAGGATCCTCCGTTTGCTGCTGGGTTGACCAATAGGTTGATAATCTAGACTCCCTATGAGAGTAGCCGGAGGTTCGTGGGGCCGGACTGTAGCTGCGTCACAGCGCTCGGGCGTACAGTCTGTATTACAGGCAGCAGTAAGGTCTTCTGGGTGGACCTCAACTACTATACAGCTGCGTATAGAAGCATTAGATGCAATGGAGGTATCAGAATCACCAGAAGACATAACAATATCAATCAAAATAGTAATAATAGTGATGATAATGGGCAAAAGAGCATAGGAATGAGTGACGTATCGTCAAGTGCCCCTTTAAATGCGGGGTAATAAAGTGTAAATAGTGGGTACTTGGAGGTCTTGGCAAAATGAGGTGAGTTAGCACCCGATGGGATAGATATGACCCTCATACGGATCTTCCACTTAGAGGAATCAAGCCACTTTCTACTATACATGTCTTCCACCTGCTACCTCGCTTTGTGATATCATAGGAATAAACCATCAAGGTGTTCATCTGTGGATCACGTAGAAGGTGTGGCCATATGAGGCCTAGGCCGCTCCTGATGATCGGCCGTGATCGTCCTACGTCGGGAACGCTCCAGGGTAAAGATTCATGCTTAATCGTACGCTGCCAAGATCTAATACATCTCAAACATGTCAACTGGGGGCCAACTCTTGTGTTGGTTGTTTGCACCGATTTGGCAAAAGGTTGCGTGCTGTCTGAGAGCGCGGTTGGGCAGCTATTTTAAGGACAAGACCCATACACGACGTTGCGAGCTGGCACACCCTGCAATCGCGAGGGGGAAACTTCGCTGATGACTTTGCACAATGGATCAAAGTCTCTGATTCGATTAGTCCCACCTCGAATGGTCCCATCAGCGAGAAAAAGGCCATAGGATTGATCGAATGTACGAAGTACTCCAAGCCAGACTGCCAGAGAGTAGCAAATCCTGCTATGGTTTCAGGTACATGGCGGTGTAAAAAGCTTGGAGCTCTTGGTTAATATCGAACAATTGTATCAATCCATGTTCGGCAATTCGACGCTCCTTGTTCTCACGTTCGAAAATCGCCCGGCGACCTTGTGTTGCCATTCAGGCTTCCATTGACGTGAACAGCGCCGAACACTAGCTGAGCATTGTGTGCAGTCGAAGTTCGGACTTCTCGGCAAAGATGCCTACCTACTCGAATCCATGCTGCGTACCTGGAAACTCCCATCTGCACAAGATATCCATGGAGATCATCATCGCGAACCGCTTGGGGTCTGGGATTTATCCAAAGTGTTAGTCATCTCCCGGGGACCTAATTAGTTGCGAGCTGCCCGGCCACCGGACTACTCCGTGGATCAGGTCCCTCTGGATCCGTGACCCATCGCAATGCCCCAAAAGAACCGCCGGCGTGGTGTAGTGGCATACACCTGGCAAGGCCTCTGGAGCCCAGAGGTCGCTGGTTCGATTCCAGCCGCCGGCAACTGCTTTAACTACCTGTGGGAAGGGTAGGGCAGAGCCCAACGCGGGGCCTAGGACCCTTTCCGGGCCCTCGCCAGGGTTTTCTCATATCCACACCCTCCGACCAAGAAAAAGTGGATATGCGTCGAGTACACGTTGTCAACCAAGTACTGGGGCAGGAATGGTCTTGTACAAATCAGAACATGTACGAGGGGCCTGTTTCGGCAGGCCGCCCTCTCCAGACATATCCGGCCTTAAGCCGCAAAATTCAAGAATGGAACTGGGGCACCAGCGGGAACCAGGGACAGATAGAACGCATAGTAGCCATAAGGCACGATTTGGAGGACGATTTGAACTGTATCTAGCAATAGTTATAGGGCGACGGCTCTCCACGCCATATACCCTTCGGGAGGTCGGCCGCAAGGGCGGCTGCGCCCTTGCCGCCACGGCGTTAAATATAGCACACACACACATTGTGGGGGGGGCTACTCGGCCGGCCCAAGGTTGCAGCACTAATAAAAGAGAAGGGAGTAGAATGAAGCTTGTCGTTGAGCCTAGGCCACTTCTAAGCCTGCATGTTCCGCGGTGAGGACTGATTCGCTGGCTAAAGACAATAAGCTTTCTCCTAAACACAGATGAAAATGTCAAGCAGCATCATCCATGCGCCTCATGAGTCGTGGATCTCTACACTTGACTTATCTGCGACGAAGAAGCTTCCCAAAAGTGCACTCGAAAGCCTTGTGCGCTTCCTTTTGAGGGATCTTTTCCATGAATTGAACTTTATTCGGTCGGGGATTCCCCGTGTTTACCACGACTGGCAAGCCTCGAATGAAGCTTCTTGAATGGGGCTTTTCGCAAGTGGTAATCAATCCCGTCGGATATTACGGTTGTTGCGTCCCATTCCGGGCGACGCACATTGTGAAAAGCTTTCTTTGCCATGCACGAGTCCCAATTTTAGAGGGGATCCAAAGATTCCAAACGACTAAAGCCCCTATTCCTGCCAGTAACCATCGCCGACTAGACACAATATGGATCGAACAACAGAGCCCGAGTCTGCCCCCATATCCACAAGAAGAAAAAGGAGTATTGTAACGATGACAGAGAAGCAACTGCTATCAATAGACCTAAGCCTCATATCCACTGAAATGTTCCCGTCTGTCGCCGAGGACGAGAAGCATAGTCCAGGTACAACGATCACAGAGAAGGAGACAAGCTCAATCACGGAGAACGACCAAGAGAAAGACAAAGCTCCGAAACATGATATAACAGCGACACCGGTGCCAAAGTACTTATCAGGTGCCAAGCTTTGGATTGTCATCACATGTGTTATTGTTGTTGCCTGGTTGATGTTCCTTGACAGTTCTATCATTGTTACTGTTAGAGTACCCAGGAAGAAAGCGAAGCATCTCATTTGCTAATAGCATGTAGGCTATTCCTACGATCACTGATGAGTTTCACTCTCTGCAAGATATCGGTTGGTATGGTAGTGCCTACCACGTTTCTAATGCCGCCTTCCAGCCCCTCACAGGCAAAATCTACCGCTACTTCAGCTCAAAGGTACGGGTTTTCCGGTTGTCGACTATGTCTCTAAATCCGTACTGATCCATGCAGTGGTCATTTTTTGTCTTCCTAGTCTTGTTCGAGATTGGATCTCTAGTATGCGGGGCTGCGCCTTCGTCCCTGATCTTAATCGCAGGCAGAGTCATCGCGGGTATAGGAAGTGCGGGCATAATGAGTGGCGGCCTGGTGATCATCGCCGGATCAGTACCTCTAGAGAAGAGACCCGGTGGGACTAATCCTTGCGTATTTCGTCTGACAAATTCTTGGCTAATTCATCTTGTCTAATAGCTCTTATGGGACTGGTCATCGGACGTACGTATAGGCTATTAACCGTCACAGCAGTTGCTAACGTCAAACTAAAGTTGCAAACTCTGGGAGCGTTTGCGGTCGTACGTGCAGAAATCCACCCGGGAAAGGAGAAAGTCTCGCCGAAAATACTAACGTTAACACATAGCTGTTCTTGGCGGAGTCCTTACCGACTATGCCAATTGGCGTTGGAGTAAGATATGGAGTTCATCCGAGTTGAGACTACTTCACCGGTAGCTAAACTCAAACAGCATTCTACATCAACCTCCCGATAGGAGGCGCCGTCTTTCTGTTTCTGGCATGGTGCGAGATTCCCGATCAGGTGCCGAAACCGAGTCCTATGGCGGTCATTGCGAAATTGCACACGTATCTAGATTTTATCGGTTTCTTGTTGTGTGCTGGTGCTGCGGTCCTATTTCTCACGGCCCTCGAGCTTGTTGGGATCGAATATGCTTTTAACAGCCCCACGATAATAGGACTGTTCTGCGGCTCTGCTGTGGCTCTTTCAACGTTCTTGGCTTGGAACTATCGAAAAGGAGATGAAGGGCTGATCCCATCATCAATGGCCGGTAAGAGGCCCGTCTGGTCCGCTGCTGCTACCAACTTTACATTTGTTGGCTCGGCGATGATCCAGATCTACCTTCTCCCGCTCTACTTCCAGGCTGTCCAAGGCGCCACGCCGGTCCAGAGCGGGATCAACGTTTTGCCAAGCATCTTGTCACAACTAGCTTTTGCCTACGGCGGAGGCGTACTAGGTACGGAAGCCTATGGAATTATTCCATGTGAGATTTGAGTTTAGCTAACGTCCATGTCATCCGATAAGTCGGTAAGTTCGGGTATTATTTGCCGTGGGCTATTGCAGGCACAACGGCAACGATTATTGCTAGCGGCCTGTTCACGTCACTTATACCGACAACTTCGGTGGCCCAGTGGGTTGGTTATCAAATCCTCACGGGCGGTGGACGAGGCATTGTTTTACAACTGGTGAGACCCGCCGGCCAGTGGTTACTAACCGCAAGTCCAACTAACATAAAGGCTTTAAGCCAAGCATTGCTATTCAGGCGAACTTACCTCCGGAGCAGATCTCAATGGGCATAATATTTGTTACATTTTCGCAATTCATGGGGTCTGCTGTGGCTCTGGCAGTAGGTAACGCCATTTTTACCGGGGCGTTGAAGCAAGACCTTGCTCAATTTGCACCAAATGTCGATGCGTCAACGGTGCTAAAGGCCGGAGCCACCGGTTTCCGTAAAGTCGTAGCCGAAAAGGAACTGCCGGGAGTGCTCATGGCATATGTATCGAGCATCGATAACGAGTTCTACCTATCCCTTGGTCTGGCTATAGCATCATTCTGCTTCGCGTGGGGTATGGGGTGGAAAGACATTCGGCCAAAAAAGAAATAGGCACATGCAGTCAACAAGCGAGAAAAAGACAATGACTCGAACCCGTAAATAACTGCCGAGAGCCCGAGGCTCAGGTTCGTGGGCACTGACATTCCTAAGATTGGGCCGTTTTGAAGTGGCCCTTGCTAGTGTTGAGCGCCGTTGTCAAGCTCTATCAAAAGTCCCTTGTTCAAAAAAGAGTATTGAAATCTTGAAAATTGATCATACACATTTAGTAGTATCGAAATAATCACTATACGAAAATACATCGCTTAAATGTTCGTTCCGACGGGCGCGAAGTGGTTCGATAGCGGCCCGCCTAGTCATTAAGAATCCTTGAATTTAGAGTTGACCCTAAGGGATCGCTCGCACTCGGACCTGACGGGATGTTGCTGGTCGGGGTCTTCTAAGGAGAGAAAATGAGGCTTCAGATGCATCGTCTACCCCGTGGCGACTTGAAGAATCACAAGCTTCGTAATAGGGAATAACTTTACGGCGTTCTCCGGTCTGATGTATCTAAGTTCAACTGAAGGAACCACCCGAATTATGACTGAAGCGTCAATTAGAGACGAAAGGACGAAGCTTGCGAGACTAGAAAGATTCGGGTTTCGCAGATGCTTCCGAATTATGCGATGAACAGCGAACAAGAGTCAACAACTAGCAAGCGGGTGCCGTGGCAGAAAAACGAGGCGTTTATCATGTGTCTGATTTCGTGATGACTGGTCAAAGTGTCTAGGTGAAGCTACTAAGCTACGCCTAGTCCACACCTTGCGAGGGTATAACATGATTAGTTGCAGATCGTTCACGGTGCTGCCGTCTCGCACTACCGGAGCTCTGAGCCTCGGGTTGTCCGGAGACGTCGCGCATGTAGTCAAAGTAAGGTGGTTGCTGCGAACCCGGTCTGTCCTATCTCGGTAGCATCAAGATGCAAATACGGCAGTTTGATGATACACACTTACGGATGCGGTTACCCAATGAACTCACCTGGTATACGGGACATAAGTGCACAGCATTCTGTCATGGGGAATAGGGAGGGCTGCGATGTTCAAGCATAGCTTGGCTCGTGCAATGCGGCCATATGTAACCCCGTTAGGAGGTCCCTGGCTAGTCGTTACCCGTGAAAAGGGGCCCTTAACGACTCGTTCCCAGGCCTCAGCAGTCGTACCCGAGTTCATAGTTAGTTGGAAATGGTACCGCAAGGCAAGCTGAAACAAACCTGAGAGGTATTCCGCGGGAGTGAAGGTAAATTGGGCTGCCCAATGCGCTCGGGCCGTCTCGCTGGTCAACTTCAGTTAAGGACACAACATTGCTGGGCTTGACTCAAGGAGCAGCGGCACGCCCGCAGCGTGAGATTGGAAGCACTGGGCCGTGCTTCACAGGTCCACAGGCGAAAACGAGAAGAGTCCAGTGATAGAGTTCGCGCAATATGCGAGTTCATCTTGTCGTCCCACAGCTTCTGTTGTTGACTTTTACCGCTTTCGATATGCCCAAGACCGAATTCGCAATGAGCCCAAACCTACGGAGTACGGCTACCTACATGTAGAATCCACCATCGCTACGGAGTAGTGTAGTATGCAATAATGCACACACTGAACCAGTGAACGCAACGTCATGGTTGTTTCCCGATGGGAGAGCTTGACCATGTAGGGATAGACGCGAACCCCTCAAGGTTACCTCAGGCGTGTTTCCCTTTCCTAATGCCAAGGGGGGAGCATTTGGTTGCTTCTCGAGCAATCTATTTTACTCTCGCCGCTAAGAGCCCCAGCCATGCTTCAACGTCGCTTATTCTAGCCACAGCCTACGGGCAAAGATTCACGTGCTGCAAGCGCCGATCAAGCGGCAGGAGAAGCCCGCTGCCCGCGCCCGCGGACACTAGCAGTCGACGGTCGAGCACGTTCGGCGGCTCGCCGGGCTGGGCTCAATCAAGGGTTCCCATCCCTGGAATTAATGGTATATAACAGTCGCGTAACTTAAATAGAAACCCTATTTTACTTGCTCGCAACATGACAGGGCCAACAATTTGGCGGGGCACACAGGCCAAAGGTGCCGACTCGAGCAGCTCAAACCTGCCAAGACTATTTGCGGTACGAATAATTGAGGCGTCCAAATAGGTCGGGCGTTTTGGACTTGCTGTCTTTTGTTGACTAGGTATGCTATGCACACATGCAGTCTTCACCTCTTCCCTATACCAAACCACTATCATTCTCTAGGCCAAGTCGATCCCCAAATAGGGACCCCACAGGAGGGGCTCTGACCTTGGCATTGGGTTGTTTTTAGAAGACGGGAAGCCATGAAGCTGTCACCAAAACAACACCTGACTGATGATACACCGTGCCTCTGGCAAAATAGGCAACAAAACACGACATGATGGCGCGACGAGTATTGACAGTTTGGTAATTACCAGTCAATCAAAGGAAGCTTTTTCTAATCTGATTAGAACGCCTCACCGGGCCACACCACCTTTGTTACACACCACTGCGAGGCGGTGGACCCTAATTCCAAAGAGAGTTTGCATAGCATTCGCCGAGGTTGCAGAGCCCTGGGAACTCGTCAGAAATTTGAAGTCGAGCTAGGGGAACGCGATCCCACTCAGCAGGTTAACCTGCACACCACCCACTTATCGAATGATTGGCACCTTTTCCAGAGTTCCGGTAAAGCCAATGTCTGCCAAGTCGAATTCAATACTCTAGACAGCCAAACTGGTATCAAAGTACTGAATCGACAATGTCATACGTGGGAAGTTTCCTTGAAACCTTAAATTAAGAAATCGACAATGCGCATGATGGTTAGTCCCCAACGAGGGCGGGTAGGTTCAACCGAGACATCTCATCTAGATCTGACGTGTCCCCCGCGCCCCGCGCAAGACGCCAGAACCCTGACATGAGTCGAACGGGGCAGGTAACTTGGCGCGGCTAAGAGAAAGTCTTGGAAGAATTGACTTATTTTGAGTAGTACGCAAGTCGCGGGAACGAAGTCATATAAACTTCGGCCGTTGCCACCTAGCGCTTCTTGTTGAATTCGTCCCTTCGTCCTTGTCGTGCAACTACATGAACGCTTAACCACCATGCTGTTCTCTCAAAGAAGTGCCTGCGATCGCTGCCGAGCTCTCAAGAGCCGTTGCTCCAGAGAGTCTGGAGCAGCCAAGTGCGAAAGATGTCAACGACTCCAGATCGACTGTTTCTACAGTCCACCGCGGCGGATGGGAAGACCGGCAAAGAAGCGCTTGAACCCGGAAACCGCCCAGTCAACCCCGTCAACCACATTCCGACCATCCTCGACAATGTCCAGTAACACTACTATCCAAACAATCAGAAGCCCACCCAAAGTGCTTCCATCCAACGTCCACGATGCGAGCGACTTCCAACAGTACGGGCTAGGAATCATACCGAGCCATCCGGAAGAAGACGGATCTTGGACTGGAAACTTCGGGGACCCTTTACTTGGACTTTTGCAAAGCAACGACACAAAGCTGATGTCTACGGAATGGATGGACACAGATACGCTGGGGTTCTTGGCTCATCAAGACGACAGTCTTGTGACACAACCCCACGATATGCCTCTTACACCGCCAACAACGATTGGCTCTTTACCACACACAACAGAGGACAACTGGATTCCGGGTTGCGATCACCCATCCGAATTCAGCCATGCCGAATCATTCGCCGGCGATAATATGCCTCCATCACCAGAAGCAACTATAAGGTCATCCGAGTCGGCAGCTCAGCGACTCATGGATCTTCAGTCTCTGCTGTTCTCGCGACACATCACCAGGGCACAGGATGCAGACGGGCTTACGACACTGATCAACACGACCGTGCACTCGACAGAAACTCTCATTGATGTCGTGGAAAGCTTACCACAGTTGAGGCCGAGCGTGGAAGGACGACGATCTACTTCACCGCCAACCTGCTGGACAGGAGCACCCGACACATCCGGCTTCGCCACACAAGCAGCAGCACCACAGCTTCTGAAAGAGCCACAACACCCACCAAACCTAACTCTCATCATCTGTCTTTTTATGACAAATTATCTTCTTCTTCTGGATTCTTACGAAGAACTCCTCGGCGCCCTTAGGGGCCGTCTTCAATGTTCACGACAGAGCCAGGGGCCAAGTCCCGGCAGCGATTTCAGCCTGACACAGCCATTCCTGGGCAGCAGTACGCCCAGTGGAAGCCTCAACAAATTCAACGTTGTGAGCTCTTTTGACTTGGACGTCAACTCGGTCGTATTTTTGTTGTCTCGAATGATGAAGAGACTACACAAATCTACAGAATGCCGATTCAGCGCCGTTTCCATGACACCACCTGCCGTTAGCCAGTCCCAAAGCCAGGGGTTCCCGGCTTCAGCCACATCATACAACTTTGACTTTCAAGATGGGATAAGCCAGGATACAGACGGGTGCTCGGAAACGTCAGGGGCCTATTCTCCGATGGCTATGATGGGGGACTATGCACTGCGGGAAGTAAGCCAGAGACACCAGAGCGTGATGGAGTCGCTCCGTGTGATTCGGTGGCTTGCGGACGAATTATGACACAACCTGTACGACAGATGTACACACTTTTGTGAAACTAAAGTTAAAGATACATCAATCAAATAAGCGAACAGCCGCATGAGTCGTTCACGACTGCAAAGTAAGCTTCGTTGACTAACGACGTTCGATTCATATCCACATTTCCTGAGCTCGGTCTCGGACTTTGTCTCCCCAGTGCAGTTCCCCAGGGCTGATGATCATCCCATCATGTGTGATTTTCTCGGGGAAAGCCGTTGTAGTATTGGTCCGAGGCCGTTTGCCATTGGATATCAGATTCAGAAATTTCCCAAACATTTGGGATTTCATCCCATCACAGTCAAACTTCCACATTCGACTTCGGGCGACATCTCAACGTCCGTTCTGAAACGCTGAGTCGGCGTGGGATGTGGCCAGTGCTTCTAGAAGAGAAGCTGCGTCTGGTGTGCTGGTTTTAAGGGTCCAGGAAGACTCGAATGGCCCATCTGCAACGGCGTTTGCGACACAGACGCCCGCTAGACTTGTGGTGGCGATCTGACGAGGCTGCCGCAGAATTTAGCTATGTCGAAGATGATATTTGTTGAGAGAATTGGACGTGAAACTATCACGAAGGAGACTTGGCTTGGCATCTCCAGGCTAGCTCGCCAGGGCCGGAACTAGATTAGATTTGCTCCTATTTGTAACACTCACTCATCAAACCTACGCAGACTGTGAGCTGAACTTTGTCTTATCTCACCAGGCTATCAGTAAGAGAGATATAGGCATCGGACGCATTAGAGACAGAATCACTACGTGTAGCTCCTTTATGTACGCACAGTCTCCCCAAGTGTATGACTATACTCCGAATAAAATCTAATTACCATTTTGTCGTTTTGCTATCTACGTACATCGGGGGCACTGCACATGACAGTTAGGGGTGGTTTCTTAGCCTGCTCCTTTTTTCGAACGAAGAGCTGCATTTTTACGTGACCTACCTGAAATTTCAAAATTCCCTCAACATTTGAGGTTACTCCATGATGCATGTAGTTCGGCTGAGACTCAAGATATTAATGGTCTTGACTCCATTGAGAAAGCCCTGTTGTTGACAGTGGAGCTTGCTGCCAGGGATCGACTTATGCCTTTGGATGCTCTCGGAGTCTTCAAGCAACTTGTACTGCTCATCCGCTACTTGCTTTGTGAATTGGTTGTAACCCTTATCCTGTAGGCAGTCTAAGTAAGGGAGTCTCCGAGTCCACGATGCCTGCGAGCTTCCAAATGACCCGAGTTCAATAGATTGCGTCATAGACCTGGCTGTTACTATCATTCGTCAATCAAGGTTAGAGGTCATAGATGGTCAGATGTTAGAACCCTAGCAGGAATGCGTGCAGCGAACTGGTGGTTCTGAATGAAGGTCCCCAACTCTGGGACTCTAAGTCCCTGTCAATCCCTCAGGTAGTAATAATATTTACATTCAAAGGGGTTCTCAATGTAATCAAGATCTCCTAGCGCATTGCCGAGCCTCAAAAAGACCTTAACCTGCACGTTGACTTGGTATTGGAATTTGATGTTAACCATTGGGGTTTCCAACAAGATGTCCCGCAGCGTTACATTCGGTTTCAGGCGGGGGGGGACTTCTGCTTATCTAGAAAGCTTGGCCGTCTTGGCTCACCACCTAAATGTCTTGTCTCCTTCCAGATCCATACTGGATCATTGCCTCTAGACCTATGGAAGGCGGGGTATCAACCCTGACAAAAACGAGGTTTTTTCACGTCAAGAATTGCCAATTCGGATACGGAGATAAACAGTGATCTCAATGGCTCTGTCTTATGAGACTCGCCGACACCGCTGTCTGCCAAGAGGGTCGTTTCCTGCCTGTTTAGGAAACACGACAGGAACCGATGGTCAAATTGCGATGTCATGTGTAACGGTGTTGAATGAGTATATAAAAGGCCCATGTCGCATCCACACCCTGCCGCAATTGGTCTGATTGAGTCTTTGGCATCTCTTCCGTATCTTTGACCCTCAAGTTTCGGGGAGCCTCATCTGAGCCGTACTCGAGCCTCAATAGCAACGACAAGCTTCCTGTTGTGCACGATGCGCGCTGTCTCGGTTGCTAGAGCTGTTGCTCTGACGGCAGTTGTCGTCTATGGAAGGGAGCTCCCTAAGGACGAGGCTCGCGCTGCTGGTAGGAATCATGAGTCGAACAACACCAAAAGGAATTACTGACACGGAGTAGAGCTCTATGACTCCGGTATCATCCACGACAGACTCATGTCTGCGAAGATTGTAGATACCAAGCTAGTGTTAGATGTTGTCGAACATGAGCTAACATTATCTCAGGCACACTGGGAAGCCGAAGAAGCTGTCGGCCTAATGAACTCATCTCAGTGGCCCAGGCTAGGCTACACCAAGTGCGTCGATGGTTACGCCGAGGCTCTTCCGGATAGCCCATTGCATAACTTTAGGTGCAAAAACGTAGGTGCCCCTTATCGCTCTCTTGGCGATTCCTTGTTCTTTCACAAGCTTACTGACTCCTTCTCAACAGATGGATCTTTATGACTTCATCAACCACGCTGAACTGGGCTCGCCGAATGCCGATTACCGCGGGAAGAGCGGAAGCTCCTCATGGGGGTGGACTGATCCTGAATCTGGTCGCGAATTCATTGGTTAGAAATATTCCATTGCGCCAACCAGAAAACCATTCTGCTAACTGCGTGGTCACAGTCAGCGGCATGTTTGACGGGTGCGCATTCATCGAGATCCTGCCCGAGGGCAAGATGCTCAATCTTGGGTTCCTGTGAGACCTTCTGAGCCCAGAAACATGGAAAGGACAACCCTGACTAACCTAACTCTGCGGACTTATTCAGACCAACGTACTCGCCCGTTGGCAACAGGGCATACTGGCATGAGATTCGTCCTTATCATAATTACATGCTCATTGGCTCGGAGCTCGAGGGCCATGGTATTCAGATCTTTGACATGAAGAAGGTAAGATTCCTCTTTCATCCCATGAGTAACTGAGATTGACTCATTTCGCCAGCTCTTGGACATCGATACCACCGAAGCACCCATTGTGTTCACCAATGAGAAAGACTTGACCGGCCACTTCATCGAATCTCTCCCACTGGGCCGAAGCCATAACGTGGTTGTCAATGAGGAGGCCAAGTACGCCGTTGCTGTCGGTGTTCAACCCCGCGCGGAGGGCTGCATGGGTGGTCTACACTTCTTCAGTCTGGAAGACCCTAGCAATCCTGTGGCTCTGGGCTGCGACGGACAAGACGGATATGTTCACGACGTAAGTAACGATTCTGTCCAATTGCGACTTTCCAGGCGCCCCCTGGTCAACTAATACAATTGTTCATAGGCGCAATGCCTCATCTACCGAGGTCCCGACGCCAAATACCAAGGCCGCGATATCTGCTACGGCTACAACGAGGATACCTTGACCATTTATGATGTGTCCGACAAGAAGAACTCAAAGATAATCTCTCGCACGAGCTACGAGGGCGCAACTTTCACGCACCAAGGTTGGGTTAACGACGTGAACTGGCAAGGTGAGATGCTTCGAACAGCGAGTTGACAAATTTGCATGACTAACCTGCAATAGAGTGGCTTTTCATGGATGACGAGTACGATGAGGAGGACTTGGCCGGCCCTGCCGCTGACGGGTACCCCGTCACCTACATTTGGGACATCAGATCACTCGATTCCCCTAAGCAGACCGGTCTCTTCAAGCACACCGTGAAGGGAATCGACCACAACCAGTATGTCGTCGGCGACCTGCTCGTTCAATCAAACTACGGCGCCGGTGTTCGAGTATGGGACGTCTCATCCGTACCTACAGATCCCACCGGAGGCAGCGTGTGCGAGATCGCCTACTTCGACATCTACCCTGAAGATGACTCCCTTCCGGGAGGCGGAGCTATCCAGTTTTCCGGCACATGGTCATCCTACGCCTACTTCAAGTCGGGCTTTATTTTCGTCAATACGATTGAGCGTGGAGCGTATTTGGTGAAGATGACGAAGAAGGAGGCTTGCAAGCCCAAGACATGCAGTGCGGACAACTGTTTGCGTGCCCTCAGAGCGTCCAGCGTTCCTGGTAGGCTGGAGGAAAGCCAGAAGTTCTGCGGCGATTTCACGAAAACTGTCATTGCCGATGTTACGGTTGTGCCTGATTATGCCTCAGAGGCATGCCCGACTAATGTCATCTCGCGTGTGAGCTCGGCATGTTCATGCTTGCCTACGCCGACCGCATGAGAGAGGACTACACGTAAGCATCAAGCGCACTATATAGGTGCATCGCGTAGACAATCGACAACCAAGATACTTATCAAATGTTTTGAACACGAGCGCACAGATGTAGCGGATGCTACTTCACTTGAACACTTTCAGAAGCCAAGGTCTCAACTAAATCTTCGATGTGCAAAGGGCAGGTAGCCGAAAGACTGAGAGATAGAGAGTCGAGAAAGCGTCGAGATCAACAGCAGTGTCACTTGCAAAGATGATGGGAACTGTTTACCAGCAATGTAATGTTTGATTTGATAGAATGTACAAAGAGATTTTGGGATATACAAGAGCTAAACAACAACACCGTTTCTATATGCAGATTCCTAAGACAACCAATGCCCCGAGAAAAGCTCGGTGGGCAACTGCAGCGCAACGCTTACTTATGCATGTTCGCGACTCGATCGATCAAATGTTCCAAGCAGACAATGATGCGCTTAGCAAGAGGCAGCGGCATCAGTAGAGGCGGCAGCGGAAGTGGTGGCAACGGAAGAAGAAGCAGATCCGGGAGCGCCGCCGGGAGCAGTGCCGTTAGGGGGGGAGCCACCGCCGCCGCCGCCAGAGTTGGAGTTAGCAACACCACCCTCGGCGTAGAGAGAAGCAGCGGGGGTGACGGTCTGGGCTTGGGTGGTGTTGATACCGAAGGCCATCCAGGCGAAGAGGCCGTCAGTGATGCTGTTGCCGAGAAGGGTGTACTCCATGACAGGGTCGACGCCATCGGTGGCAGCCTCCTCGCTCAGGATGGAGTCGTCGGCGTTGGTGGTGAGCTCCTGGGTGTTGGTGTTGTAGGGGGCAAAGGCCTCGACGGCAGAGATGAGGTCCTGGTCGAAGAAGGTCTGGCCGACGTGGGAGGCTGTGATGACGTTGCCGAGAGTGTTGTTGGCGTAGACAGTGGCGTTCTGGTGAACCATCAAGTGGATGTGGGTGGCACGGGAAGTGTAGTGACCGGGGAAGATGGACTCGAACTGAGCGACACCGTCGGAGTCGGTCTCCTGGATACCGCGGAGCCAGGTCTTGTCGATGTTGGTCGTGTCGGAGGAGTCACCGTTGCTGGAGGCGACGATGCCGGAGTAGACACCGGTGGAGTTGCAGTGCCACATCTCGAGGTAGACGTTGGGGACGGGCTCGCAAGTGTCGACGTCAATGACCTGGTAGTCAAGGACGATGTCGACACCCTCCTGCTCCTCGATAATGTTGCGCCGGACATACTCGCCAGAGACGTCTGTGAGAAACTATTAGTAAATGATCGAAGGGGAATGCAGCTTATTGGTTGATGGCTTACAGTAAGGGCCCTGGGTAACCTCGGGGGTCAAGACGCAAGAGTTGTTGCCGGAGAAGAGAGTAGCGGCGTCGGTGTTCAGGGTGTAGCCGAGCTCGGTGGAGTTGTGGCTCTCGGCGAGGACGGAGTCGGCATCACGCTTGATGCTGCGCTTCTGGCGGGCCTGGGTAAGCTGAGCGGAGCGGCGGGCGACGTTGCGGGCGGTGACACCGCGAGCAGCGAGCTTGTCGGCGCAGTGGGCAAGGTTAGAGCGCTTAATGGTGCTCAAGAAAGCGCGGCGCTCGGCAATCTCCTCGGTGAGATCGTGGCCGGGGTGAGCAACGGCGCCGGAGAGGAGGGCGAGGCCGGAGGCGACGGTTGAGAAACGCATCGTTGCGGTTGTTGTGAGAGCAAAAAGATGGAAAGCTTTGCTAAAGGTGTTTATACGATTTGTCGAAGTGAACAAGAGGGTATTGTTGGAAGTGAAAGCGAAAGGTGTGTTGGTGAAGAGCTTCTTTCTGGTTTCTCGGTGGCTTCGACCTTGGGTTATTATACTCGACGAGATGACATTCTGATCTACGGTCAAGGTCAACATCCCTCCCCCACGAACCGCGTCAGTGCCATAGCCATGATGGCAGTTCGTCGCATGAGTACAAACTGTGGAGCTCAACTCATATCGCCATCACCGTACCAAGCCTCGTTGACTCGGGAGACGTGGACAGTGGCCCCGGGAGGCTTTCGATTGCGTGGGCTGCCCGTTGCGGCTACGGAGTTAGCGTAGAGAAGAGCCATCCCAGTAGCCCAGTCCCAGACCCAGCCAACGTCAACATCTTCTTCTGTGGGGTCATAGCAGCCTCGGTAGTATTAACGGTAGGTGGGATAGTTGTGTGGACGACGACTACGAGTACGTTGCCCCCTTTGCCCCTTACTCTCTCTGGAGCAAAGACCATCCTCCCATCGTCAATTGCTTCTAGGTACAACGCCTTGGCAGGGGCTTAATCTCTACCGTTTTGGTGTAGTGGCCAGTGACGTCTTGGGCATAACAAATCAGCCTCGGGCACATCTCCACATAGTCTAATTTTTACTCCCTTTCATCCCGGTTCCTCAGTCACTGAGTGACCGGAGGGTCCCCGGTCTGCTCAGTCTAAGCATCCGGACGTGGCCCTACGCGCAAGCTTTCGGGACACAGTGGAGTCGGCGCCGCCGTTTAAGCCTCCTTTTCTGCGTTGTCCTGGTCCGTCGACGGAGCCGCCCTCCCACAAGCCGAAGCAAATTCTCCCCGCCCTTGGACCAAAGCCGCTGTCGAGACGCGTCCACACGCAGCCATTGTCCAATCAACGCTGACTTGTTGTTTAACTGACGCTGTAAAAATAGACTTCGGCGCAGCATGGGCTTCCCGTCTTCGGGTTGTTTTCCCCTAACCCCCCTGACACCTTTAACATCCGTCACGTTGAACTGTGAACATCAATGGGGTTCAAAACTATCTGCCCAATGAGCTTATCCTGTATGCGAAAAATGCCTTGCATCGAGAGGCTTCTGTGCCCGGACCACAGGTAGATTTTCTTTTAGAAAGGTCAGCCGAGGTTCGTGCTTGACGTAGTTGTACTGTTGTAGATTACGGTGTTTTAACACAGCGGAAAGTCTTAAGTTGCTCAGCCCGGGTTGCGGGGGGCGGCCTGGACCAGCTGCGCGTTTGCTACAGCAAGCACCCCAATTCCCAACTCAGTCAATGTTGCCGTCGGACTTTACAGGTACGCTTCGGGGTCTCCAGACTCTTGGCTACTTGGTATGCTCAAGTTGAGGAAGCAGAATAGAAGGCCAAGGCTTCAAGGATCCGGCATCACGGTTGGTCAAGATTGAATGGGATCACATCCATTCTAAGCTGTCTTGAAATCGCGAACGCCGTGAACCTCTGGATGGTCGAAACAAGGTCGCAAACGGAACAGAACAGTTTCCTGTTTCGTCCCATCTCATCACCGATCACCCGGTTCGAATTACCGGATGGCAGACAGGTTTGCATGTTTCCTGCACGCGCGTACACTCGAAGAGACTTTGATTCTAGTGTCCAATGAGGGATCAGTGACGGATCGAGCTACCAGCATCACAGCGATACCCTTGATCGAGGCCTTGCTGGCGAAGCACCTCGTGGGCAAACAGCCAATGAACCTGATGCAAATGTCAGCTGAACTATTGACTCGTCATCTAAACCCTTCAATGTGCCCTGTTCCAAGTGCCTTGTGCACAGCCGAATTGACCTCTTCCATCTTGTCTGATAGTTGACGATGGCCGATCAGTCGGTATGCACGGTTGGTGGGTGAGCAACACAACATTCCATTCAATGGCAAATGAGGTGCTCCCGAATCGTCAGCTCTCCACGCAAGTTGGGCACGATTGGCTTCCTCGAAATTGAGATACAAGCATATTCGGAAGGGAAGCGGGAGGCTTTCGACGGGGTATGGACTATGGACGAACCCGGCCTCGCCCACATGCAGTGCACCGACAGGCTGCTTAGACTTTTTCCACGGAAGGGATCTGGAACGCGCAATCATGATCCCTAATCCAGTGATTGCGTTACAGAAGCCCCCCTTTTTTTTCGTTTTTCTTTTACAATCCTACGGTCTAGCTCTACAGCCCGGTCTACTATGTACATTCGGTACTAATTAACGAATGCGAATATTCGTAGCAGTACCCAGTTCATCACCTGCAGGCGTACCAGGTAGTGGACTAGTTTATCGGTGGATGCGATACAGTGATGAGAGAGGACGGATAACTCATCTTACGTCTTAAAATTTCTCTCAGAGAACCCAGTGGGGGAAGCAGAAGACCCCAACACAAAGAGTTAGGTCTGGACGGATTTGGTGGACGCTGAGCCTTCGAGGGCTGGACACATTGCTTGGCAACTTGGCAAAAAGATCATCCCGTCTCTCTGACCCAGAGCCTCTGCCTTTGCTACGATACTATGTGTATGTCCATTGGGACGGAATACAGATCGGGAGTGTCCCGACGAATGATGACTGATCCAAGCAAATGGAAAGGTCTTCGTGACGTACTGCAGTGCCTGACCAAGTGTTGGTTTGCATAGCCCCCGAAAACACCGAACGTTGGCGCATTGTCAAGAGTCAAGAATTTAGAGTAACAAGGTGCAAAATACAGGGTTTCGACGGGAAGTGGGAACACAAACAGACTACGTACCCGGAGCCTAAGCCACACCATCATGCGCTCCGTAGCCTCCGCTCCGTCGATCGTTGCTGACGGCGGACGCTCAAGGGCCCAACGTTGACGCGTCGCGCTATCGGAGCCTCTCCCCATTCCATCCATCCCACTCGGCCGAACAACGACGGACTGGAACTTGTTAACGACCGTCAGGCAGATTCTGAGAAAGGGCATTTGTCATACAGCAGTCGCTATGGCGGGGCCACGAATAGATGTGGACGATCAGGACCAACCGTTGTCTTCGATACAGTCGGCTGGTGGGCAATCCCTTGTCCGTCAGCTCCTGGAGATCCAGACCGCTACCATCGAGCAATCGAAATCACTTCATTTCATTCAGAACCTCGACTGTCTGTATCTTGATAAAAGCCGAAAGCGCCCCCCACAAACCCGCGATTCAGCATCTGAAGATGATAACTCCTCCGTGTGGCTCCGCAGACGCGGCCTGAATGCCCTCAAGGAACCGAACTATGTAGCCGTGTCTTGGACATGGGGGATTTCAGAACCGTACGAGGACTCTGCAGCCGGCCACCATCTACTCAAAGTTTCTAAAGGGGAACTCAAACCTTCTGGAGTCCGAAACCGGGTATTTGACCGCATACGCCGATACACAGAAGCCCAGCCTCGCCTACAATATGTATGGATAGACATGCACTGCATCTGCCAGGAGCCAGGCCCGGAGAAGACTCGGGGCATGCAGGCAATGGACATGGTCTACAAGCTAAGCAATCACCCAATTGCTCTTCTTGCACGACCGATCGAATCGCGTGAAGAGCTTTGCCTTCTCGCAGACATTCTCCACGGCAACTTTGTATCAAAACAGGCTTCCGGGGATTTCCGCCTAAAGTCCATGACACAGGGTGCTCTGGATCGGCTTCGTGAAGCCTTGTCCCTTCTCAATGCCATAACCTCCGATCTTTGGTGGACAAGAGCCTGGACTTTTCAAGAGAACTATCGTTGCGATGGGAAGATGACGTTACTCATCTCTCACCCAAAGGATGATAAAATATTCAGGGAGAAAAGAAAGAACAGAGAAATTTTCGGTAAGGTTATTGGCGACTTGTCGATCTCATCTCGAAAGTTCCAGACAGAATCCACAAAGATGTGCCAAGCCTGCATAATTACAGAGAGGGAGTACGGCGTTTCCGGTCTGTCCGATGTTGCCGAACGAATTCTCAAGACAGCTCCCAATTACGAGTTCCTATTACGGGAGACCATGCCCGACGGACAGTATTTGGCCCGCTGGTCACAGTCGCCGAGAACCATTAAGGACATCGAGTCCCGCGGCAGCAAATTCTGCCACGACAGATTGGCCATAGTCGCAAATTGCTGCCAATACTCCATCAGGCTAGATGACGCCATCCTCCGGCAAGGATCGCACAGTATGAGTCTATCTATGCTCGCCCTCTACCTACTGAATGGGGAGATTATGGCAAACGCATGTGAAGAGAAGGATGATCGTCTCTTAGTAAGATGCCGGAGTCAAACAGTTGCCGACTTCATCGCAGACCAGTCGTTCGATGGCTTCTGTCCACCTCTGCTGAGACGGCCTCTTATCTACAACAACGGTTGCCGGTTCATCGATGTTCGGCTTACTGAGGAGGGTTTAAAGACTTCTGGCCATATCTGGAGGCTCTATCGTACCATACCCACGGAGCAATTCGCCTTCTCGACTCCAATAAATCGAAGCCAGCATAGCCAATGGAGACGCCGTAGGCACACCATGGAGCGGCTTGCCGAGCTACGAGATGCCTTAGATGAACTCGGATATGAGTCACTGGTGCAAAAGCTGACACGGTTTCTTGACGCGGACATGCGACCTAAGGAGAAGGAATCCTTCTCCCAAAAGTACATGTGGACGATGGCTAGGATGGTCGTTGCGGCAATGGATGCGCATAAGCCATTGGTGCTGGGTGGTCTGCTCGATCACCAGCACTTCCAATATACTGGGATTTTCGTGCTGGAAGATCTCGAAGACGAAGAAGAATATGAGGATGAAGATGACTTCTTTCAAGAAGAAGAAGCCCACGCCAGCGACGATTCAGAGTACGCGAGCGACTCAGAAGAGAGTGAAATGCAAGGAGAAGATGACGATGAAGTGGAGGTCGGGGAATTACACGAGCATGTCTACATTTTCACTTCTTCCAAGCCGATGATAGAGTCGTCGGGGACATTGTATCCAAACGACATTGATAAGCACGTGTCGATTGAGGTACATGGAGACAACTTGAGACCAAAGGACTTTAGCCCGGAGTCAGTGCCCAAACTTCTTATCAAGCGTTGGGTACATGGGCTTTGTTTCTTCCAGAAGCACTCCCGTCGATCGGTAGTATTCCCATGGCATCCCGCGTTGAAAGGATACCCTCAGACATGAACGCTACATTCACTCGACGCAAATACCATTCTTCAATCCAAGAAGGCTAGTCATTTTGGTCATCACCTAGTACTTGGTCATCATTATTCTCAGGTGTCATTCTATGCTATTCAATGGCCTTGAATCCGGGGGCTTGATAATAGCGCTGAAATCTGCTGGACAAAAGATACAGTTTCCTGACTTGGGGCTGCCGAAATTGTTGACTTGAGAAAAACTACGGACAACATTGAGCTATTTGATGCCACCATGAATACGAGTACATAGCCTCACATCATTACTCCTCGTGAGTTGGCTACTTTTGGCGAAGTCTTTGATATTGAGCTGTGTATCGGCATAAGCTCAATTTCCAAGCTCCAAGACATAGTGAGCTAGGGGGAGCAGGTCACGCTGCCGTTGTTCTCAATACAGCGCCAGTTGTTCGGGTATCGCTGAAGAATGACCCAGTTGCCATAGTCGTCACAGACCGCAGGAAAGACGTTCGATCTACATCAAGAGATCAGTCCAAGTACATGTCGGGGGATAGGGGGAAGAGACAGACCTGCATTGATAAAGGCCTGGGGTGCATTGCTGAGCTGCAGCAAGTGCTGCGACGAAGGCGACGAGAGATACCATAGAGAAGCGCATTTTGACTGAATATATGTTAATCATGATGTTTTAAAAGATTGACTCGCTGTTTCTGTTTAACTCTTTACCTTTTGTGATGATGACTTGGTTATTGAAGACAAGAGATGACGTGTGTGTTCAAGGTTTTGTGGTTTTGACTGAGCATCAACCTAAGATCAAGGAACAATTTACAGTCTTATAATCTAGTTCACAGGTGAGCTGAAGTTAAAACATTTCATGATTGGAACGACTGCGGTTACTCAATCCAAATACGCCATGACGCCCGTCCTCTCCTTCCCAGGCAGCATCATATCAGTTGCCGTGCCTTTACCATGATCCTCGTCCAACAATTTGCCGCCAAAGACAAGTATGTTATGTGCCTTGTGTGATGCTAAAACGACTAGGATATAGGTACGAGATGCTCAATTGCGCCATCGTTTCCAGAGTCTGACTTGACGCAAACCTGTCGGCAGGAGTCAGCTTCAGGCCGTAAGCCTCATCATCCCGCTCGAATGCGAGTCGTCAAGTGTGCTGAGGTCGCCGATAACTGTAAATAGGTCACCGATGTGTATAAGAAGGTTCCCGAAGACCTGCCAATTTCAGGTATAAGAGAAAGGTTGGGTTCCACAAGGCGGGTAGGGTTAATGTAGTTGAACGCCTAGTCCTTGGCTAACTCTAGGCAGCAGCTTCGTAACGCCCAACTGAGCATAGTGATCCGGTAAGCAGATCCTTCGATCGGAAGCGACTACACGATTTCGTTTGAACGAGATTGAATTGCTTGCGGTTTCCGAGAGCGAGAGGTTTGGGGAGGCACATCGCGGTAGGAGACGTTTTTCACTACGGTTGGGTTGCATTGCCAAAGTGTGTGCTGCCAGTGTTGGTATTCCTTCCACAGGGAAGTTGGTTCGAACCGTAGGGTCCTGGGGGTGACGAAGTATCAATATCTCTGTATTGATTGATTCTTCGTAAGGAGTAGAAGGGAGATTCCAACCGGAGGTTGGGTGGGTAGTCGAGGTCTAAGTGTACCCCCTCGAGGTGGCCCATGCTCTGCCCCTACTCGCGGCCGAATTGGACTTCCAATCCGACAGCCAGCAATTTCAGCTATCACCGTTACGCATGCCAGCTGACTACTCAAGTAGAAAAAGCCATGAACTCCCAATGGCTTCTGAGCATCTCGTTTGAGTACACGTATTGTGACTCGGACAATGATCAATGAAAATTTCGCTGCCGGATCTCTGAAGGATGTAGACAAGGCCGAACCTACATCAACATGTGGAGGATTTGATTCTCCTCTGTTGACTCCAAACCTGCTGATTCTACAGACGTGCACGTTATCAAATTTCACAAAACAAATACTAAATGAGCCTTGATGGTAAAAGTCGTAAAAGAAAATGTAACTTCAGTGTTCGAAGAGATATGGACCTCTAGAGTTGTGCCGTGGCAAATCGAGACTTACCTTAAATCTAAGTACATTCAACGCTACAGATCGTCATCGACTAAGCGGCACTGGGTAGAATGACGCGGTTGTAGAAGAAACGTCTCGAAGACGACCTGAAAGTGCTCCGGTGGGTAACTTCACAAAGCGGGAACCGCCGCGCTTTCTTAGACCACCCAAGTTCGGAATAACTTGGCTTCTAGTTTGAGAATGGGATATGGCAGCCGCGTCTTGAGCTATCGCAACTGCCGTAGAAGCATAGCTGTTTATTCTGTTGGCAAGCATCGAGTTACAAGTAGATAGCAGCGCCTATCGTCCATAACCTCCTCTTGGTGTAGTTGGTTCATCACGTTCGACTGTAACAGTTTATCCACATCCATCGAAAGGTCTCTAGTTCGATTCTGGAAGAGGAGATAGGCAACTGTTCTTTGGTTTAACCTCTTAAATCAGGTATCTGATCATAATGGTTCTCGAATTCAAAGAATTGACTGTGATTCAAACGCTCTAATTCGGAGCTATTTTTTCCCCATCATTCTTGTGCGATAATTCAGCGTGATGAGAGTGGGGCGGTCCTCCTCTGACTTGACTCCATTTTCAGCATCGCGGTGGGACCTAGAGACGCTGCCACCCGCTACTTCGAACTCAGGACTTGTTGCACATCATCCCGATGGCATCGAAAAGTCAAAGCAACCTGAACTAAACAGCTGTGAGCAAAACGCAGAATTGGCGCCTGGACAGTAGCTGACGTCGATTCATGTCAAAAGCCTCATATTTGTTGGATTACCAGGAGATCGCGACATGGTCGTAAATTTGCGTTGTTGCTGCCAGGCCACACAGGCTGGCATCCAGCATAGGAGACAAGTTTCAGCTGATCTTATTCGTCGTCAAGGAGTGGCGGCTACAGTTACCCAATGTGGGTAGCGATCCCCACGCGTATGTAGAACAGCAAATTGTGAATTGTGCGAGCGCTATTATGAAGAATTCATTAATTCCTCTGTCTCCGTATTATGTTTGTCCTGCTTAGATAATCACGGTCAATCACGGTGTGCCGGGATCGCGCGGCGCCGCCTGTCTCCGGTGGGTTTATCGGAGGAAACCCGCTTTGCCCAAGTTGTAAACAAACTTTACCTGCATGTTATACATGTAGAGTTCAGCTGTTAATATAGCCTATTCACTTCGATTGTTCCCCTAAGTCTCTTATGGGTCAAATGCTTCCCCGCGGCACGTGATGGTGTATGTGACAACTGTCTGACGCGATTACTACGTGCAGATTTTACTCCGTCCATGTCGTAAAAGTAGATGTCGAAAGCCAATTGCGATTGGGTTACGCCATGAAGCGCTGTACCAAAGAACAACCATCCCATAATCACATTACATTGCATTGTGAGAGTCCTTGCCTCGTTATTTACGTAGCACTTGACGACGGCTCCTTACCATTCCAATACAGACGATAAGAATTTATCAGACTTTGGTGGTTTTGGTAGGGTTTCCTGAACGGTGTGACTACATGTAGACCTTAGACCTGGACTTGTAGTACCTAGCCTGTAGGTGTCATGCACTATCACTAGACCATAGAAGTATCACATGCGATCCCACTTCACCACGTCTACTTTGGACTAGAAATACTGCGCGTTGATAGATGCAACTGTTCATCGTCGAATTTCTGCTCAGGCTTGCATCTACGTTAGGTCGTTGACTGGTTCTTTGTGGCCTCTCCGACTAAGACGGACTCCGACGGACACACGTTCGGAACACAGCTCGGAATACGTCGAGGCATCACGACACTGAACACTCAACGGGCGATGTCGGGACTTTCAATAGCCTTGGCAAATGGTGAAATTTGGACCTCATGAGACTGTCGAGTATCTGCATTCCGAGAGGTGCAGAGATCTTGGTGTTAGCTACCGGAATGGATTTGTGGAGGACCAATCACTAAGCGGCAATGCTATCCCAATTGGGCCATGAAGTGCGCCGCCAGCGGTTTCAGATGATGTGCAGAGGAGGGAGTCGAAGGAACAGTCACAGTCAGGAGAGAAGACTTTCCGTATAACACTTACGTTGGTTCTTCACTCCTTCATTTATATATCGACTGTTTCAATTCCCTCGTAATCATGGCAAGGAGGTATGCCCTATCATCCAGGCTCGTGCCTAACTTCGCTGCAAATTATCAGCGACTTTTCCGTTGATTTTCGATTACCTCCCTTTGTTATCCAAACATGGCAGACTGGGAACAGATCGCCCGCGAGCACCGAAAGGAACAGAAGGAGAAGATTCCGTCAGCATGGCTCTTGGACAATGACAAGTTAGACCAGCTTCGCGGCGCCGGCACGACAGAAGAGGGTCGCCTCATCGGTCTCCAAGCAGCAAAGAACTCGGGCATTCTCGACAGCAGAGAAATCGACATAACCGAGAACTACACGGCTCGCGAGCTAGTGCGGTACCTTCGGCTGGGAGCACTCAGCGCCGAGAAAGTGGCAACTGCGTACTGCAAGCGAGCAGCCGTTGCCCAGCAGTTGGTGAGTTTGTTATTAACCACCCACGGGACAGAAGCAACGGGCTAATGTTCTCTTATTGTCAGACTTTCTACCTCACCGAGATATTTTTCGAAGACGGAATCGAAAGAGCTCGATGGCTCGACCAGCAGTTGCGAGAAACTGGCAAAGTCCTTGTTCCCCTCCATGGCTTGCCAATCAGTCTCAAGGTAGGATAACAACAAAGGGGCTCTGAAACCGCATTCACCTGGCAACAACGACTTATTCCAAACAGGACAGCTTCCACGTAGATGGACACTCTGCGACAGTGGGCTATGTCGAGTTCGTCAAGCAAGCCCCTCCCAAAGGCAATGCGGCTCTTGTCAAGCTGCTTCTTGACGCAGGAGCGGTTCTCTAGTAAGTTGGGTAATTGACAGATACATTGCTTAGATAGGAAGGTCTAATGACAGGATCTTTTGCTACCTACTTAGTTGCAAGACCAATATTCCACAAACAATGATGGTAGCGATTTACCCTACATAGACATAACATCGCTTTGACAACATTCGCTAAAGTGATCTGTCCAGACTTGCGATTCCGAGAACAACATCTTCGGCCGAACACTCAACCCGCACAATACCAAGTTGACAGCCGGTGGCTCAAGTGGAGGCGAGGGGGCGCTCGTAGCGTTCCGTGGATCACCTTTGGGCATCGGTAGCGATCTGGCCGGTTCCGCACGCATCCCAGCTTTCTGCTGCGGCTTGTACGGCTTCAAGGTAACCGTGGATCGTGTACCTTTCTCAGGGCAGTCTCTCTCCCCATGGCCGATCAACTGGATGTCGACTGTCATGCTCGCTCTCGGTCCGTTGGCCACTTCAGCCGACGACTTGTCGCTCTTCATGGAGGAAGTTGTGACTAGGCTCAACCCGTGGAAGCACGACGGCACCGCGATCAATCTCTCCTGGAGAAGCCTCGACGAGCCTCGATCGAAACCCTTGACGATCGGCATCTTGCCCGAAGATCCCGAATATACTCTACACCCTCCTGTACGCCGGAGTCTGGCTGAAGCAGCATCCGCTCTCGAGAAAGCTGGACACAAAGTTGTACATCTTGCACCTGAGGCCAAGCGTAACGCGGCTCTTGGTGCGAGAATCTCGTATCAATACTTTAGCATCTCTGCACCAGCTGTTGCCGACTTTGGAGAGCCTTTCGTTGCCTCTGCTGCCAAAGGAATGCACCCATTCTCTACCGGAGACTTCCCTGTGGATCCAAAGCTGGATATCCCGAGCCAGTTTATAGGACTGAACATGGCTCGCGCAGCTTATGCCCAATCATGGAGCCAGACCTAGCAACAACACGATCTTGACATTGTATTGGCTCCTGGTGCATTATGCACAGCCGTCCCACACGACACTTTTGGCCTCCCCGTGTATACAGTCATGTGGAGTTTGATTGACGTGAGTGTTGATTGCTCCGCTGGATGCTTAGAAATTTCCGGAAGCATTCTAATAGGTCGCTAATGTAACCTCAAACAGTACCCTGCTGCAGTCATTCCCTTTGGCACTGCATCCGCGACGCGAGACTCTGAGCCACAAAAGGCCATCGCGGAGTTTGTGCCTGATTGTAAGATCCCTCCCCAGCCTTCAGAGATAAGAAACTTGCGCTGATGTTTCTTACCTTTAACTTTGAAGATATCCCCGAAGCTACTGATGGCGCACCTTGTGCAGTCCAGGTTATTGCGCCAAGGTTCCGCGATGAAGAGTGTTTGGAAGCTGTCGGCATCATTGACAAGATCCTCAACGCTCGACATCAATAAGAGCATCGCACAACTACTTAGCCGGTAACGCGCGTGTGGACAACACGTAGATTTTGCTAACCCACACTCCACTCTCAAGATAAAAACAATGCTACAGCCACTGCATAGAATAAAGAGATCCCCAGTAACTACCATCGGAAACTACCGAAGAGGGCACTTGTGATCCGCCATTGCCGTCATTGTCAGCCTTTATCAAGGTCTGCGGAAATCTACTACGCACCGGTTACCGTGCGTGGGGTCAGCAGTGCTACACTCTAGTGGCCACCTATACTCGCTAACCAGTGCGGTCTAACTTTGATGTTCCCAGCCCTGAATCATGCTGGGGAATCCATAGTCTGTGCTCCGTTTGGCCGGTTCCAATGTCCCCTGAATCGTAGCCACAGAGGCTAAGGCTCCGTGCCGGCATCTTTGTCCAATCTACTTTTCCGTGTCTGCATGTGTATGTGTATTTTGGAGAAAACATCTATTTCCAACGGCTACGAAGTCCATCTTGAACCGTCATTCTCGAGATTTGAAAGAACAAGATGCAACGCGCTCGTGGCGGTCGTATGAGCTGCCGGCGGCGGAAACGAAAGTGTGACCGCCGCCGTCCGTTCTGCGAAGCCTGCACCCAACGAGGGATCCAATGCCCTGGATACTCGACGCCCCTGCGCTGGGTAGACGGTGCTGCGAACCATCCTGCTGTTGGCGAAGGTAGCGGTAGCACCGGCAGTCCTGCAGAATCCAACAGTATCCCAAGCCAGGTCGCCCTCCCGAGTCGTCCTAGCCCTCACATTCAGACGACACATATTACGGATGAGCTCTTCCATAAGTGTATGTTGCAACTGCGTCGGTGCTGACTCGATAGGATATCCGCATAGCAAGGTCGCTAACAGGGAGTGACGCTCACAGTTCTCCGCACAGGCCTCATGGGCTTTTACAGTACATCGGTGTGCTCATGGGTCCAGCCGTTCTTGTTGAGATGTCTGCCAAGAGTAAATCTCTTGTGCTACTATCTTCTGCTATTCAAGCCTATCTCAATGAAGGCAGTTCAGATATGTCTGTCTTCTCTATGGAGTACATTGACACTGCTCTGAAGGAGTTTCGGCGCGAAATCGTGGTCCACTACGACGTCATGCCAGCTGCCACAGCCTGCTCTGGCGTATTACTCTGTGATCTCCAAGGAAGTCGCTCCGGCGATAACCAACTAATTCCGGCGGACCCTAGGATCCATCACATGGTGCCTATTGAATGAAGATATCCAGACATGGCATAGATCTTTCAGCTAATCGAAGGGATATCAACAGTTCCTTCAAGCTCAGCCATGTACACCGGTCATTGGCCTACTCGCCGAGACCTTTCATTTGAATACTTCCATGGCATATCTTAAACCCAATCCCGAGCATGACCTCTCAGTGCGACATGCCTTGGAGTTCATCGGCCTCATGGACATGCCCTGCCTCGTACTGGGGAGACAATGCCCCTCCATGGGTATTTGGCGACGTTTTCGAAAAGTTCAAGACTCCTGGAAGGGCGGAAGGGTTGGGGATTTGGAGGTCGTCACCGGTGTACCACAATCGCTCCTCGACATCTTCTCCGACACACCTTTCGAGACAGCTGAAGTTTCCATCAGTCGTTTTTGGGGATGGCCAGGTGAAATGGGTGAATATGTTCAGTGCTTGTTGTGGGATTGCTGGCGGTTTGCCGGACTGCTTCACATCCGCAGACGCGAACAACGCAGAAACGCCGCGCGAAAAGATGCCCAATTCGTCGGCGACGATCAGCAGGACGCGTCACCGAGTTCAGAAATTGTCTTGTATCGTCTGATATCAGGACTTCACCTCTCTGATGTGGCGTGCCAGCTGCCTGAGAACCAGCATCTATTGTGCCGAAATGGCATCGTATTCCCTCTGATAACGGCATGCCTCGAGACCAGGCTCCTCAAGCGACATCCTGACTGGAAGCAAACCGTGGATGAAGTACGCGCGGCTGCCGAGAAGAGATATCTCTTCCAACTAGCGAAAGCTACTTGGGAGGTTCTTGACGAGGCTTGGAAGGATGAGACAATGGAATTTGATGTGGATGCAGCAATTGCACGGAAAGGCCAGGAAGTGTCATTATTGTAAATTATTAGGGTTCCTTTGAGCATTCTGGAGCGTATTTATTGCAACATGATCTCACTTTCATCGTCATCTACGAGTAGTATTGGTGACCGTCTATTACAGTCTACAAGTACCCAACGCGAAGGAAACTGAGGTGATCAGCGCTTTGGACCAAATCGTGCGATGAACGTTCCTACAACCTGTCTACAAGTGTGACGATCTTTACACAGATGAGTGAACCACTCCTCCCCAGCCATACAGATTCTCCATCTCCTCTCCTAGGTTTTCTTTCCATCACCCATCCTCCTCTCCACCTTGTTCGTCAGATGCTTCTGGGCATCCTTGGAGAACAGGCACCCGACAATAGCAATAGCTCCGAAGCCCAGACTCGCCAGATAAACCGTCTCAAACGCCTTTGAGTACGCATTCGGCAGCACCTTTGCCACCGCAGCCTTGACAGCATTCGTCAAACCAGGGAAAGCGGCCAGCTTGCCGGCCTGGACTGCCTTAGCAAGGGCCGGGAGCTGGCTTGAAGGCAAGCCCGCAGCAATAGCTGGGCCGCGGATAGCTGCCGGAATCTCCGTTGCCAGGCGATTGGACAGGATCGTCGTGTAGACGGCGACGGCAATAGAGCCCCCGGCCGAGCGGATGGACGCCAACAGACCCGAGGCAAGGCCGATATCTGAGGGTTTGCAGAATAGGGGCGCCAGGGCGAGGGACGCCAGCTCGATGAAGCCCACGAAGAAGGGGCCTAGGATCGTGAGGGCGATTCCGGCGTTCAGCGTCTCAGGGGTCAGAGATGCAAGCGCTCCGACAAAGCCGACCATGCAGAAGGTCGAGAAGATAATCCAGTAGCGGACGTTGCCTCCCCATTTCACGATACCTCCAGCGCAAACTTGGCCAAGGGCCGTCGCGCTCGCCACGGTAGACTTGCACATGTTAGTCACTGATGAGGATGCAGGTTAGAGATCTTCTCACCGAAAGCCAGCCACCGTAGGTGATGTCGGTCGTGTACAGGGCCTGGACCTGTTGCGGCCACAGGAGAACGGCGGAATAGTAAAACACCTGTGATCGTGTTAGTATGTTCTTTCGGGGGAAATCTCGAACAAATGCTTACTGTAGCAACTGTTGCGCAGCAGACAAGTGCCATGAAACCTCGGTTGGCGAAGAACTTGACAGGAATAGCAGGATACTTCAGATCTGCAAAGGCTTCCCAGCAGAAGAGTGCCACCAGCAGGACAACACCGAGAATCAAACTCGTGATGGTAGCTGCCGAGTCCCAAGGGAACATGACGCCTCCCCATGATACACCCATGAGGAGGAGAGTGAGGCCAGAAGTCCAGAGGAAGATTCCAAGGTCTATGTAGTACGTCAGTATAGGAGAGTATCGGAGGTTCAGCAAATGAGTAAGCTTACAGTCAAGCTCCTTGAGCATCTCGCGCTTGGTCTTGCGGTCGTGGAGAAGCTCGAAGGTGGGTGGGTGATAGAAGAGGTACAACAGGACAATTGCGAGACCCACGGCGATGATGTTGATGTAGAAGCACCACCTCCAGCTCAAATTGGGGTTCTCGACGAACTTTCGGGCTGGAACTCAGTTAGCAACCATCCTATTATGGGCGTTTCGGCATCGACTTACCAACAAAAGGACCAAACGCGGAGATAGGGGCGTTGGTCAAGAAGATGAGGGACAAGACGACAGGGCGGTACTTGTTGGGAACCAGTTCGCCGACAGCGACGTTGAAGCTCAGCTGAACCGTCTCACCCAGGCCGTAGATGGCGGCACCAACGATGAGAGTCTCGACATTATGTGCAACAGCACACACAATGATACCGACAATGGCGACGACGTTGCCTCCGATGAAGAACCAGCGTCTGCCGAAAAGATCCGACAAGCGGCCCAGGATCGTATAGGTGAACGACAGCGAGAGGGTTCTGGCAATGTTGACCCAAGAGATATACGGACTCGGACCTATTTAGGGTGAGCATATGGCATCTTTAATGGCTTTACCACATAGACTCACCGATTTCAGCGTTGATGAATGTCAGCACGTTGGTTGGCAGGATCAGGAAGATGTATGCCGACATTGCTGAAAGACAAAACCCCTAGGATGAAATCAGTGAAGATTCAAATTTCAGCCATGATCTCGACAAACCGCCATAGCCCCGAGGAACTGAGGTGAGTAGTAGTAACCGGGAGGGAGGTCATCGCCGAGCGCCTCGGAACGGATCGAAGAAGCATCGTCTCGGTCGGTATCGCGGTCGAATTCACGGTACTTCTCCAGCGAAGCCCCATCGAACTCGCGATAGGACTCGTTCTTGGAAATATCCATGGCGGATGATCGGTATATCGATATGCGGGAACCAGCTCGCAGTATGTCGGTATTCGAATAGAAAGTCGTCACACAGATTTCGATGGGCGGGATCCTGCGCGCTCGAGGCCGTGCTCAAGTCTTATACAACCTCTCGCGTCCAACCTGCCATCTATAAACGTCGATGGAGGACTGTATATGTGCGGCGTAGTGTCGAAAAGGGTGGTTGACGAGCCAAGATCAAGCAGTGAGATGAACCCCAAGACATGCAATGCAGCCTTGGTCTGACCTGCTTGCTGTCTGTCTGCCTGTCTGTCTCTTAGCCCGCCCGCCCCTCCCTCTTCCACACGCAACGCGGCTTCACCGTCCCACGGCATACGCACACCAAGGTGTCCCCCGGAAGACTCGAACCTCTCTCTCCGAAACTCTTTCACGGAGTCTGGTTGTGCAGCCGGGGCCTCTCCCTGCGCCGGCCTGCGGGGAAGACCACCACACGACCTGAGCACAGCGATTTTGGGATTTCCGCATCTGGCTGCGACGGTAGTTCGAATCATTAGCTCGCTGCTGACTCAAAATGTTGAATCGGGATGGGACGTCGAGTTGGTGAAAAGGACTGCACCTTTGGGGGATTGATAGTTGAAACCCGTTTGGGAGCCGGACCGATGGTACACACACAGTCTGATGTGATGGGCAATATTGGTGATGGCTGCCCTCACTTCCCATCACCTGGTCTATCTGCAACGCTGACAAAAACGTGCAGCTGCCAGCGCAACCAACCCAAGTCCCTGGCAGGCTCTTCTATATATCGACTGTTTGCAAAGAAGGACGAACCTAGCTGGTCGATCTCAAATGGTTTCGGACGACGGGTTTGATTAGTCTAGACGGTGGTCGAGCAAAAGCTTTGGGGAAGAGGGCCACACAGATCTAGTTCCTCCGGGTTTTCCATCAGACGGGATCTTCTTTGTCCTTTCGAACGGCATGTTTGGAATTAGACCCCGTCATTCTCACAACTTGCTACCTCTCCAACGTGGTTCTCGCTTCTCAGAGAATGCTTTGAGGCCTTCGAGCATGTTCTCGCCCCTTTGCAGCTCAGCAAACTCCTTCTCCAGCGTCCACTCGACTGCTCGCTCTACGGATGCCGTCTCCCAGCCCTGCCTCAAACCAGCTCGGGTACATATAATGGCATCCGGGGAGTTGGCTGCAATCGTCTTGGCATAACGCACCGCCTCCTCGACGACCACTTCCTTGGGCACCACCTTGTTCACGATGCCCCATTGCTCCATCTCTTGCGCTGAGACGTTGCGCCCTGTAAGCGCGAATTCGCTTGCTCTCTGAAGTCCGATGGTCCGTATGAGTCGCGGCAAAGCTCCGCCTATGGCCGCGATGCCTCTCTTGACCTCGGGAAGCCCAAAGTAAGCGTCCTCAGCAGCGACGACGAGGTCGCAGTTGACGATGAACTCACACCCGCCACCCATGGCGAGACCGTTGACGGCCGCAATGACTGGTTTCTTGCCCAATCTCTTGCTCAACGGCTTGAAAGCAGGCGCGTTGCCCATGCGCTGGCTTGGATCGGCGTCTGCGGCCATGCTGTTGTTCCACTCCTTGAGATCTGCTCCGGCCGAAAAGGCTCTTCCCGTGCCTGTGATGATTGCGACGCTGAGATTGGGTTCTTTGTCATACCATTTCCAGACCGAGTCCATCTCCCACTGGGCCGCTGTGGACATGGCGTTGAGGTCTTTTGGCCTGTCCATGCGCACAAGCAATACGCGGGGAGCTGGGTATGAGAGCTTGAGAAAAGCTGGCGTTGCCGGTGGCGGAGATTCTGTTTTGAAGTCCATCATGTCGAAGTATTGGTTTTGTGGTTCAGCTTGGTTCAGAGCTAATTGGTGAAGTCTTGCTGGTGGCACGAGGAGCTGTGGTTACGTTCCTCACTCGGCGATGCTATCACGATGTCAACTGCTTGTGGCGGAGTCCGTTTGCAAACTTCCGTCCGCTATCAAGCCTCGCGGGCTCAAATAAAGGCTTAGAACACAAGACAATCCTGGCATCCGGTTCTCGAAGGAAACATCCCAGATCCAAGATTCACTTACCCCCACTCGGGCTGTCTTCCGCGGTGCGTCCATCGGTAGAAGGTAAGAAGCCTTCAGTTTGCATGGCACACATCCCCGATGCTTTGGCCTTCCTCGACGGCCATTGCGCCAGGTTTCGCAGGGGCTTTGACTCGCTCTCCAATCGTGCTCAGCGGGATAAGACGTTTCTGCGCGTCTTTGCAGCGGGTGAAAGAGGGACAACGAAAACGTGGGACACCCCGCAGTGACGAGCCCCAGGGGTGTTCCCGCTTGACGTGCCGAGGCGACATGCCTGTGAGACTCGCTAGGGAGCATCCGTCAACGGATCGTTGGGGGGGGGGGGGGGGGGGGTTGCGTTGCGTGGGTGTGCTCGTCCTCGTTTATGGGCACTGGGCATGCGTGGCAGGTCACTGTGCACTGGCCGCGAAGTTCGGCGTCACAATGTGACTCGAGATGTCTACGACATATTGTGATTGTCTGTTGGTCGACTTGGCGAGAACGATGATGCAGACGTAATTCGACTCATTGGGACACAAGAGCCATCGAAGCCTCAAAAGTGCAACGAGAGGAGGCTACGAGACCACTGCAGGTTGCGCAACGTTCCATGACAGCGACACCAAGTAACCCCAAGTAAGACTTACAGCCAAGCGAGACACGATAATGGCTACGCCGAGGACGAAGAAGCCAGTGCCTTCCTGGATAGAGAACCCCTACCCGCATGTCGAACACAGTCTAATATCCTTCCCTCGAAAACACATCCTCCTCGTCACAATCAACCGGCCGGAGCATATGAACTGTCTCCCCGTGGAGGCGACAATAGAGCTCGGTGCATTGTGGAAATGGTATGATGCCGAACCGGAGCTACGATGCGCTGTGTTTACGGGGGCCGGAACCAAGGCCTTTTGCGCCGGCATGGATCTGAAGCAAAGATTTGATATAATCAAGACAAACGATGTCGCCTTTGACTATCCGCCGGGTCAGTTTGCGGGCATGAGCAATCGAACCGGCAGGAAACCAATCATTGTCGCGTGCAACGGCCATGCTCACGGTATGCTCACTATTGGAACCCGAAGAGATCGTCGTGGATGCATGTGTTAAGACAGAGCTAATGTGGCATGCAGGCGGTGGCTTCGAAGCCATACTCAACGCAGATGTCATCTTCGCTTCGCCAAACGCGACTTTTCGTCTCCCCGAAGTCCTCCGCGGCGTCTCTGCCCTCGCAGGGGCATTGCCTCGCTGCATGATGCTCTTCGGCAACCACCGAACGATGGACCTCGTCCTCACAGGCCGGACAATGTCTGTAGAGGAGGCGCACAATTGGGGATTAGTCAAAGAGATCGTCCCTCAAGAGAAGCTGCTTGAGAGAGCACTCGACTATGCCAGTCAGATCGCTGCACTAAGTCCAGACAGCGTCATTATCTCGCGATTGGCGGCGCGGGAGGCATGGGAGACGGGGGTCAGCAGAGCGACTATGCGCGGACAGGAGTTGTGGGCTGAAGTGATGCTCCGGAGTAAGAACGCAACTGAAGGACTGGCGGCATATCGCGAGAAGAGGGATCCCAAGTGGTTTCCTTCGCATCTGTAGGCTCGCGACTGAAAAATTCACGTCAAATTTTTCGCGGGCTCGCGAGCTCCCAACAAGAGAGCTTCAGGAACTCGTATCCATAACAAATGAACAGCGTCGATGGTTTAGTGGTAAAATTCTCCGTTGCCATCCAGCAGCGTCGGGGAGCCGGGGGTTCGATTCCCTCTCGACGCATTTTTTGCACTTTGCGCTCTCGTAGAATAATTCGACTTCATTTTTGATGCTATCTCGAGATATCTGCATGGTTGTGTGTGTCCTAGTGCACTGCCGAGGTCATGTTCTGTGCTCTTGAGTAGAAGATTTTGCCCGTAAACTCTAGCTGGCATTGCCTGGCACGCCAACGGGATGCTTCTTAATTACGACCAGTCCGCATCCGCACGGGCAAGCCTCACTCGACCTGTTGGCCAGTGTCATCGTTTCCTTCACTCCAAACTCCGCCGACTCAAGAAGAACAACTCTTTCTGCTTCTTCTGACTCGAAAGGTAATAAGATAGTCGGTATTACAGTAGCACAGATGGACCTATATTCGCGACTGAGTCCAAGTTTGGATGAATATGATACACGGCGCAAACTCTTCCTCAAAAACAGAAATCCCCTCTGAATGCCGCCGGCTGTATCCCTGGAAAGCTTCCGCGTCCACGGCATAAAGATCACATCTTTGGTTTCGCTTGCGAAATCTTGGCATAGCCATTGGATCTTGATGATCGTCAGCATCCCGTCTCACCAGGTTTAGTTCTGGTGCTGAGTATGTCACCTGGGACAGACTTACAGAGCAACACGGCCATCGTCCTTGACAATCGTCTCAAAGACAACATCGTCCACTCCACCTAGGCTTTTGACAACCCACATGCGCGTCTCCAGGGTATCTCCGGGATAAACGACGCTCTTGAACCTAGCCCCGTAAGCTCTAAAACGACTCGGGTCGCTGCCGCCCAACTTCTGTAGCAGGCCATGTGCGGCCATGTTCCAGGTGCCTAAGCCTTGGAGGATAGACCCCTTGAACCCGGCGCGTTGCCCAAACGCCTCATCCGCGTGGAGGGGATTGTAGTCGCCGCAGAGGCGGTATAGGAGAGCTGCCTCCGGGGTGGTCTTGATGGTGTGCACGGCATCCGGGGCGCGGTCCGGTGCCTTAATGACCGGCTTTGTTGGGCCCCGGGGGCCGCTGTAGCCGCCTTGTCCTATGCCGAATGCGGTGGATGTCATTTTGGTGTAAGCTGTGTTGGTCTTCTTGTCGACTAGCAGCTGTTCTGCTTCAAGAATCATTGCGCCGCCTGCAAAGAGTCAACTAACCCGGGCTTCATGTTCTCCAGCGTATTGCCTACATACCTTTGTCATAAACTCCTATGACTTTGCTTAGAATCTCCAGATCAAGTCCATCCGAAGACACGGGGATTGGTCTAAGTATCTCGATACCTCGCTCCCCGTCGACGGAGCGTTGGGCGTCAAATGGCGGACAACCCGGGACGTGGCCGGTCACGGTGCGGGCAATAAAGTCAAAGACGTCCTGGTCCGTCTGCTTAAAGGCGAGGTTGATTGGAAACGTGGGGAACGCGGCAAAGTTTGGTTGCAGTTCGTAGAGGAAATGTAGCTCTTCCTTTTGACAGCCGATGGCATTGGCCTAAGAAATCTTTCAGTTGGCGCTCTCCTTGATCCAGGGAAAGTATAGGCATTCAAGAACATGACTTAGGTATTAGAAGACGTGGCCATGATGCTTACAAAGAGGAGAACATCACGACGGTTATAGGCGCACTTGATGGGGGGATGCTCATAGCCGGCTGCTTTGCGGAAGTCAACATTGTCGTAGCGACCAGATGCGTTCTTGTCTGGTCTATCGCTCGAAGCCATCGTGTTTGATCTCTTTAATAACAGGCTGAAGTAAGAGCTTTATCTAGTACGGCGGGAAACGATGAGATTGCTGATAGAGAGGTTGACGACAACAGACTTGAACTCACCAACTGGATGAAATGTCAGGGGACACAGACCGCTAAGTAAGATGACTGACCACGCTGTCGCACTGCCGAAATAGCGCTTTCAGGCGCTTGAACCTTGGCCGAGGTACTCCGCAGTACCTCCAATGCCCTCGGTCAGTCGTGGGGAAAGGTCACACCACGAAAGAGATCTTCGCATACAACCTAGGTGCTTAGATCAAAGCTGTTGTCCATTTCCTCTTATTCTTGATCTTGTCTTTAAGAGTATTCTTCCTCTGCTATACACACATCTGGTCAGACTTCATAATCTTGATAATCGGGCACGGCTTTCAAACACGCGCGGCCGGCGTTCATCTTCAACCTTGACAAAATCAACTGGCAGACCAACAACTCTGGCGCGTAGAAACTCCCCTAGGCTTTTCGCGAACCCATCAAGTACGCTGCTGCTGCTAACGCCCTCCTGTAATATCCCCTTGATAACAAAATGAACCGCCCAGAGCCCTGGGAATTCGCATCTTTCCACCACATAACGAGCTTGCCAGTCGTCTCCTAGCAGCTCAATAAGCCTCTTTCTCGTTATGAAAGCCTGTAACCAGGGCCACGCCAAAGCATTGCGTACCCAGAAGCCCACGTTCGCGTTGCCTCCCTTGTCACCGCTACGCGCGAAGACGAGGTCCCCCAGTGGCCTCTTCACTGTCCTAGATAGCGGGACCTTCGACAACGGCACTATGGCATCGTAATCAGGCTGGCGAGGGGTTAGGCCACCATCTTGACGTGCCTTGACGGCATGTTGCTGCTCACCACCAACAAAGCTCACGGCGAGGGGAATCCGGGACTGCGGAATCAGTGCTGGGAAATACCTGATGTACGGCCTCGGCTCCATAGTCCTCCAGTCCATGCCTAGATGAAGACCGCAATAGCCTTGCAAGCCGTTGTAGAAGATTGCTCTCTTGAACTGCTCAAACGCTGCCTTTGTCGGAGATTGTGCAAACATGCGGAACTGCGTCGTGCATGACTTCTGTGACCGTGGGTCTGCCACCGATGAACCATACTTCTCGATGCTGAACGTTGTGAATTCTGACTGGTCGATCTGGCCCAACACCTGGCTCTTGAGCACTTCGAACTTGAAGTCGGTGTCCAGGCCAGTCGCATACGCTGATATCTCGGCCTGATACCCTCCCATCAAGCAGATTGACAGCTTGGCCGTAGACGGTGGCGGCAACCCCTTGACGCCTGATAGTTGAACACGGTCTTTACCCAACTGCGTGAAGGTTGCACTCTTAATGTCGGCCATGACATCCGGATTGAGATAGTAGACGCCTTGTATCTCATAAAGCAGTTGCGCCTTGCAAGTGTCGACAGACACCAGCCCACTCGAACCCTCCGGCTTCGTGATGACAACACCGCCGGCGGCTCCGATCTCCGCAATCGGGAACCCGGCGTGATGGAGATCCGGCACCTCGCGCTGACCGCAGTAGTTCCCTCCCGTCACATACGGCCCGCACTCAATCAAGTGCCCGGCCATAAGACTCGCAGCAAGCAAATCATACTCTGTCGTCTTCCACCTATGCCACCACGCCGCAAGCCCCATCACGGGACTCGCATCGGTACATCTCCCGCAGACGACGATATCGGCGCCGAGTTCCAGCGCACGCACGATGCCCGCCATGCCCGTGTAGGCATTGGCAGCGAGGAGATCGCCGCCCTGCGAGTGCGGATCAAACTCGACGCCGGCCTGGTCGAGATGCATGACTCGCCCGAACGCGCCGCGTTTGACGGCATCAGTCACATTGTCGCCGCTCACCCAGGCGACCTTGACGTCGCGGATGCCAAGGCTCTCAAAGTACGCGTGCGTCTTCTCGGCAAGGCCCCGAGGGTTCAGGGCTCCGCCATCGTGAACGACTTTGATGCGTTTCTTGGCGACGAGGCGCGCTGCGTCGCCGTTGTGCCATGCGAGTTGCTCGAGGAAGTTTGGCTCGTATCCTAACTCTGGTTGGGTCTGGAGCTCTATAGCCTTCCAGGCGATGTTGAATTCTGCGAGGTAGTCGGCTGTGATGGCGTCTACATTGCCGTGCTTAGCCAGGCGGTATATCTGGTCAATGCCGTCGTTGATGGCGCCGGAGCAATTGCCGATGCGTATAGGTCGTCGAGGCGGATCCATATGGCAGGATGAATGTTATTCGAGATAAGTTAACCTTGATCAAATAGCCCGTGGATATATCATTCGATTACTAGAAACGTTGTTTCGACGTTGAGGCCATTGTATGACCCTCTCGCCCTCCAAAACCCCGAACCGTGCCGACGCCGCCGCTCGACGTTTTGACCTCTGACCTACAGCGTACCACAAGGATCACCGCAGGAAGTCTGTTTGTGCAGAGTTGCGCTTGCGGGTGCTCCCCGAGTGCGACCAAGACCTTGATGATTCAGAAGTTTCATGCAGAGGTACTCTCTTCTCCGCACATCATTGTCTCGGTCTTCCCCCTCCTCTACGTGTGGAGGGTCACTCATTGCATCGTGTCTTGAGGCGAAAGTTCAAGGACCCATCTGCCTTTCAGCAGCCTACCTGTTCCCTGTTCATCTTCCACGCCTTCCTTTTGCCTCATTATCCGAAGCAGGAAATCATCGGATAAGATCCGCTGATGCCGCCCTCCATCCCGCGCGGTAACTCCAGTTCAGTCCTACAGGAAAGGTAGAAGCAAGCGCGGCTTAAATGGCACGAGCGGCTCCAACAAATTGAGGCTCTTTCTCGCCGTCGGACTATTTCAAACCGACTGTTCCTGACACCGACAAAGAATACGACTCTGCGGTTGTCTCTTTCGTCCTGGGATCTTGTGGCTATTCATGACATTGTCAAGAGCTCGTTCATCCGACAGTTTGTTTGAAACAAAACTCAAAAGAGGGAATGCACCGACCATCACGACAATGAGGATATACACATCTAAACCTATCGATATTCCTCGCGTACTGAATCTCACCGAGTTGCTTCATACAAATGCGAGTTCGATACCAGAGTCACAAGTCATCGCCGCTGATAGTCTCACGAACCGGAGCATTACTCTCGGCGAGTTACGGAATCGAGCCGGCCGGATTGCAAAAGGTCTTGCGGAAAAGCTGAAACCGTCGGATCAAGCGCGATGGGTCATTGTGGTACCAAATTGTGTCGAGTTTCTTGAAGTCTTTCATGCCATCCTATGGACAGGCGGTGTCGTGTGTCCCATCAACCATGCTCTCAAGGCATCCGAGATTGGCCATGGGATCGCGGTCTCGAGACCTCACTTCATCGTGGCGTATGGATCGATATTAGAAACCATCCAAGAGGCCGTGGATGTGGCAGCGAGAGAGCTTCATCAGGAAGGGGTACCATGGAAACCACCGCCAATACTATCCATTGTGACACGGCACTTGCAAGCAAAACATATTCCGGATGATTTCATGGCCTCAAGTCAACTCCCCATACCACATTGGCCAGACACATCGAAGCGACTAGCCTCAATACACCTCTCATCCGGAACAACAGGGAAGCCTAAAGGCGTCGAATTGACGCATTACAACTTCGTTGCGAACGTCATGCAACTTGTCGCCCTGGACCACAAACGCCAAATGTTCAACTCGGCATGTAGAATCGTCGCATTCACGCCCTGGGCACACATAGCCATGACGACGGCGCCTCTCTTTCTCGGTCCATATACTGGCATGTTCCATCACGCAATGCCACAGTACAGCATCGAGGAGTTTGGCAGACTCGTAGGCTCGACGCAAGCGACCATGTTCCAAGGCGTTCCGAGCGTGGTACTGGGCCTAGCCAACTCAGATGTAACAGAGCGGTACGACTTTTCCAAGGCACAAGTCATCAACATTGGCGGCGCGCTGCTCAAGCCAGCGCAGCTCTCGAGACTACTCAGCCGGGCACCGTGGAAACTTATTCAGGCGTACGGGATGACGGAGGCGGCTGGGTATGTGGCCTACCAGGGGTTTGAGGAAGTCGTGCCCGACGGGTGCACCGGGAAGCTTTTGCCCGGTATCGAAGCCGCGCTCAAGAAGGAGGGAACGACAGAAGACGCACCTCTAGGCGGCCCTGGAGAATTATGGCTTCGGGGCCCGAATATCACGCGAGGATACGCGTTCAACCCAAGCGCGAATAGGGAGGCGTTCCCTGTCGAGGGTTGGTATACCACCGGAGACGTGTGCCGCATAGATGAGCAGGGACGGCTGTCGATTGTCGGGCGAACAAAGGAATTGATCAAGTCCAAGGGCTTCCAGGTGAGCCCGACGGAACTCGAGCAGATCCTGAACTCCCACCCCCTTGTGAGGGAGTCTGGCGTCGGACCTCTGTGGGATGAGAGCCAGTTGACAGAGATCCCTGCCGCGTGGGTCGTACTCAAGGAGGACGACAAGAATAAGATGGAGGAGCGCGAGATCATTGGAGCTCTGAAGGAGATTCAGAAGGCTGTAGATGAGCAAGTTAGTGGGTACAAGAAGCTTAGAGGTGGTGTTTGGGCTGTTGACAAGCTTCCGAGGAACGCAACAGGGAAGATTCTGAGGAGGGATTTGGTGCGGATGACCGAGGGGTTGTGTTCTTTGGAGGGTGGTGGTAAGAAGTTTGTCGCAAAGCTCTGAAGATGGACTTGATTTGGACGATGTTAAAGAATTCAGCGTACCTGTTTCTGAAGGACTGATGTCACTCACTATACCCAAAGAGTGGCTGTGCCTTTGCTCTCAGTAGCTTGGTCTCTATAGCGTCGTATACTTGGTAGCAATTGTTGTAAAAGGTGGTTGGCTTGATGTCGGCCAGGAGCGCAACATGATGTTGTCCCATTACGAGCGGAATGAATTTATCCATGATGAATGCCTATCCAAGTCTCGTCTTACCGTGTGACCCAGTGAAGCAAGACGAGCAAGTGAAACCAAGTTCGAGGTCGACATTGGGCGATTCGACCTTGCTGTCAGTCGCTTGCCCTGCAATATGCCCCAGGATTGACGATGATATCCGATTGTTACCAGCACTTTCTGCCTTTGGATCACGATCCGAAGGGCTCCTGGCCACTCGTACTTGACTGAAGAGCCGAGGCAAACAACCACAGGTTGCGGGTGAGGGTAGTTCCATTTGGGCCCCTGAAGTGTCCACGAAGCGAACGGCTCTCCGTGTCGGCCGGTAATCCACCGCAGTAGGTTGACCACCGTGATATCGCATCTCCACTGATACCGATTGCCAGACTTACCTTGGGCAGAAATTGTACATGACGTTGGGGCGTGCTAGGAGTTTGCCTTTGAATCCGGGCAATGGTTCCAAACATGCCACTCTTCTCTACACCGCTTTACGCGAGAGTAATAGTCAAGACGTCAACTCTAGTGACCCGTCAACAAGACCGCCTGCGCATGTTGGACTTGTCTGGTCAGATCCTACACATCGTATTCGATAGAGCAAGCGTGGCTTTGTTACCAGAAAATTGAAAGTGGTCAAAATTGAACGATGGTCGTATCCCATCCGTCTCTTGATTCATGATATGTAGAGTGTCATAGATCCCATGCCTTCGTTCTAGGCTAAGGGCATCGCTGGAAAGCCGTTACCAAGCGAAGTACCCTCTCCCTATACCGTCACAACGGATCATCCGTTGGACAAGGTTCCTGTCATTACCCGTTCCCAGTGCCGTTTCGTATCACTCATTCCTTACGCCCTCTCCCGCTCCTGTCTGCGGACCTCCTCCTGAAACACATTCCTCCCCGGCGCAGAACCCGGCGGCGGACTCGTCGGCTCAAGCTGGATATCCGCGCTGCCCTTCTGCCCATGCATACTCCGCGGTTGTCCCGTGGGATGCGCCGCGTTCTGGCGTTCCACCGCGGCAGCGACGGCTGCGTGACGGCGGCGACGCCTGATGTACAGCCACATCATCACTCCGGCGATGGCGAGCGAGATGAGGATGACGGGCAATAGGATGGCGAGGAGGTTCGGTCTCGAGGTGGATGGGTCAATGTCCAATGCCATCCTCAGGGTGAATACGGGTCCCGTGACGTTCTTCTCTTCGCCGGTGTCGGGGTCGTTGTACATGAGGATGATGGTCATGTTGTTCGAGGTCTTCTCCTCGAGGTCGGTCAGGTGAGGTGTCCATGGAACCCAGCCATCGCCGCCGCTGAGGTTCGTTACGGAGAATGCGGGTGCATTGTCGGTGATGCCGTTGTCTACGTCGAAGCCGACGATGCCAATGGGTGTCGCGGGGTCGGCAAAGAATGTTGTATCCCAAGCGACTTGACGAATATTGTTAGTTAACTGATTTGGGGGTGCTTAAGGCGGCCCCGCGATTCAGACATGGACGGGACGGGATGAAGTTAAGCTTACTGTAGTACGTCGACTCCACGTGCAGAGTGCTACCCCGTCGAGGTTGACAAAACGGACCATCCTGACCGACCCTATTGTTGCACACGGCAAAAACTCCTCCGAATCCCTGGGTATTGCTCGCCTGCGGTGGCGGTGGTACGCCTGTGCTGGTTGTGAGTCCGCCGGTGGTGGCCGTGACTGTGTAGACGGAGCCCGTTAATGAGTATGGGGGAGGGCTGATCGTTGTGCGTGCGCCATTGCTGGTGACTACTGATGGCGAGATGGTCCGGGCATTGCCGTTTGAGTCGATGGAGATCCAGTCGTTGACTGGGCCGGGACCTTGATTCTGCCGCGGTTGGACGGCCGCGGCTGATGATGATGTTGCGAAGAGGAGAGCTGTCGCCGCAAAGGCGGACAGCAGCCGTTGTGTGTTTGTGAACATGGTCTCGAAAGGGTCCCTCGATGCTGTGCGAAGCTTCAAATGTCGGGGGAGCACAGACGTAGTGGGTGAAAGTGCATAAGTAGGGAATAGTCCTCGGCCGTATTCCTAAGTCGAGTCCGCCTTTGTTCGCTCCGATATGATGAGAATCCTTATATTGTCAGAAAGGAATATCTCGAGGGGAATCAGGTCGCAATGAGCTGCTTCTCTAAGAACAACAGATCGACATGGATCGTAAGAGAGAAAAGAAAGATCGGCTGGTGATGGACCACTTCGTCCCGGATCCTCTACGGCTCAGCGTACCGTACCTTGCTGGGTATCAAATATTAAGCGGCACCGCTGAGCAAGGGGGAATCCGCAGAGAAAGGAAGAAAAAAAGAACCCAGAAGAAGCGGATGTTTGCCGGCTTGGGGTCTCGCAACGCGTCATACGAACATGGAATGGAGGGGCATCGGGCGTTGGTAGCAGCAGCAGCGGTAGCGGACGCAGGCGGCAGTAAGCACGCAAATGTATTCGTTCGCGATCCTCGAGTTCGAGCCGAGTCTCCAAGTCCAGGGCTGGTTGCGCCAGTTGAGCTGGCGTAGCGCACCACTTTGTGTGTTGGGTGGCTGGAGTAGGTAGAGCAGACGAGTGCTCAGCAAGATGGCGCTAGGTAACTTGAAGGCTTCAAGGGAAGAAGAAGACTCTGGCCCAGTCAAGTTAGCAACAAGTGGGAAGAAGAGAATGTAGTGAAATCCAAAGGTGGAATGGCCATTCTTCTTGTGCTCCGCATGTCCCGCTGCCCAAAGGCCATTTTGGCGGGGGGACCAGCGTACCAGCGCTGGCTCATGGTCAATCGGCACCCAATGAGGAGGATGCTGGGCGTGAGGAACACATGCTTGGCAATAGACAATCGCGGGCATGGCACGGCAGCGTGGCAACCAGTTGATAATGGGCGGAGAACGCCAAGGAGGTTGGTGATAGGGTGAAGGCGTGGACAGATGGGCACCGCGGTCTTGGAAGATGGAGCTTGGACGGAGTCTTCCAGCAGTTTAGCACGTTGTCGTCTCGGCAAGCTCCAGAATCAATGGTTCGAACCCGGAACGCCCCTGTCGAGCAGTGTTGGCGTGCTCTGGGCGCATGTCTCACGGCGTGCCACGGTTTTGTGTGTTTGGTAATATACATGTTGGCACTCTATGCCATGCCATCATTCACGGTGCCGGAGTGCCGTAGTGTTCTCTCGTGCCTCTGTTGAGTTTGCCGGTCCGTCTTGGGATTTGAATATCACAAAGTTACGGTGTGTTGACTGGCATCTCTCTACGGAGTACAGTCTTGACAAGAACGCCGTCTCATCTGGTCTCCCCTCCAAGGGTCCCAGACTTGACGTTTGACAGGCCAAACTGGAGACATGTCTGTTTTAGCTCAGGTAAAGCAGACGAACACCACTTGCAACGCATGTACCGCACAGTAGTGTAGGGCCGGTGTGTACTCCGTTTCGCGTTCATAGGGAAAGGGGGTTTGATGGCTGGGCTGAACTTTCTGAAGCGAAAGCTGCGAGAGCCAAGGCAAGATGGACTTGGGATTCTCGTCGACGAGAGGGGCGATACGACTCGGAGAAGACAGGGAACAGCGTCGATACGGCAATGGGCTTACCATCAGACAAGTGATTAGTGCGGGGTTGGCAGCAACTTTGCAAGCCCTGCCCTGCAGCCACCACTCAGCAGCAAAGTCTAATGGGCGCCAAGCGGTTTCTTTGCGTGACAGGAGGGTGGAGGTGCTGTTTTTATCTGTGCCGTTGCCGTATGAGTGGCCTTTTATCGCCATCCTCGGCGATGCGAGAGATGGGCTACTTAACCTCGTATTCCCCTTTTTGTAGAGTGACGAGAAAGGGTCGCGGTCCGCGGGCCACGATGTGTCTAGAGGTTCACGTTCTCAACAGCAGATTATCCAGCTGAACAAGAAAAATGAAACTGGAAAGGCGGCGGATGAACGCTGCACGTTCTCAACGTCTTTGAAAGTCGACCAATATTGCAGTGCATGGTGTAACGCGGGAATGGTTTAGCCCAGACGCCTCAACGCTCTTGGCTTCGATTTGCTTGTGTCAAGACTCAAGATGGAGTGTAAGAAATATTTGTCCGAAGTGGTGGGATGGCAGAATTGCGATTGCGAAGCGTGTTGTCGCACAGAGAGGTGGTTGGTCGATGGACGTCAGGGCAGACCCAAAGGCAAAGCAAAGGGACGAGTTCAGACACTTGGTGGTCTTGACTCTTCTCGTGCTTGCGCCAAGACTCAACAATGGTCAACGGAGCCGATATGCTGTGTGGTAAGTGTCACGATGTGTGATGATCGATCTGTAGAGGGACGAGGCCCGACAGATGCGCCGAGGAGAGGGCCGGAGAGTGGACTCACCCAGCGGGAACGGGACTCTATGGGAGCGGAGGATTTCTTGCTTGTATTGCGGCCTTTTCTTTCTATTGACTAACATCATGACTTCGGTCTATTCCCGTTGGCGAGAAACCAAATGCAGCACAACCCGTATCTACGGGCGCTACCAGAGTCCAGCCAAGACGCCGTTCAGGAACCAACATGTGTCATCCCAGACATGCCATAGGTACTAGCAGCGGTGAAGCTCAAGCTGGCGGTGCTAGCTTGAAGCTGAACCCGTCACCTTGAGAGACATGTGGGCGCACATTTTCTCTTCACTCTGTATTGCCAGATCAAGTCAACCTAGAGAGATGTTAAGCAATAGGTATACAGATGAAGGCTTGGTCTTTGAGATAACCGAATGGCCTTCGTCAATACCTATGATCATCATCATCATCATCATCATCATGAACTTCCCAAGTCGCAACTCTGAGCAGATGGAACTCAACAACCCTTGGCCACCACCACATGGGGTGCCCCTCATCGCCAGAATCACCACACCCACGATCCGCCTGGATCCAGCTCCAAGCAGACGGAATCCCGACGACCTGCCTCCTTCGGCCACCATTGGGTCGTGGATCCCGCTCCTGTGCCCACTGAACAGACGCAGCTAAGCTTGTCTTGCATGCTTATTCCCCCACATCAAACGTGAGCCATCCGATAGCATGGCGCGACGCTACCAGAGAATGTGCGTCTTTTGAACAACTTTTTTTTCGCGCCTTACTGAATTCGCTGCGCCAATCCAGCTCTTGTTCGACGAGCGGCTGGTGGGAAGCGATGCCTCGACGCCGGATTCGGACCTCCTCGTCTTTCACGATGTTCTAGGAAGACTTCGCATTCCGCTTCAGCACGAGCCTTGCCTTCGAGTAAGGTCCAAAGCTTCGGGCAATAGATACGAACATTCCCGACAGCATGCCACAGTACCGTCGCATCTCGAGATCTGAGCCAATGCCCGATTCTCATGCTTCACTCTCGCGATACCCTCAGCAACTGCCGTCTGCATCCCCAGCAGCAATGCCATGCAGAGTGGCTGGTCGCAAAAGCAACGCCGTTGCGTTGGCTCAACGCGAAGGGGGCCCAACATGGCCAGACACGCACATGTGAGGCGTTGCTTGTCCGCCATCACATCCATCCCTCTCTGATCTCCTCATCCAACGAAGACCCAAAGAGCTTTCATGGGTCGACTTGCCCACCCACCTCCGCTGCCCAGTCGACTACTCGCCGTACCGTTCCCCCGATTGCGCTAGAGCAGGTGAGCAGCTCCCAAAGAGGCACAGAGGATCGCCCGCTCGCGTCCATCTCGACCACTCGCGAGTCGCCGCACGAGGAGGCGATGGAGGGGCATCTCATCCCGAACCAGGGAGCTTTGTCTCTCGTTTTTTAAGTGGAGTTTTTGTCTGCCACCCTCGAGGTCGACAGACGTCTCGCTACCCATCCCGCAGGACATGTTCCAATCTGCTCCGAAGTTACTCAATCGCTACGGGGCACATTGATTTCTTCGCCTTGCCACTGAGCTTCCCCTTCACCTTGAACACATCAGGGGCTCATTTATGTACGCGAGACAACTCTTAAAGTGAAAGCGTTGTAGCCGCCCGCGATTGCCTGATTTCAGATTTGCTCCTTTACCTTACCCCGCCAAAATGAAGGGATTCACAACCGCTGCGCTCGCGGTAGCAGCCGCTACCACGGTGCTTGCGCAACAATGCGCCGATATCATTACCCCCAGCTACACTGCCCCTCAGGTCGCCGCTGGCTGGCAGGCACAGCTTGTCGCCAATGGCTTCAAGAAGCCTAGGACAATCCATGTTGACAGCGAGGGCGCTCTGCTTGTTCTGGATGCTGCCGTTGGTGTTTACCGCGTCACGTTCAAGGACAATGGCGGCACTTGTCTATCTTTGATTGAGAGCAAGCTTCTGGTCAACAACACAAGAGTGAGACTTCACTTTTTTGAGTCACCACAGGCGACAAGAGTGCTAACATGTTATCATCCAGCTCACACACGGCATGGCCTTTTCAGAAGATGGCAAGACCCTGTACGCCTCCTCCGTCTCCCAAGTCCTCGCCTGGGCGTACGACGCAAAGGCCGGTACCGTCAACGCCGAGCCCGCCGTCGTCATTGACAACATGGCAAACAACGACCAGACCACTCGTACCCTGGTCATGTCCAAGGCCTCAAGCAACTGGCTCGTCGTCTCCCGCGGCGTCGACGAGAACTTCGATATCGATGCCCTCGATGCCAACAGCGGCCACGCTCAGGTCAAGGCCTTTGACCTGAGCAAGTCTGGCAACGACCCCTTTGACTTCAACACGGACGGCAAGCTTCTTGGCTGGGGCATTCGCAACGCTGTTGCTGTCGCAGAGGACCCCGCTACCGGAAACGTCTGGGCCATGGACAATTCAATCGATGATATCACGCGCAACGGCGTCGACATCCATGCCAACAACCCTGGTGAGGAGCTGAACCTGCTCGGTACCATTGCGAACGAGACCGACGCCGGCAACTACGGTTACCCGCGGTGCTTCGCCGTCTGGGATACCAGCATCCCGCTGAACAGCTCTCTCAACGTCGGCGACCAGTTCTCCATGGAGCAGAACTCGACCATGAACGATACCCGCTGCCACAACGACTACATCGCTCCCCGTTTGACCTTCCAATCTCACTCGTCTCCCGTGTTCCTCAAGTTCAGCAACGACGGATCAAAGGCCTTCATGTCGTTCCGCGGTAGCTGTAAGTCTCCCTCCCCTGCTCACCTTCTCTGATGAAAACTGACGTGGCGCAGTCAACCGCCCCGACCCTGTCGGATACGCCCTCACCGCAGTCGACTTCTCCAACGGCGAGCCCGTCGCCAGCAGCGACTCGACCGACGCGCTCAAGAACGTCATGTACAACAACGACCTTAGCACTTGCCCCGATCAGTGCTTCCGCCCAGTCGGACTCGCGTGGGACGCCAAGAACCGCCTATTCATGACCTCGGACGCCACGGGCGAGATTTACATCCTGCAGCAAAACGACACTACGCCTACGTCAACGACTCCCGGCACCATTGTCACCGGCACCGCGACCGCGACTGCCAAGCCTGATGCTGCGAGTGGCTTTGCGCCTTCGCTTGGTCTTGGATTCGTTGCGCTGATGGCCGCTACCTTGTTGTCTTTCTAGAGTGGTGCAGAGGTGAAAATGGAGATGGAAAGAGAATCACTTTGAAACGACGATGAGAGTTGGGCTACGTCTTGCCTAAATTTGAATGATTCCCGGCGAGGCAATGTTACGACACATGAATATACCTAGACTACCTTTTTGATATGATTACTTTAATGAGGAGATTGTAAACATACAGAGTGAGGTCGGCTTGAATCAACGGCTTATGATTGACTTCCTAGCGAAGAAGGGACTCGCCCAGGTACTTCTCGCCAATTTGCACAGCTTTGAAGACTTGATCATTGAAAAGTTGTTTTGTCGTTTTTTTTTTTGGTTTTTTTTTTTTTTTTTGGATGCTCTGTACTCTTGAGCTAATTCCTCGTGTCGTCCTCTCCACCGCGAATTCCTCCTGTTTCCTTTGAACTATGCAGTCCACATCTTCTGCTCTCCGACGACATCTCCGAAGGATTGAATAGTAGGCGTACCGGCCACGAGAGCACCTTCAATCAAATGCTAGCTGACGTCCAAACCTCAAACGCTTGTTTGAACACTCCCAATCGCTTTGTCGATACCCTCATCCGTGAACTCCCCGTCCTTCAAGAACTCCCCATATCCATCTCGAAATCCTCGCCTCCGTATTTCATATCCTCCGAACCTTCACCATCATCCATATCGATATCTTCCATCCCGTAACCCCCCTTATTCGAGCACTCCCCACATCCATCTCGATACTCTCACCCCAGCAACTTCATCGTGTTGTTTTCAGGATTGCGGCGATCCTGAGCCTGGCCGATAACCACCAAGATCGATGCGACGAAGAACAACCCAAGTAGCATGAGGATGATGTCGATGATGAGACTGACAATCTGTGCTGAAATAATCATCGACATCATCATGGGACACATGCCTTCCTTTGAAACATGAGTTTGAACATAGATTCAAGCATTGAACTTGGCACTGCTCCAGTGAAAGAAGCTATCACAAGATTGGCAGCCAAACACCACCAGCGTTTGAACCATTCTAACCCATCCCCTTGGCGGCAGACTCTCCGTGAGTGAACTTCATGCGCTTCTTGGAATCCCAGTCCCTAGCCGGGTCACAAGCCTCAGCGAGTCCGTTGTTTGGACAAGTAAGACCCGAAGCTTTGTTTGTTGTATCGGATTGAGTGCGAATGACAGGGTTGTAGAGGACGGTGCCGGTGCCTCTCTGCCAGTCATCGACGAGACACTTGCACATCTCCCAGATTGCACCCTTGATACCTTCGGGGGTGCCTCGGACCCCCACGATCCTCTCGGTCGACTGAGGCAATATCTCCTTCTGTGTGAGATAGTCACACAGGAGCAGGCACTCTTGCAGACTGTCATCTTCGAGCCTCGCGAGAGGGGATGCGGCGCGCCTCCATGCATTCGAACAATTTTTCGAAGTCTAAATAATCAGATCTCCCAGATGGCACCCTTGATACCCTCAGGAGTGCCCTGAACACCTCCAAGGGATCAAGAGACCTCCGGAAGTATTCTGATGTGTTTGATGTTCTACTTCTCCTCCATTCGAGCAGTTCTATCCGAGCTCAAATCTCCCAGATAATAGTACCCTTGATGCCTTTGAGAGTTCCTCCCATCTCCCCGATGACCTGCGAGCAGATCGAGGGAGCATCTCCTTCTGCGCGACCAAGCGGACGCCCGACACAATCCGGAGTGCTCCCTCCGTGGGAAATGGAGGCTTCCAGCACTCCTATTCGAGCAATGATGCCGCCAGCCTGTCAAAGGCAGCGTCCAGCGCCGCGAGTCGCCGCCCGCCTGCGGGGGTTATTGAAAACAAAGCTGAGGAATTGCCTTGAAGCAGGCTTTGGAGCAGGATTGTTGAACAAGTGGCGGTCTGCAAGACTCCAAACACCCCCAGTCAATGGCTTTGCGAAACACGCGGGGATCAGTCGCGTCTTCCATTGCATCGAGGCTTGGTTCTGATGTCGTTGTTTCGAAATAACCGCGAGCGGTAATAGGCCCGGGGTGGGCTTGCTGGGCGAGGTGGGCAATGCTGGCATGTTGCCAGTGATTTGGGCGTGTGCGAGAGATGGTATCATCGTCAGTCGTGAGAGCGTAGTTGACCATGATGTCCTTCATGTTTGCTACATCCTTGCCAGCGAGTGTGAGAGTCTTGTCAGCCACAGCGAGGCTGGAGAATCGTTATCTTCTTCCAGCGTCGCCCCCCGGCGGAGTGACCAGGCGCCTCTTTATCGCGTATCTTTGGTCGAAAATCTCCGCCAGGAGCTGGGCTGGCCATGGCTCTTCGAACAAATTGGACGCGCGCATCTTGGTGACTCTAATGTTCGAGCAAGCCAGGACCGGCTGTCTCAAAGGAAGAACATGATGATGGCCGGCCCGGCTGTAGTCGGCCTTGCAGCTGTTGGAACAACCCGCGGGAGGGTTCTCAGACGGCTTGAGAGCGCCGGCCGAAGCCAGTTGCGTGGCCCAAACTGGACTGACCAAGGCGAGGCCGTGATTAATGCCATCGACGCCCGGAGGGGAACGTCTACTCTTCGTAACAGGACATCGAATCGCCCGTTTAGGGTTCTTGGAGCTTTTTCGAACAGGTCTGAACTTCTTTCCGGTGTGCTTGAAAAGTACTTTGTTTCCGCGGACGAGCTGCGCGCCGTCGGCCGGGGTGTCGCGAGTCGTATCCATCGAGTTGGTACCGCAGTAGGTGATCGTCTCGCCTTGATCAACGTCCATCGCGCCGTACTTCTCGGCCATGATGATTGAAGCGGCTGGTCCGATATTGCCGTGCTTGTCTTTGGTGTACGAGATACCCGCGTTGGATTCGCCATGTCCACCGAGATACATCGCGTTGAGCTGGCAGGGGCTCTGCGGCAACCACGGAGAATCCAACGCGGTATAAGAGACGGTAAAGCCCACGGGGTGACCATGGTCTCCCACGTCACCCCAATCGCGAGGCCAGGGCAGTGTGCCCCGACCTCGTTAATCAGCCACGGCGATCTCTCGATGGCTTCGGGCATGCCTGAGATGCGGAGAAAAGCAAGAAGGCTGCCCGGGGCTGGAGCCAATGGTGGAAACTTTGGCTAGTTCGAGCTCTTGAATTCAACTTGGCCTCGTCTAGGTTGACACAGGCTGTGCCTTGGGAGGGCATACCAATATAGATGGCAGAGGCTCTATTGTCTTCTGTCATGTTGAGAAGTCTGGAAAAGGCTGGTGTTAGCAATGATGTATGACAACAATAGAGGCCCATCAAGTTAAACTTGGAATTGTGGACAACATACCGAATTTTGAATAAATGCATTTGCAAGCCTTTCTTATTGGTCTTGATTCGAGCTAGAAAGCAGGGACTGCAAATGCGCAAGAGCGACTGTAATCTCGATGGCGTCGCAGCTCTGATTAGAGACCAGACGACATGTCGAGATGACGACGTCCGTCGGAAGTCGCACTCGGACGGGGCTGAGATAATCTCGGAGCTGCGACGAAACGTCTGAAGATGCGACGAGGGGCATCGTCGCATATCTCGTTGCATTTTCTCAGACGGTGAACGTCATCCGATTTCGGTAGCTGGGACACGATGAGTTAGCTACGAATTCTTGTAGGCATGTGAACTCCCTTGATAAGGGCCAGAATGGTGTGTGGGAAAGAGCTGGGGGCTCATGCTAGGGCCGCAAGATACCTTTGCAGTGTGAATGATGGAAACAAGCTTGTGAAGACTTGGTCACTGAAGTGAAAAATGATGAGTAAAGAGACTCGATGAATGGAAGTTGTAAAAGCGATGAAGTAGGAGTTGGACGAAAGAGAAGGAGGCGATGAAGAAGGAGGCGATGAAGAAGGAGGCGATGAAGAAGGAGGCGATGAAGAAGGAGGCGATGAAGAAGGGAAGCGATAAAGTATGAAGCGACGAAGTGTGAAGAGACGAAGTCTAAAGACATGGGGTTATCGGGGGACGAGGTAGAAAAAGACAAAGTATGAAAGGACGAAGAGAGCAAAGACGAAGTGTGAAAGGAAGAAGATTGTAGGGACGAAGAGGAGGTGATTTTGTGTAGAAAAATGAGGGAAATGGGTACTTGCCTGGTGGGAAAGTGAGGTGAAGGGGAGAAAATTGGCTGGCTTCACACCGCCTTCTAGACAGAGTTTTCAAGCAGCAAGAGCGATCAATCCCCTGTGCCCTAAGTTTAATGACAGAAAGAGTAAATAAGGGCTTCTTGTAGAAGAAGATGCTGGGCCGATTATTGAGCGACGGCAGTAGACGCTCAGGAGCAAATGGCCCCCGAGAATGTGCTGCTGGCAGCCAGATGCTTCCAGGTCGTATGGATTTGGGAATACCTTCGCACTTACCTGGGAGTTTTGGTATTGGAAATCTTGCTTGGAGTTATCGATGAGAGAGGAGAGTTTAAGATGCCGTGGTGACGTGCTCGAGGTGAAGTAAATATCCGGAACGCGACGCGAGTGACGCGTCCCGGCAGGCTTGCCGCGTGCGGCGAGCTTCGTAGGCGTAGAGATGTGAGCTATCGGAAGAATAGGCATGTAGATTCGAGCATTTCGAGTTTTCGATGCGGCGGTTCCTCGATTGAAGCCGTGATTGAAGCGCCAGCAAGGGTCGGGGTGCGGTTGATTTGTTGGACCAGAGGGAGCGTGACGAGAATGAGCCGCGGAGGTTTGTGAATTGAGAATGAAAGAAAAGAATATTCGAGGTAAAGGGATTGGAATTTGGGAGCAGTATGAAAAGTGGAAAGGATACATGTAATAGGGTAAGGTAGGCGAAGGTGAGGTTGGTGAATGGAGGCTGCAAAATATTTGGTTGCCGGGGAGAAATGAATCACCCGTTGGTCATGGGCCTCGAAATCCTCTCTCCGTTCAAAAAGAAGAAGAAACCGGGTCAGGTGATCAAGAAAGAAGAAGGTATGACGCTGAACGCACGGAATTTGGGAAAGGTTGGTATAAACATGAATACGCGAGTCCCTCGAGCCGAGTGGTGATGCACCTTAGTAGGGTTGGTTCGAGTGCCGTATTCCTTCCTTAGGTACCTAGGAACGTAGACGCAAGGCGGTAAGAGTTGCCCTTTGGAAGCCTATTGATTATTTTCGATGGATGCTCATCTTGAATAGAGTGGCCGGTTCCTTGGAAATAGAGTACTGACAGCCATTTGGCCTTCATGAGGCTCTGATGAACAAAGGCAGTGTTCGTTGCCAAGCTTGAAAACGCCCAAACCCACTCCAACGAGCCTTCTCTGTTCGCAATGCCGGTAATTAATTCATGGTAAGTTTCAGCCTTGTTTCTTTCAAAAAATGCCATACCGAGAAAGACGGCGTCCACAGGACTTTTCTCCGCGTTTGTCCAGGGATCAGAACCATGAACGAGCATCTTTGAGGCGCTCTTCAGCCTATTAGAGACTCGATCACCTGATACCTAGAAGGCCAAACACCTTTTAGTTCAAAACACAGTGCTTCTTCCTATCTTCATGCTGTAGCTACTCACCCCCATCCCTCGCCCTCCCAGCTTCTACTTGGCGGAGAAGATATCACCAGCTCTCCCAATCCCCCCTTTGAATTCTGAGCAGTCTCCTTTGACATGCAGTCCACGTTCACCGCCCACTGCGTGCCGGTATTGAAACAAGAGAACATGGAAGATCTCATAGCAAATCAATCTTACCTTGCCAGTCGTACAGTAACATGATTCCGGCCTCGTTGCTACATATAGCCTTGGAGACAGTCCAATATCTCACCCTGTACTATTTGATCCTTTTCTTCATCGCACGCTTATAGAGCACACAACAACCAAGCTCACTGGCATATGTGATTGCAAGAGGTATCAAATCCTCTCTCTCTCCCATGTGCAGTCCCCCAAAACAAGATCTTGTTCACACCCCACTACCAACTACCGGCGAAGATGAAGCTCACGACCAACACCATCACTGCAATCATTGCCTTCTTTGCAACTACCTCCGTTGCTAAGATGGAAGGCGGTTTCATAAAGGATTGCAAGAACATCCATCTCGAGAAGATGGTATCTGAACAAGGTCCGACCTTCGCCTACTACAAAGTTAGGGCCCTGTGCACCGGCATGGACGAGAAGCCATACGAGAATGAGCTAAATCTCAACTTATGCCTCGTCAACGGCCGTGGAAACTTGTCTTGGAGAGAACGGTCAGGACACACGCAGTCTCTCTCCCTGGAAAACCGGGTTACCTGCTGACATCTTGATTCCATCCTCTAGGGGCAAGTTCGACAAGACATGCAAGGAGTGCCAACTCGTCTCCGGCGACAAGAAGAAAGTCGAGATGAAATGCCGCTGTGCAAACGGAGTTTTTGATGTCTGGAAGGACAACCTCATTGATCTAAGTGAGCTTGAACCTTAAACACAGTTTGTCCTTTCAGTTTCTAACGACGCTTCTTCCAGATGAAAACATTCAATTGAGATTGAGGGGGAATACAATCTTTTGTGGTGGCGAGATGGGTATCGCACGTGGCTAGTCTGTGTAGATGTCGTTAACTTTACTCCATCATTAACTTTACTCCGAGATGACTTTCTGTGCTCCTGGCGAACATCTACGACGGGCGTTCCTCAGTTTCTCAAATGGTATCCAGAGTGAAGTTATTTACTTTCATCGGCACTCCCAGAGTCAATTCTCCAACTTTCTTTCTAGCGTTTTTCCTGAAGCCCAATCACCTTCAATACCTCTCACGGGCTCTCTCATATCTTTTCCTCCGGTTGGGGCTTCCGTCCTCTAAATGGCATTAGGTCTTGTACATTGCAGCATGACGGCTCTCCCTTTATCTCTATACTTAGTATTGTTTCCGGCCGAAATTAGACAGCCTCCCAAATCCATCTTGCCCTCAGGACCTTCATCGTGAACGTTTACGGCTGGAGAGGATCCCACAGAGATGCACTAGCGCTGATGGCTCGAACTACACCTAGACCCAGAAGACCTACGCGTCTCGTAGTGTGTAGATACCTTTCTCTCATCATATCAGTCTTCATTCATAAAACTTAATACATAAATGAACGGTAGCTTTGTTGTCTTTCGTGATTTTAAGAATGATGCGTTGCTTCTGTCCATCTTCGCTGTTGAACATAAGTGAGAAACAGCAGCGAGGAAAAGCCGACTCTCTGGTCGAAGAACAGCAGCGCGTGCTTTCGAAAGGAGAGTGGTTTTGTCCGTGTCCACACTAGCCAGCTTCCCATGCCTAAAGCCAACTCCTGATGAATAGAAAGAGCAAATTTATCTGAAAGACTGGAGAAGAATGCCTCGAGAGAGACATCTGTGCCAAGCACTATGGCTTAGACGCGCTCAACAGTTCAGAAGATCGGTCACCATCGTTGAGGCCTAGGACGTGATCTCAGATGACTGGGTATCGAAGGGGGTTTTATAACTTCAGCTTTGGATCTTTCCCATGGAGCATCGGTTCAACGGTTGACGCGCCGAATTCATTCACGTTGAGAGCAGATTCGTCGCTACTAACGATCAACATCCACGGCGATGAGGAACGTGTAGACATCGATAACTGTTTAGTTGCACGTTTGTAAACGTCATAGCATCACTCTAATCTCGACATGATTTTCTTATGATGGACATACGTCAAGCTTGGCAATCTCACGATGCTTTATTTTTATTCACTGGCACTGAGATGGAAAGTCTTGTTGAAGACAAAGAAGATGTATTTAAAGAGCCAAATGGCTGAGACCTCGGTGAAGAGGGAGAAGATTTTGGTATCTGAGAGGGTAAAGAAAAGTCTGTTTGTCGTACTTCCCAACCAGTCATGTGGTCGGGGGATATTGTCCGTGACATCGTGTTTCGTTGCGTTGTTTTTTTGATCGTGAATTTCGTTTCGTTGTAGTCATGTCGTTTCTGCCGTAGAAAGATTGTTGTGTGACTGCTCACCTGTTGTGGGCAGTCGGGCTCGGGACTTGCTCAGTGTGTATATCATGGTACACCAAGCACACCCCGACGTTAGGGTGTAAGTGTGTCGGAGATCGTAGATTCGAATCCAACACGGGTGAAGTAGTTCATCTCGTGTCGGCGGTTTGGGTGTTGGGCAAACCGCCATCGAGGTTATTTGGTCCGGATGTTCTGCAGGTGCATGTGCAGACTGGCGAAGCTGATGGGGAGCTCGATGAGGGAGCTCTTCATGCTGGGGGTGTTGCACGAGGCAGGGATCTCGACTCGGAATGCCTCGAAGCTGGATCGGGCGCCTGGAAAAAGACTGTTAGTGTGCGGACTCGGACAAGAAGGTTGACGAGGCAAAACATACCCATGCCGTGCAGGCTAGTCGCCGCGAGCTTCTCGACGTGCGAGCGCTCTGCTTGAGTCTCAGCAACGTCGGTTCTGTTGTCGAAACCGGCAGAAAAGGTGTTGTCCGGGGCCGATGCGAGATGGGCGGGGCAGCCGGTGGCAGCAGCACCGTGCTCCCCGGCCGAGACGCCGAGGATCAGTGCCAGGAGCACTGATAGCAGCCCCAACAGCCTCTGCCACGAAGGCGAGGCCTGGGCCATGTTGGATGATTGTTTAGGTGGTGTTTCGAGGGGGGCCTCGAAAGAGGATATCTTCTAAGAGAGAAACTCAGACAAGAGATGCGGCCACTGGTCAGTCTTTAATAGACCGCCATCGCGAGTGCGCGGGTGCGTGAGCGAGCAACTGAGCACCCGGCCAACGGACGCCGAGCCGGGGCGCGCAGGAGGCGGTGGGCGTTGAGTTGGCCAGCCACTCGGTTTCCTGTCGTCTTTTCACGATCCCCTGCGATTCGCAAGAATATCATCGGCGCACAAGACTCTTTCGTTGAAGAACGAGCGCAATGGGTTTAGCACAACTGAGCTGGCCATGCATCTGTGGGCTTGAAGTTTGGCGGTAAAGCCTCGCGTGGTTCGTCCAAAGACTGAATCGGGAGTTTTGCGCCATGGTTCGTTTGTTGAGGATCCGCTGCAAGCACGTTGCGACGAACCGGATCTTTCAAAAGGCGACGAATCCTTGACGAGCATGCCGGGGGAGTGATTGGATCGAGCGGTCGTGGACGGGGTTGGGTGCGATTTTGACCGGGGAGCAAGACCACACCGCAAGACTGCGAAGGAAGAAACTCCACATGATGGTGAGTTATTGGACCAGGGTTGTCACCAGGGTGTCAGCGGCCGGGCCTGTTCGTGCCCAACCCTTCTTCTTTGCAAACAATGCGGCGATCCGGCCGGTGTTTTTCGGCGGTTGTGGTCCGTTGGCCGGAGAAGGTCCCGGCCGGGTCGGAGGAGATCTGAACAGCTTCGGCCTAGCGGCCTAAGGCGAAAGAAAGGAGCGCCGAGATGCTGGCCTCAGGTGTGTCGTATTGTGGAGGGAGACCGAGATTGCGAAGCGGATATCAGATGATCTGATAAGATGCCATCTACCAATCATAACGTGCGCCCAGATCTTGTCCTACCGCATCGGCATGGGAGCCCTGTGTTGGAACTTGGGTCTGACTGACGGGCAACATGTGAACAGTGAATCCCTTGTCCTAGGATAGCTTTGGATCGTCGAGTTGCCTCGGATAGTCTCGACTTTTGGGAAAGTAAACTGAACCTAAGATATATACTCTATACATAGTTACTGTGTGTTATTTACGGAAAACTGGTGTTTTATTCTACAATGATGACTCTGTAGAACTCTGTTCGAAAGTTTGCCCGTCGCAACGTAACTATCCTTGATCCCCCACTCCAACCCGCGCCGGTGCGACCTGAACACCTCGGCACTCTCGGCCGCCAGAACATGATTCGCCCATCGGCTGAAGGCATTCAGCCAAGAGCATCTAGCTGCGAGTTATCGATCCACCGAGAGGATCGTCGGAAGAGGTTGCGTATGCAACAATTTGCTCATTCGGGACATACCCATAGTATATAGCTGAGGTGCAACACGCGCTCTCGGCGTAGACCTCCGTCTGTTTTCTGCCCAGCCGTCAGTCATACTGTCTTTTCGAAGCCCGCCGCCACTGTTATCAAGATGAAGTTTATCACATCTGTCACCGTTTTGGCTTCTACTGCTACGGCTCTGGAGTGGCTCCCCGTTGTGCCCCTTCACGCCCGCCAGGTCACCGGCGGAGCCAAGTACGAGTGTCACGAGAACTGCGGTATGTTACTCACTATGCTCCCAACGCCGCACCAGACAGACTCATGACAATATCTAGGCTATGCCATTCTCGGAGCAGCCGAAGACAACTACTGCACCAACTCTACTTGGACGGACTACGTCGAGGGATGCCTGCAATGCGCAAACACGTTTGACATCTGGCAATACTACGGAGACGGCGTCACAGAAGCCGCGGACGGGTGTAACCTTGACGCGACACCTGTCACTGCATCGAACAGCACGACGAACGCAACTACAACAGCCGGGACATCTGGCACAGCTGGTGCCTCGTCTACTGCTTCTTCAACCGGCTCGAGCTCGGTACGTCTTTTTTCAGGGATAAACTTGGATTGCAGTTGAGGTTTCTAACGGAAATTTAGTCTGCCACTTCGAGCACCGACGACAGTGCTGCGAATAGCAACCAGCCTGCTACAATCGTTTTCGCATTGGCTGCTGTTATGGCTGCAACTCAGCTCTTATGAGGGGACTGGATACATGTATGATACCATGAGTTGATGAGATGAGGCGACAGGATTTGTGATGCCAAGTTAGAATCACGCAAATGCTTCGAGAAGGTGGGGGAAGGTCCTGTGTATAAAGTTGTCGGGGAAACTCATCGTGAGGTATTCGTAACGCTGGAGATGAGTTGTGGATACTAGGAAGAACATATGTGAACTACGAGTATGTCGTCAATTAATGAGAGGTATCTAAGTATGATGAACTATGCATAAGGACGGACTACTGCGCCGTTTTCTCACTTGATATCATTGTAGCGCGTGCAAATTTGACTGACATAGCTTCTGGTATCACTTCAATGCGAAGCTCTTTTAAGGCCACCAATTCGCTTCCACCATGCAGGTGCCTTACATGCCTTACAATCCTCCTACACTTTAGCATAGTCCGGAACCACAACCGGCGGAGTCAACTGATGAAGGTTGCTGAGACCACATAACACTGAAGGCTTGTAATACACTATTTCTTGGCAAAGGCTTAGCCGAGTTTTAAGACTCTCACAAAGATTCAATTTCTCAAGTTGGAAAACAATTCTCGTATCAGTCAAGTCTTTCCCTTACCTTACGTTGTGTTAGGTTGGTAAGTAGCGAGGTAGATCAGCTCAGAATATCTCGCCGGTTTCTTAATTCACAGTCACGATCAAGTTAAGGGTGAAATGTTTTGAAAAAGACGGATGCTCTTGTTTGATAGGTCTGCAAAAGGCAAACGCCTATGCAATGTGCCAGCCAGCTACTCCAAGTGGCTTTTGTATTTATACAGTGAAAGCTCCACGTGGGGTAGTAATAAATGAAACACATCTTCCATCACTAGAAATCGTCCAAACACGCTCCAGATAAAGCCGTTTGCTGAATCAAGTGGTCCAAGTCAAACCCATAAGCCGAATTTGCTATCGTCGAAGAAGTTGTTTTGTCGCTTAAGCGGAGGTGGGCTCAGCGGAGGGAGCGCCGGAGGGCTAGGCAGCACCGGGGACCTGGGTAGGGCGAACACCGGAGGGGAGAGCACCGGTGCCGTGGTTCTTGCCCTTGCCCTTGCCCTTGCCCTTGCCCTTACCCTTGGTTAAGGGGGTCTCGACAGCCTGGGCGCCGAAGCCATCAGCCTCATCGGAGGAGCCGCGGGTGCGGGTCTTGAAGCCGGAGTGACCACCAAAGTGGGGGAAGCCACCGCCGAAGCCACCGGAGGGGGCAGCAGCACCGGGAACCTGGGTAGGGCGGGAAGCAGAGCCGAAGCCGGGGAAGCCACCGCCGAAGCCGCCAGAGGGCTTAGCAGCACCGGGAACCTGGGTAGGGAAGCCGGAGGGGAGGTCGGTGGGGAAGCCAGTGGGGAGCTCGGCCTCCTGGTCCTGAGCGAAAGCGCCAGCCGAGAAGGCGGCAAGGATGGTAGCGGCGATAACGTTGGCCTTCATTTTGTCTGAGTTATGAGATTGACTGAGAGGTTGTTTTGTGAGGTGGGAAAGGTTGGTAAGGAATGTGGTTCGAAGGAACGAATGAAAGGCTTGGTATAAGAACGGAACAGAAGACTAGCTTCAATGTGTTTGGAATGAAAGTGATGAAGATGGAGTGGGATGGAGAGCAAAAAGAAGATTGGTCTTGGATGGAGAAAACCTGCAACTTATATCGATCTCGACGTCTGGGATCCCGGTTACCATCCGCCACCGATTTGGCTCATAGTTTGCCAGGATGGCGTCAACTTGGTCGAGAAAGTTGGAGCAACATGGTGAACCGTTGCGCAATCGGACGACACAGATCGACAAGGGCAGTCGACCCAGCCCGGCGGGATGTGGGTGTTAAGCAGAGCAAGAACCATGTTTGGCCCCGGACGAGTTGCCACTATTCGGTAGTTGTCTGCGGCTCAAGCTCCAGCTTGGAAAGAAGGGTGGCCCGACTTTCCCGCTGTCGATCAAGACAGAACAGTGGTGAAAAGTATGGGCGCCATATTGCTGTCAATTTCCAACGGGTGGGTTCTCAGGGGTAACAGGAGTTTGGCAACTGTTGGCCTAGCTTTCCGCGGCGGGTTCAGGATTTGATGGATGCCGCGTGCGTGGGTGGATAGTGCGGATGGTGGATGCGCGCAGCTCAGCGAGTCAACAGTGCTCACTGCAACAAGTTAGCAACTGCTCGAGCCTCGAGGGTTCTAGACCAGACCAAGGATCAACAGATCTTCTCCAGGATTGGGACATGACTGGAGTGTGTGTGGGAGACTCTGAGTGGTTGGGCTTCGATGTTCAGCCCATCACGGCCGTGTGTTTCAAGGAAGACAGGTCCAGGGTCTCCACCGCTCCCTTATTCTCCGACCCTGGGGCGTTTGCTGTAAATTAGAGACGTCGTCGTCTTCGTTTCACCTTTACATGTTGGGGCGAGGGGAACGGTGCCGTTGTTCCTAGTTCGGGGGTTTTCACTTTTTTTATTTATTTAACGGGAATGCAGAGTCCATGGGACGCTGCTCAGTCTGCCTGTCTACCGGGGGCGGACCATGTCTTAGTTACGCGTCATCAGATGGCAACACGTCGCGCTTAAATGAGGCCAGGGGACATGCCTGCACAAGGACCAGCCTTAACAAAACATTTCTGGGCGGCAACATGGGATGGAAACTCCTAGGCCTCAGGAGAGTCGCGGCGTTAGGGAACGATCATTTAACTGCAAAGAACAGTTTCGGGAAGTCATGTCCGCGATATTGGCGAATTGCCTTGCCCTGCTTCAACGGCTTGTGACATTGATCGGTGAGACGCCTCCGAGATTGCTTCTCTTTTCGCCTGGTGTTGAGCCACATCACCAAATAACCAATTAACCATAACTTCATCCACCTAGCCCGGAAGTCCGGCTTCGGGAACGCAGGAGCGCTTAGAGCCAAATCGTTTCCACGTCATTGCTTCAATTTTCCGCTTATCGTGGGCAGAGAATAAGACGCGGCCGCCGGGCCTGAATTTCGTGCCGTGCTTCCTGTGACAGCGAGCCTTGCCAAGACTTGTGGACCATGTCAAAATATTCTACTCGAAATTCGCCATCTGTCGTACAAAAACGAATCCGTAATTGCCGGCCAGCAATTACGCCTTATTAACCACACCATCCAATATGGATGAATGGAGATCAATTGTGCAAGTGCGAAGCACGAACCTCCAGAGAGAACACAGCCAAAATTAGTTCAGCACTCTGAGCTTGTTTCTATTCCATATCATATTATAGTAGATCCAGTTCAGTCTATCTAACTTTCATGTCACCATGGTCAGCACATCTGTATTCGGAGCAGCTTGACGATGATCCAAGAACTCCGCCCCTGAAGGAAGCATCTATGTCAGCGGCAATCGGCGGGAGACAATATCCTCAGCTCGCAAACAACTCGTCTGTGCTTGTTTGACACAGACCATTGGTGTCAACAATAGCCGGGTCAAGTGGAGTTGGCAGGGTAGGGATGCCGCCACCTCTTCAGGACAGACCTGCGAGGGTCCCCTTGTCATGGGCCGAAGTTGGAACTGGAACTTGGTATTGGGCCAGCGAGTTTGCTTCTTTCGTCTGATCCAATGTCTCGCTTTTGTTCATCGCTCTTTCTGTAAAACCGCTTCCAAGAAAACGTCTACACTGCCCCCGTACACTTGCATTCTCTCATTCATGCCGAAACCGTCAACCTCGGAACTCGAACTTTCGCTCCCTCAACCACAAGAGGTAATCAGAACGGTCCTCTCAGAACGTCTAGAATCTCCTTGGCAATCCACGAGTGTGTATGAGTTGTAGGACTGCACGACGTCAGAATGAGAGCTGAAGACTGGGTAAACGGCAAGTCGGCTCGGAAAAGAAACAAGGAGAAAAGCTAGCCAAAACTTACTGGTATTCGTCCCAGTATACCCGCCTCTCTGGGTCTCCGCAGATCGTCACGTTCGGCGTCTCGCCATATGCACCTTCGAGGCAACTGCCGTACTTTCCCAGCGGGTCGAATCCGTACGCTCGAGGCGAGGCATAGTACTCAAAGTCGTCGAAGAGCGGTCGAAGATCAACGTTGACGGCTCCTGTCTTTGAGCCGTCGAGTAGTTCTCCTAGCTGGTCGGCGAAAGTTCGCAACTGGTTTCTTGCCAGATTGTCTTGCAAGTAGAAGCCATACGGAAGTCTGGAGATATCTGGTGGCGATAAGGTTAAGACTTTCGCACTTGGGTACGCATCGCGCAGCTGTGCTTCGGCTTGGCGAAGAATTTGATACGACTGCGAAGCACTGATATTGGCGTTGAACAAGACGTCATTGGCACCAGCAAATAGGACCAACAGAGGGGTTTCCATAGCCGTCGAATCGGACACCTCAAATGCTCCTCCTTGAGGCATCATCTTCTCCAAGAAGGAGACAACTTGGTCGATAACAGAGGGTACTGCAATATCTCCCTTTGCGCCTGTGTAACCCTGGACAAGATCATTCGAAGTCGTTGCACCTCCGACCGCATAGTCGTAGAGGGGTATTGAGAGGTTAGCCGCTACGTATTCTGCCCAGACCATGCCGTTCGAAAAGCGACCTTTGTAACTGGATTGACTGTTACATCAACTGGTCTGGAAATCATATTTGGCAAAGGAGTTGACTGACTATTTGTCTGTAGGCCAGGCATTATTCGATACTCGAGCAGCACCGTCTCCTGAAAGTTGCATCCCATTAGCCATTTTAATCCTCGACGCAAGCCCTTCGAAGTTCGAAGTACCAACGATCGCCTACCGTTGTCGCTGAACGAGTCACCGAATATTACAATGCTAGAGATTGAAGGATTGTTGATGTGGCGTTGCAACGGCAAAGCTGCAGCGTACGCCGTTGCGAGGAACGCAATCGACAATCCATAGCTGAGCATCATCGTACAGGCCGCTCTACAAGTGTAGTTCGTAGGATGACTGTTGATTGAGTGTTTTCTTCGGTCATAAATCTTGGGAGCAAGCCTTCCTAGGAGGTCCAAAACGACTTTGCATGTTCCTATTGTGACATCAAGGTTCTCTCCGAGAAATATCGATCTCAAGGTTTCGCCTCGCATTGCCGGATCAATTCAAGCATTGGACTTAATTACGCATTCATCATGATATGACTGACGGGTTCAAGCAAGAATGAGCACTAACACCTCAAGCACATCAGTCTAGCCTATGAAGATGGCTCTGCACAAATGCAGCTGAGTTCTCAGCTCAGTAGTAAATATTCGAGGTGATTTGCTGCCGTCTTGAGAGAGATAATGGCAGCTTTGCTCGAAGCTCCAAAACCGGAGCCGACTAGAATGCAAGCACCCAAGACATCTCTGAGATTCTCCCAGCTCTGCACGCGTGCAGCAAAACGGCACCGAAAGAGCTTCCAACTTCCAAGTCCCAAACCACGTCTGTGCTCCTGAGGTTCGAAAGCGACTTGCTCCATTTTCAAGATCTTGCATCCGGAGATCCCCTCCGCATTCCCCGTCCCCCGTCTCCCGAGTCCCGCAGAGCACACCGCAGGCTCGGCTCACCTCCACACCCGCCATGATAAAACTAAGAGAACTTCATTTCGCTTGGCGGCTGGCAGGATTTGGTAGGACTAATAGTACGGAGTACTCAGAGTCTCAACAATTCTTCCAAAATCTTTGTGCCGGAATGCCGTATCAACCCCTAAGAGGTGCAGCAACATGCGAGAAAAACTTGCCATGCAAGATGCCCACATCAACGTGGGGTGCAAATAGCGGGACATCAAATCCCGCGTGGAACTGGACTAGGAGCCCATAATCGGGGATTTTGGAAATAAGACCCAATACTCCGTATCTTTAACGTGGTTCATCAGTCAGCGACGAATATCAGTCAGCGACGAACTTTTTCCCATGCACGTAATGGTATTTACTATTGCACAACCACAACACATTGAATTAACTATTCCTCATTACTACTCGAATCATTTGACAATTCCGTATCCTTAGAACAGGTTCGCGCATTATGACCGGTCTCGCCACACACACCATAGCGTCTCCGAGCTGGCTGGGCTCTCTTTGATGGACCCCCCTCCTCATCCTCTTGAGGTGCTGGACGTTTCCCTTTTTGTTTCCCTTCAAGCAAAACCTGAGATTCCTCTATACTAAGCGCCCCTCTAAGCTGGACCCGCGTCCTTTTAGCCCTCCGGCGCTTACCAAGTGCAACATTCGCATCCTCAAGGGTACGAAGCCGATCAGTCAAAAGAGTGATTGAGTGCGCCATTGCCTGCGTACCCTTTGACAATTGCTCAACTGCAGCAATAATTGGCGTTGGTGAGCTTCCTTGATGAGCAGTGATCCGACTTTTGATAAAATTGGACTGCGAGACGGTTTGTTGTGGGTTAGAGGGCGTTTGCGACTGCCAAGGTGGTGGTGTTGAAGGGTTGGCCACAGGAGGTGTAGGCGTCCGTAAACGTACATCAAGCTTTTCAATGACATGCTCTGGGTTCCATGGTGAAATTCCAGCGCCTTGAAAAGCAGCCCTAATGTTTTCTTCATTAAAAACTTTGTTGTGGGCCTGGTAGAAGGCAATAAAGAACTCCGACTTGGTGATGTGGTTTATGGAGGCTTTGATGAATAGGTTGATTTCATCACCATATGCGCGTTTTAAAGGCGAATAAAGGGCAATATCTAATGGCTGTAGTAGATGTGACGAATTTGCAGGCATACTGACGGTTATAATATTGTTCTGCTTGCAGTAATTGTCGAATTCGGCCGATAAATGGCTCTCGTGGCCGTCGATAATAAGCATCCGGTAGACGCCCTTCGTTTGGTTCTTAGTATGTTTGTCGAAGTGTTTAATCCAGTCAAGACCCGTCTGATTATCCGTCCATCCATTATTGGTAGGTTTGATAACCCAGTCGCTAGGAAAACCTGATTCCGTGGTCCAACTAGCAAGGTGATATGCGCCTTTGATAATCACGAACGGAGGGATGCACCACCCGCCCGAATTGATACATTTAATAACTATAGCCCATTCACGGTTGCCAGGCTGGACAGACTTTGCTTTGCCGCGTCGATCAGCGCGTGTTATTACTATTGACGCGGTGATCATGCCCATCATAAAGCCAGTTTCGTCGAAATTATATAGGTCCCCCTCTTGGATACCATACTTGGCCATCATATTACATAATAGCGCAAACCACTTTGATATAACCTCAGGATCTTCTTGAAGAGCCCTTTGATAATTGTATGGACGATTAAACTTGGTTTTCAGATCAGGCTGCGAGTCCACAAACCGCCTGGCCCATCGCTTGCCAACAGGCTTGCCATCACGCGCTCGTAGCAGGAGATTGGCCATATCTTCCACACCAGCGAGACGCAAGGGAAACCCTCTTTGATCCTGCTCAATAACGTATTGGAGAAGCGCTTTCTCTTCGATCGCATCAAGTTTATGTCGTTGGGGTTGGGCACGTTCGCGTCGGGGTCGATCGTTCATTCTATGGCGTACGGAACTTTCGGGGACACCGTAAGTCTTCGCAGCACGCAACATACTTAGTTTTCGGCCGGCGGCGCGGGCTGATCGGATAGTCTCGATGGCTAGAAGTATCTTGTCTTCTTGTGTGTAAATTGGCATAATGGTTGTGGAGTTATTACGCGTCAAAGGTTGGAGTGGTTTAATGCAAACCGCATTTGGGAAAAAGTTCGTCGCTGACTGATGAACCACGTTAGATGAATTCTTGGGGTTGGAATCTGAACACGTCTAGGGGCAGACTTCCGACGCTTCCAGAACGCAGCCAAAATGAATAAAGTACAGACTCATCTTTCACTCTTGAGTCTTCGATGTTCATTGGCGTAAAAAGACAGCCGGCTTCGCTGCTGCGTTTCCATCACAAATTGCCTCATATGCAGCACACTTTGCGCCAGTTTTCAAGCTCAACCCGCGCCCGCTGGCCAGATTACAGGACCACTACGAAGTACACCACGGGATTCCGGCACACCAAAGCCGGACCCTCCTGGTTGTGGGCGTCCGGGCCCGGCCCGCGGATCCTCATTTCGGCCCCCAAACATCCCCACGAGCGTCAAGAGCCCTATTCCACCCACAAACCCAACATAATCTCCAATCTCGACCTCACCTTGAACGACAAGCAGCTCATTTCGAGCAAATCCGCCCTGATGGTCTAGCGGTATGATTCTCCCTTAGGGTCTACAAGTCACGTCTGGGAGAGGTCCCAGGTTCGAATCCTGGTTAGGGCCCAATCCTTTTGCATTTCGAGACTATGAGCTATGTACGGAGCGTACTTTTGCTGTGCAGCACTCTTGGAGGGATGTTCATTGTTGAAAGGCCATTTGGGTGGACTTCTAACGGTTTCTGAACGTTGACTTCATGCTTTGCTAACTCTTTCTTATCTGACTGACCTGATGGCTTCCTCAACTCTATACTTCCTCTTAATTTGAGGATACACAACTTCAAACCACTCGCACAGCACTTCAACGTCTTCACTAAATTCCTTTGAATCCTCGCTGCGTTTAAAGTATCGTATGTGTGTCCATCTCTCCATTCTTGGTAAGTGCCCTCTCCCTCAGCGAGTGCAAAGTCTTCCCTTACATCCCGAAACCTGCACATCTCGAAAGACGTTGTTTTGATAATAGCCCTCGGTTCTCCTTTGCCATCAAGTATGACGGACAGGTCACCGACTGACCAATGAAGCGTTTCTGGGATTGGCCAGTTTGTTGTAGACGTCTTCTTCCCCTGGAGAAGTAGACCCAGAAGTTCGTCCTTCAACGCTGGGTTGTCACCGAAAGCGGTTACATCCTTAGGCGGTGACAGGGCGGTGTTGAGCTCTGCGGAGACTCTGGCCATAAAGGCGACAATGTGTGGACTTGATGGATCGACTTCTGACATTTCTGTCGGCTTTTCAATTGTTGGCGACAGCTCCGGAATTAGTTGCTGAATTCTATGCTATTCAGAATCCGGGAATATGGCTCGAGAGGATACTGCCATATGAGGTAAGGGGAGATTTGCTGCACTGTATGTCAAGTCTGCACTGAATGGAAAGCAACGTAAAGCTGACAGAACACGGCGGGTTCTTAATGTTTCCTCAACAGAAACAATTCGCAGGCGTTGCTATGATCGGGCTGTGCCTCGCAACGTCTCTCCGTACTACCTTGATTAGGTGGCCGGATGACTCACCCCGCAACATCATGAACCCCCCTCCGAGATCATATTCAGCCACAGACTGATGTTTTGGGCTTAAGGTGAGCATGAATTTTCTTCGTGGACATGGAAGCTCCCACTCTGCGCCGAAGTTACAGTTTGCCTAGAGTCAATTGATGGTCCATTCCTGTCAATAGTTGCTGTGCGGCGAACTTGATATCCCTCATCCAATGATTGATGTTAACATGTACTGCCTTGGGTGATAGAAATGCCGGCTTTCCAAATTGTGGTTCGCATGGCCGCGGGAGACTCGATCTTAGAGTAAAGGATGACAGTCGGTCAATTGGCTCTTTGAGTCTAGAACTCAAAATAAGTACGGGAAACGACTCCTAGAACAACCTATTCAATGCTTTGTTACAAGGCAGGCATTCAGAGAGAAACTCCCGAAGTTTACCAAGACCACAAGCTTGGTAATAATCTAGAATTATGTGGCAGTAATATCTGCACACAAGCACACATCACGTATCCGCCGTCGATCGTTCCATGGTTACACTACATATACCAAAGACCCAAATGAACCAACCGACCAACGACACGAATACGATAAGTCAGGTTACGCTTGGAGGCCCTGCACAACCCTTGTTCGGAGATCCAGAAGCCGCCAGATCCCCGCCCAAAGTTCCCACAAGGCACCCGCAAGTAACGGCTTTCTCGACCCGTTCCTGCAAAGCCAAGCCTGAAGAATGGAGAATCCGATGCAGAGTGCCGCGGGGCCATGCCCATACAAAGAAGGCGGCCGACTCTCTCTTATGGTCTTGTTCCTCGGCCTGCGATACTACTGTTGATTTGAGAGGGGTAGTCGATCGCGGAACCAATGATGGCCCTGCCTTTTGTCATTTTACGATTGTGGCATATGCCCATCCTTGACGGGTCCTCCCGTATATACATGTATAAGAGAGGCGGTGGTTCGCATTGGTCTCTGGCATGAGCCGCGGGAGCGACTGGGAAAATAACCCGCAGATTCTGCTAAACGATTTGCAGGAAGACCGCTCAAATGGGCTTCTTCGCAATCTCCGAGGCCGAGAGCCTGATGGCAGTGATGTTGCGCCTCTTCGGCCTAGCAGCAGCACTTGGTGTCGGCTACGTTTTCGCCCGAATGTTCCGAGAGCGAATGAAGTTCCGAAAGCTTCAGAGACGGGGAGTCGTAAGTCTCCAAGCACACCTGTGACGCTGGGGTTCTAACCAGAGAGTAATAGCCAATGATGCCTCACTCGCTTCTGTTCGGCCACTTGCGCCTACTCATGAAGCTCACCTCGCATTTACCCAAAGACGTATCCTTCCTCTACTATCCTCAAGCCATCGTCGAAAATTGGGAAACACTCTTCCCCGGCCGGACATCGTGTCCCTCTGCAATCTACGCCGACATGTGGCCCATGGGCCCACCACTGGTTTTCACCGTCCACCCAGAAGCAGCAGGCCACTTCATGTTTGACTCCAGCGTTCCGCGAAGCGACTGGACAAAAAAAGCTTTAGCTCCTATCACAGAAGCAAGGGACCTCGCCTGTCTGGTAGGCGAGCCTTGGAAGACGTGGCGCGCGCGGTTCAACCCCAGTTTCAGCAACAAGAATGTCCTCAGTCTTGTACCCGGAATGCTCGAGGATGTCCAGATCTTCGCCGATATTGTACGGAAGAAAGCTGGCGCGGATGGCTCTTGGGGTGGCGTGTTCCCGCTCGTGGAGACCACAACCAACTTGACCATGGACATCATCGGTCGCGCGGTACTTGACATCGAGCTTCACGAACAGACGAACGGACCCAGCAGATTCAGGAGCGCTCTCATGGGCCAGATTGCGCGGTGTATCCTTCACTTCAACATCATCACCGTATGGAAGTGGTACAGTCCATGGCGACTGGCAGCTATCAAAGAGAACAGGGAAACAATGTACAGCGAGCTACTCCCATCAATCGAACGATCCCTCCAAGGAATGAAGAAGAAGGACGGGCTTAAGACCATTATCGATTTGGCGCTTAAGCCAATGTCTGGAGTAGTCGACGTCGACAAGTTGTTCTTGGAGACGGTCGTCTCCCAACTTAAGATCTTCATGTTTGCCGGTCATGACACAACAGCCACGGCTCTTTGCTGGGCGATTCACTGCATCGCTAAGAACCCCGAAGTTGGCCAAAAGCTGCGGGCCGAACATGACGAAGTCTTCGGCAAGGATCCCGCAGATGCGATTGAGAAGATCCGAGAGTCACCGCACTTGCTCAATTCCCTGCTATGCACGGGTGGAGTGATCAAAGAAGCGCTGCGCTTGTTTCCCGGACCTCCTGTCATTCGAGACGGACAATCGCACTATCACATCACTGACAGCATCACCGGAGAGCAGTACCCCACCGACGGGTTCCTCATTTGGGACGGGCTGCGTTCGCAGTCTCGCAACGAGAACCTGTGGCCGAGAGGCAATGAGGTCGTGCCAGAGCGATGGATGACGACGGACCCGGAGGATCCATTGTACCCAAAGAAGCACGGCTGGAGGATCTTTGGACTCGGAAGCCGCGCCTGTATTGGCCAAGAGCTAGCCGTCATTGAAATGAAGCTGGCCCTGGTGTCCCTCGCGCGCAACTTTGACATCGACTGCGCCTGGGATGAATGGGATGCTCTCAAGTAAGTTCCGAAAACGCCTCCGCAGCTTGTTCAATGATGACCGAGGCTCTGACACTGTGCGCAGAGGAAATACCACTGGACCCAAGGTCCTGGTAGAAGGAGACCGCTGCTACCAACTTGATAAGGGTACACCGCAGATTGCTGATGATATGCCTGTTCATGTCAAGCTGCGACAAAAGTCTGACTGAGCGTTTCGTGCCGTGTTGACAACTTGACAAGCGTGACGTGCGGGGGACCGTTCGGGGAGGTCGGACATCGGTGTCGTCGCAATCCCGCCTTGTCCGCCATAATGAACGCGCGCGCGGGGGAGGGTCTCGGCCAGGTCGAGGACCTAACGTTTGCCCGGCTCCAGCGGGGTCTCGAAGGTTAGCGAGAGACGGAGCGAGGGGAGATCGGATGGAGAGCTTTATATAACACTCGCCGGATAGGTCGGAGTTGTGACGTTGGGGCAGAAGCTTGAAGCTCGTTGCTGAGCTGCGAGCGTCTTTGGAAGAGTGCGGGGTGTCGAGCAAGGCTGGATGAGACCATCACCGGCCGGAGGCCAGCTCAAGAATACGACTTGATGATTTATAATTGATAGCTGTATTCAGTAAGTCCGGCGGCATCGTGCCCACTTGTTGTCCCGCCGCTCCATCTCCGGTGGCTTCAAGACCGGCCGGTGTGCCTATTGCTTTCCGGGCCCGACCTCGGGAGCCCACGGAGCTTCCCGCATCCTCGCGGTCCTATTTTTCCGTTCTTCCACATCGACCCAGCGGGGCGCTGATGACGAGCACCGACATGGCCTTTCAGCAGAGTTTCGTATTCATCAGGAGATGATTCGTTGAACTCTAGAGGCTCTGGAGCTTGACTACACTCGGCATCGAGAGTTTGGACGTGAGTATCTGAAGGTTCCTCTCGCTCGGTAACGCGAGAATGCGTTTGGAATCTGGCTTGTCGGAATCATGTAAGTAGATAGAAATGAAGGTGTCTTGTCATGTCATTGTTGAAGTTGAGATGACACTGAAGCGCAGGAAGAAGAGGGAGAAAACAATTTAGATAAGCACACTTTATTTAGAGTCCACGGCGCCCGATTGGCCGGGTCGCATTTGCCCCGCAGAAAGTGGACTCTGCTCGAGGGATTCGGGGCTTAATTTCACAAGCGGCCGCCCGATCTTCTCATGTTGTGGTTGTGTGGTGGTTGGTAGGGTTGGGTGGCCGATGGTGACATGAGCGGGAGTGCAAGGAGGAGGTGGTCACTGCGAACCTGGACTGGACACTAAGACACGTCGGGAAACCATGTATGCTGCTGCGTCTTTGGTCTCAGGCTCTCTTGTTCGCTTCTGAAACGAACACCGTCGAACGACAACGTCACGCTATGTGGCTCGGGATTCAGTTCCATGGCACATCACCTACTCCGCGTCGACACGGGGGCGCGGAGACTACGCAAGCTTACATTACTTGAGGAGTCTCGTTCCCTGGCACCAAACACAACTTACTATTGACTCCCTGTCTCTTCATAGGCCACCTCGCATCTTTACGAGATAAGTGAGAAACGCGTCTCTCAGGGCGCATCTCCACCTCCATCACACAACAACCAGCCCTACCAGTTTGCTTGCACTTGACCCAACCAAATGGCTCGACTCGGGGTAGCAAAGGTTAAGACGGGCTGTGTAACCTGCAAGTGAGTCCGCCGGCCGCATGCCCAAGGTATCATTCCTCCTCGTACGTTAGAGCTAACCAACCCAGAATTCGAAGAGTCAAATGTGATGAAGCACGCCCGGCATGCAACAGGTGCGTAAGCACGGGCCGAAGGTGCGACGGCTATGTGACACCGCCAACGGGAACATATTCATGGGCTCAGCTACTCCGCGTCCATCCGCCTCCGACCCAGGCCGCGACGGACGCAGAACTCCGGGCCTTGAGTTTCTTCCGCAAAGTTGTCGCCCCCGTCTTGTCCGGGCCCTTGGATAGTTACTTCTGGACCCATCTTGTCTCCCAGGTCTCTCACCAGGAGCTTGCTGCGAAACATGCCGCATTGACCATCAGTTCGCTGTACGAGAAGTTCAAGGAGGATCCCCTAGACCGGCACTCGGAGAAGAACGCCTTTGCGGTCGCGCACTACAACGAGGCGATCAAACACCTCCGAACAACGAACAACCAGGAAACGGTTCTGTTCGTGTGCATCCTCTTTGTGTGTATCGATATGCTCCGCGGCGAATGCAAGGGTGCCATCGACCACTGCAGGCATGGCATCAACATCCTCAATGGGTTGAGGTCCACATCGCGATTCGTTCGAGATCACCTAGAACCGGCTTTCTGTCGCCTTGGAGTATTCCCCTTCTTCTTCGGTGCTCGACCAGAAACGTTCCCGACCATACCGGACCCGTGTCCAGTTCCAGTGCCTCCATTCTACAACTTAAAACAGGTTCAAGGTGCGCTGGACCCGTTGCTCGTGCGGGCGATTCGCTTCGTACGGGCCGCTGACGAGTATCGCCTGGGTGATGAGGCGCATCCCAAGCCAGATCTTTCAATAATGCAGGACAGAGATGAGATGGACGAGATGCTGGATGACTGGGCCGCGGCATTCCAAGCGTACATGGTGCAGAAGTCCCCGAATAACTGCCAGCGCGCGGCCATGCGAGAAGAGCTCGTCGAAAGGTTGCTCGAGATGAAATGGCTCGTGGGCAAAATTTGGCTCAGCACGTGTTTCTCTCGTGGAGAAGGAGTTTACGATTTACATCTGGACAAGTTCCAGCGGATCATAGATCTTGGACGCGAAGTCGAATCCATCTTCCGAGAAATGTGGCAGAAGTTTGACCGGGCCAAATTCACCTTTGAGATGGGGTTTAGCCCCTTGCTGGGATTCGTCTTTATCAAGTGCCGGTCCTTGAGCTTACGAATCGCTGCTCTGGGTCTCATGAAGACCATTGCGCATGAGAGGGAGAACCTCTGGGACTTCAACACTGTTCAGGCGTTTGGGCGCAAGATTGTTGAGTTCGAGCACGAGCTAGATCTGGGACCGGACGAAGATATTGCAAGTGTCGTCGACGACGGAACATTGCCACCGGAAGGACGACGAATTCAAGACTCGGCTATGCAGGACGAGGTCCGCTTCGTCCACGAGAAGAACGGCGCCATCGCCATGTGGAAGAAGGTCGCTCTCTTGATGAGGGAGCACGGCGGGCCTATCACGGTCCAAGAAGAGTGGTTTCGAGTACAATTGAAGCGCAAGCCATGATTCAAGTTACTATTACTCGCTCAGGGCTTCCCGCTGCGTGTCTCTCCCACTGGCGCCAACCTCTCGAGGGAATACTACGCCTCACGCGCATCCGTGGCACCCAAGCTATGTACGTGCTGACATTGCAGGGGGGTCTTAGTTAACATTGTTATCAACGACGCTGCGCCTCTCGAGAGGCTATGATTGGTCGGCTCGCTTCTTTACATAAAAGTTGCGAACGTGGGGGCTGTGCATCGCCAGGCACCACGATGGTCGACTTACACGAGTGAGGGAGACATGAGACTCTCAGTTATAAAGATGAAAGACGAGAACATCGGACTGGAATCTGGGATTGAAGATATCGGACATCATCTATCAACAATCTCCTTACCGTCTCATTTCCTTTGACCACTCATTACAATGCACTTGTCTTGGATCATGCTGGCAGCGGCCACGACCGCCCTCGCTTTGCCATCGGGTCCTTCGCCCACACCCACCTTGCCAGGATCGTTGGCAAAACGTCAAGATGCAGCAACTTCCTCTGCAGCATCATCTTTTCCGACAGGAGATTTCATCGCGACACAGCATATCACAATTCCCGGTGTGGCAAATAACTATGTCACGGTCCCAGCAAAGACCATTGACATCGCCATCCCAACATGTGTCCAGACGATCGAGCCCGACGCCAATGGCTACATCCCTCCCGGCGAATGCGGTGCCATCTGGAACTACTATCCCAGCTTCGCGGCAGCGGCGGTGTTTGCGGCTCTCTTCGGCGTTCTGACCGTCGTCTACATCTGGCAGGCCGCCAAGCACAAGAAGGTTCGTACGTTTTAACATTACAACTGACACGCCGTGGTGTGTTCAGTATCTGACTGGTTTGCAGAGATGGTGTTGGGTTATCATTATGGCGAGCATATGGGAGACTCTGGCCTTTGTCTTCCGAGCGGCAAGCAGCAAGAACCAGCAAAGTAACGGCATCTATCTCGTATTTCAGATCTTCATCTTGCTTGCGCCCATCTGTGAGTATCTCTTTTCAGAACTTGTCGGAGAGGGTATTAACATGGTTCCAGGGGTGAACGCCTTTGCATACATGACCTTGGGCCGTATGATCTACTTCTTCCACCCCTCGCGCTCTCTCCTCCGCATTCCGGCAGCAACATTTGCGGCGATCTTTGTTGCTCTTGACGTCGTATCATTTGCCGTCCAACTCACCGGAGGCAGTATGGCCGGCCCGACGGCGCCTCCTGCGGAATAAATGAAGGCAATCCACATCTATATGGGTGGCATCGGACTGCAAGAGTTCTTCATCCTGATCGTCGTCGCCCTGGCATTGAAGTTCCAGGTTGAGATGAAACGATTGGACAAACTTTCAGGAAAGGAGTCTCGATCCTGGAAGCCGCTCTTATGGGCGCTCTACTTTCCCCTTGGCATGATCTCAGTGCGGATCGTCTACCGCCTGATCGAGTTTTCTTCGGGCCACGGGATCGACAATGTCTTGATTAGTTACACACGAGGCTTACTTTTACGTTTTGGAAGCCCTGCCGATGCTTCTGGCTATAGCGGTCTTCAACGTTGTGCATCCGGCCATGGTCATGAACGATCCAGAGTCGGACATGCCGGGGCTCTTTGCGACCATGAAGAGTGGGTTCTCTAGGAGAAAAGGGAGGATTCCCCTTGGACAGGATCCGGAGGAACAAGAGCTTACTAGGAGAAGCCCGAAGCCATGAAATGGCGGTGGAGTAACCGGATGGACAAGTGAAAACAGGGAAGCCAAGTAGACAGGGTTTAAGTCTGAGAGTACGGATTTTAGGCGTCGACATTTAGACTGATGTGGATATGAATGGGACAGGCTTGAATCACAATGTGGCGTTCCTCCTTTGTGGCTTGAAGCTTGGTAAACGCTACAGATCAGGACACGTCACTGTGGCAGTACAGACGCAAAATGCGTCAAAACAAGCTCTGACAACAGTCTTCTTGAGTGATGCAGTGGTGGTTGTTGATACATAAGGTACTTCATAGATATATCCACAGCATAAGTCCAAGCTGGATTGCCTCTTTCTGTGCTCCGTTACCTGAACACCCAGCCGACCACAAGATCTACATATCAGCTCGGCTATTATGATGTCTTTCAACCCCTCGATTTCTTCACGGCGGCTGTTCCTTCAGATGTCGGGAGCGCCGGGCGCGGGCAAAAGCACCACTGCGGCCCTCTTAGCCAAGCCCCTCAACGCGATCATCCTCGATATCGACGTTATCAAATCCTCTCTCCTCGATAGTGGGTTACCGTTCGAACAGTCTGCGAAGCTGGCTTACTCGATGCTCTGGGCGCTCGCCGGCAACATACTCAAGCAGGGTCGCAACCTCATTGTAGACTGCACCTGCAACTTTGAAGAAATCATCACTAGTGGAACAGCCCTGGCGAAAGGGGCGGGTTTTGAGTATTGGTACATCGAGTGCAGGCCCAAAGTCGATACTGAAGTGCTCGATGAGAGGCTGCGGGCGAGAGCAGCGATGAGAAGTCAGCGTACGGGAGTACGCAATCCTCCGGCTGACGGCGATGCATCCCAAGGACGCGAGGACCAGGAGGCTTTGTTTCGAAGGTGGATCGACAACCCGTATAGGCCCAAGGATAATGTGATTGTCGTCGATACATCGAAGCACTCGGACGAGTGCCGAAAGCAGGCCTTGAAGGGGATGGAAGAGTGACCGGACCCGAGAGAGTCGAGGAAAAGCAGGGGGGACTTAGATAACCAGAAGCTGGCTCTGGCGAGTATTCACGATCAGTTTAAAGTTCAGCTTGGATGTGCCATTGCACCGGAAGTCTCACAAGAATGAATTGACAGCGCTACGAAATCCCTCCCATGAAATCTAGGCCGTCCATACCAGTCAAGCCCATCAGATACATCTGGTCATCATTCCACGCAAATGATGGCAGCCAGGCCTCTTCGCCCGTCGGCAGAGGCATCAATGTGCTTTCGTCAGCTGCTACTCCTTCCCCTACTGGCATGCCGAATCCAGAAGCCGACATCTCTTGTAGCTGGAGTGCAGCTGCTTCCTCCCAAGGTGAAAAGAGCATAATATCTGGTGAAGTCAACGGACCGTGAGCAGAAGCCGATGGTTGACCTGACTGATCCATCTCAAGATCAGACTCGTCGCCCGAAGGGCTTCCAACAACCTCAGCGTTGGCCAGCCATTCTGCCCATCGCCCGTAGCCCTCTGCTTGTCCTGATGAAGACTCTTGAGCCTGACTCATCTCTCTTCTCCGAGCCATTACCAGCTTGGACCTTGCTTCATTTGTAATGGACTGCAGGGCCTCAACAAAACGAACTCCCATCTTTGCCGTCGTGTTCCCTGCGCTGGACATCCTGCGGAGGCAATCCAGCCCAAAAGCTACCCGGCCCTCGTAACCCGAATCACGTTCCAGGATTCCAGCAAGTAGCACAATGATGGTGGCGATACTGCAGCCCTGGAAGTCTGTGAATGAGAATCGCGCCATATTGCCGCCGCGGCAAAGACCCTCAAAGAGCTCGAGCATCTTTTTGGCTGCTTTGACACATGCCTCTGAGGATTGCTCGACGTCTCTAGGCACGTCGGAGGGGCCGGCGCTTGCGTGGAAGATTGCTTGTAGACGAGCTCGGACGACGGTCACCACGGAGACTTTGCCCATGTCGATCCAGGCGAAGTAGTAGTTTAGGTGTAAGTGGAAGACGGCACGATAGCTGGATGACTTTGGGTCGACGTTCTGTAGTTTGAGTGATGGCGGGAGGCTCTTTTTCCAGGCCTTGAGAGATATCTGGGCGTCCGTTGAGCGTCTTGAAGCTCCTGTATGCGAATGATTGGTGTTTGACCATGCCCTGGTTGTCGCATTAGCTTTAAGTTTTGTTTGGGGTGGTTCAAGTCGACTAACCCAGGTTCAGAAAGCTTGTCAATGATTCTGACAAAAGCTGCATTTGCTATCTGGTGCTGTACGTTGTCAAACTTCTGAGACGCGTCTCGTGAAGTTGGCTTCGGCAGACACGCTGTGATGATCTCCTGGTCCACGGACCGAGGTCGGTTGAGCTTAATGGTGACCGTTCTGTCGCTGTTAGTACCCGTCTCGAGCTACGGTCCAGCAGAAGAAGGCTTACTTACCTTTCGAGAGAGTAAATCGACCACCAAAGCCTCCGTCGGGTCTCCTTCTCATCATCACTCAGAGAGGGGTCGTCAGGTTCTTGGTGTAAGCCGATAGCCAGGGCCTTTCGTAGTGCTAATCCCATGTACACATAGGAGGCACTGATGGCGCTAGCCGGCATCAGGTAGACGCCCAGTATGAACGTCGCCTGGACTGATTTGATGCAAGGCCGATCTATCAAGTCAGAGATTAGAATACGGGCCTGGTTGTAAAAGATCCGACCAGGGTCAAAGTTCTGGTCTTCCGTCGAGGTTGCGTTGCTCAAGTCCTCTGGCCTAGCTAGCGCTGTCCACTGACTCCCCAGTGCGAACACTGCCAACACAAGACAAACAAATCCCGTGTCTTCTCTTAGAGGCGATTGCTCGTTATTGTAAAGTTGATCAAGCTCCGCCATGAAGTGGCTCTGATCCAGGTAGGAGAAGATGTCGGTCCCGTAGGCAATGCAGACTGACACCAGAAAGTCAGCAACGCCGCGTGGAGGAAAGCTCTTCACGGCCCTCTTGATGCGTCGAAGTTCGGCAGGATCTGCTGGAGGAGCATCTGAGATTCGAGGTTGCAGTCTTGCGATATCTTGCTCCCCGGATGGGGGCTGGGAGTCGAGGCAAAAGGCATCCCGGAGACGAGACAAAAAGCGCGGCCACATGAAGGCTTCTGAGGGTGCACTATCTGCCGGAGAGAAGTGGTCGTTCATACTTTGACCCATTGGTGTGTTGAGAGTAAAAGAGCCATCATTATCCGTCCGATTCGACTCTCGCTCTGTAATGCCGATGGGCCTTATCCCCGTGATTCTTGAAGTCGTCGTCGAAGCTGAGGCCTCAATCTCTTCACCAGCCGGGCTCCGCTCCCTCTCAAATCGACACGGATGAGATCCCTCAGTACATCGCACACATACCCCGGAAGGAGTTTCGATGCACTTATTCTTGCGGGCCTTGCATCGGTCACACGCCCGGGGTGCCCGCTTCCGGACTGCATCCGGGACCCTACGGCGGCGGCGGCGGCGCTCTGCGGGAGACTCCATTGGCGGAAGTGTCGCGTTCATATGACGAGCATGGAATCGTCATGATGGGTGAAAGTTGTGTTAATCTCCGAGACTTGCGCAGGTCTGGGATGAATATCCAATACTGGGAGGAAGTTGGTGTAGAAGAGAGAAAGGTATCTGAAGGAGGACGTTTCTTGGGGTCTGTCCGCATTTCGGACGCTTTGCCGATAAGAGCAGGCCCCACTGGTGGTGGCAGGGATCACGCGTCGAGGTGAAGCTGTTCAGCGAGGTGAAAGAAAGAGAATGTTCACCTTACCTCACATCATCTACAACAGGTATCTTTGTCTTTCAAACCCCCTTCCAGCCTGCGGAGAAGGATCCCGACTTCTCATCTCATTGGCTCTTATTGCGAGGATGCCTCTGTGTCACGCGTTGGGGTATCCGTGCTTCGTACAGGAAGCGTGTACTCACGGGGTCACTCTGACGCGTCGCTGAGTTTGGCATAGGTACTCGTTTGGTTGCCGGTGATGATTTGCACCGGCTTTTACCTCACTAACATTTAGCTTGGTTCTTGCGGCTCTATGAGCTACTACTGTCCTCATAAACACCCTCGAATGTTCTAAGCTTCAACAGATCTCACAGCGCCGGCTTGATTCTGACTGGCACTGCGGCATCTTCCACCAAACCGCTCCATCTGCTCTTGTATATCCTGCCCTCCTTCAACACACCAAAGACGTGGGCCTCGGGGTCATCAAATATGGACACATTCTCGACAGGGTTCGCGTCTGTGATGATGAGATCTGCCTCGAAGCCCTCCTTGATCTGACCCAACGAGTCCTCTCTGCCGGCCATCTTTGCAGCATTGAGCGTCGCACTCTGCAGCACCGCCAGTGACGGTACAGCTCTGCTTCGCAATGAGAACTCAAACGATTGCGCTGCTCCCAGCGGCCCAAGAAGGTCAGTGCCGAAGCAGATTGTCACGCCGGCATCGTACGCAGTCTTGAGGGCCACCAAACCGGCGTTGAGCACCTCCTCGTTCTTCGACATGGATTCGGGTGGCAGATAGCCCTTCCACTTCGGCGAAGCCATCTGAGCGTACGTGATGAGGGTGGGGGTAAGGTAGACGCCCTTCTCCGCCATGAGCCTCGCCGTAGGAGCATCGACAAAGTTGCCGTGCTCGATCCCCCGTACACCATTATCGATACAATGCCTGATGGCCTTCGTTGTGTATGCGTGGGCTGTGACGTATGTGCCCGCGTTCGAGGCGCATTCAACCATGGCTCGGATCTCGGCGCCGGTGAATTGGAGGTGGTCGATTCTGTCGGTTGGTGTTGAGACGCCGCCGGAGCCCATGATCTTGATAAAGTCTGCTCCGCCGCGGATCTCCTCTCGGACAGCAGTCATGCACTCCGGGACGCCATTGCATAGTCTGCCGAGCCCGTTTGTTGAGCCGCCGCAGCATTCGGAGTGATCGTGCACACCGCGGATGTCTCCATGACCACCAGCTTGCGACAGAGCATGCCCCGCGATGAAGAGCTTTGGGCCGGGGAAGACACCGTCGTTGATGGCTTCCTTTAGTGCCTGCTGCGCGCCACCGCAATCTCGCACACTCGTGAACCCTCGGTGCAGCATCTGTGCGGCGACATATGGTTGGCGAAGGAGCGAGACATCGTTGGCGTTGCCGAAAGCTTTCGAGAGATCGCCGAATCCGGGGACCGCGACGAAGTGGACGTGTGAGTCGATGAGGCCTGGGCAGATGAACTTGCCGGAGCAGTCAATCACCTCGAAGCCTTGTTCTACCGCAGTCTTGACAGCTGAGTCCGTCGAGTCGGTGATGGTGTCTATGTAGCCATCTTTGAGCTGAATTGCTGCATTGGGGCGTAGGCTGCCGTCTGTCACGTCGGCGATGGTGGCGTTGGTGAGGATGTATCGTCGGACGGGGCTACGGAGCCAGGGCTTCAAGTCGGCTTCGGTGACCATTGTGAGTGTGGGATGACTTCTGAGTAGTTAGGTTGTCTACGCCAAGATTGGAACCGAGGCGGGGGGTGAGGGGAAAGTCAAAAAGGAGCGAGGAGGTTGAAAATGTTGAATGCCGCTCTACAACTCGGATGTCTGCTCCCTCTTTTCTCAAGTTGTTTATTTATCCAATTGGCTTCATCTCATGGCACTTCGTCATACTGCCATTATCAACCACTTACCTTTGACATTGTTAGACTTATCGGTAGTGTAGCAGTCTATCATCGGAAACCTGGTAGCACGAAGCCATGTTGCCGATACCCGCGTCGGGTATCTGTCACGAACCTCCTTTGTCGTCGGCAACATGGCTCGCCCCACCTCCGTATCACCGCTATCTTCACTAGGCACATCCAATCGAAGGGATTTCTGGAGAATGTCCTGATATGCATCTCTTAGTGCGGGGGATGGAAACATAACCCCGTTTCGACAGATGACATGCCATGCGGCATGTGGAGACGACGAACTCGTGGATCTTAAAACCGGCACTTCTGCCGTTCTCCGAGAGGGTGGGATTTCGACGTGTTTTTCGGACAAAGGCAGTTGAGAAAGGCTGTTTTGACTTTGACTTCAGAAGACTTCCCAACCGAGCACTGGCAACAATGGCTTCGTCCGGCGATACTAAGATCGATGCGATGAACAAGCAACAGGCCGGAGACCTCCCTTCGGAAGGAATGGAGGAGAAGACTGGACAGATTGTTGATCTTGCGGATGGCTATACCCCTGAAGAGGAAAAGGAAGTTCTCCGCAAGATCGACCTGGCCATCCTGCCAATGGTGAGCAACCAAGTTCAGTAACTACAACTGTTGAACAATTCGACTAATCTGCTCTCAAGATGTGCTTTGTCTTCTTCTTGCAATACTTAGACAAGCAAAGTCTTAGTTACGCCAGTGTAGGCTGCCCGACTCCGGGCAATACCGGTCACAGTTTCGGTTCCAAATTGCTGACCGGCATAGGTGTTCGGCCTCATCACCGACCTGAATCTTACTAGCACGCAATACTCGTGGTGTTCCTCCATCTTCTACGTCGGTAAGTACATCTGCGATTATATCCGAGCTATCCAGCACCTAACTATTGCGGAACAGGCCAGCTGGTGTCGGAGTATCCCTTCATTTACTTGATGAGCAGATTCCACCTCACCAAGTTTGTTGGAGTCACCGTGTAAGTCTATCCCTTCCTGTGATTTTCTTTTCCCTGTTAGATACAGCTGCTTACATGTACCCTTCGCAGTGTCATCTGGGGCATCATCTGCATGTGCCTCGCAGCCCCCCATAACTACGCCGGCTTCGCTGCCGTTCGATTCTTATTAGGCTTCGCCGAAGGAGCCGTGTCTCCGGCCTTTATTACAATCACAAGTATCTGGTACCGAAGCAACGAGCACGCACTGCGAACAGCGTAAGCCTTCCCAATGCCGACATTCACATCATATTATTAACAACAGACAGGCTCTGGATTACCATGAACGGCCTCGCTCAGATCTGCGGTTCCCTCCTGATGTACGGCATCGCCAAGAACACCCACGCCATCGCCCCGTGGAGAGTTCTGTTCCTCGTCTGTGGCGCAATCACCTCTGCCGCCGGCGTCCTCTTTTACCTATTCATGCCCAATGGCCCCAAGGATGCGTGGTTCTTGAATGAGCGCCAGAAGCAAGTTTTGTCTATGCGCATGGCCAAGGATCGCGAAGGTGGCGACAAGACCTCCTTTTCTATGACGCAGCTCAAAGAGGCTGTCTTTGACATCAGGACTTGGTTCGTTTTCTGGTTCGGTGTCTTGGTGACCATGCAGTCTCCAGTCCTTACGGTTCGTCTCACACGAGTCTTGGCATAATGATATCAACTGACCATATCAACCTTAGTTCGCTTCACTCGTCATCAATAGCATTGGCTACGACAAGTACCAGACCATGCTCTACACTGCTCCATCCGGTACGTCTTTCTTTTAGATGAATTTCAAGGCTGTCGTGTCTAATACGTTTACAGGCGCGGTTCAAATTGCAATGTTGTGGATTGGTGTCTGCGGTTGCATGCTCTTCCCCAAGCAGCGAAGTCTGGTCGCTCTCGTTCTCATCCTGCCGCCTCTTATTGGAAACGTCCTCCTTATGAAACTGTCAACCAATGCCGGATGGGGTATGATTGCTGCATCCTGGATTGTAAGTCAACCACACTTAACGCGGCCTCTTACTAGCTTACTGACCTGGCACAGGCATCATGCATCACAGCTGTTTGGTCCATCCTTCTCTCACTCACGGCCTCAAACGTCAAGGGAAACACGAAACGCGCCATCATCAACGCAATGTTCTTCGTCGGGTACTGTGCAGGCTGCATTGGCGCACCTCAGCTCTGGACTAAGAAGCCGCGATACTTCAATGGTGTCGTCACAGCAATTGTCACATGGTGCTTGCTGTTTGTCGAAATCATCGTGTACAGATACCTTTGTGCAAAGGACAACAAAAAGAGAGACGCTGCCCAATCCGATGGTCAGGAAATTCAGAGCCAGAATGAGGTCATCCTGGATGCAGGCGGTGCCCCTGAGAGCGACTTGACGGACAAACAGGACAAGCTCTTCAGATACAGTATCTAAGTGCGCGATGTTGTGAGAGTAAGGCTGAGGTGCCTGGGCAGTAAGATCTTTGAGAATATGGCACCGGAATCATTACAGCCTCGTAGGGAAGCAGGTAGTTAATCTCTATTCAATGTTTAATTTACTTTCTGAAGGTCGCGACGCTCCATAAGCACCCACTTCAAGGACTTCCCTCTCGCCTAATTTTTCTTGGCATCTACTGTTAGTGTAATAAGTGGGCCACCACCAAAATCCTTAACAGCTGAAAACCCTTTACCTCTCCTCCAGCGCCCTCCCGCGATGGCCTCGTAGCCTCCGGCGGGCTCTGGACCGTTACCGGCCTCCTTGGCCGGCCCTGGTCGAGGCTCTAGACCCTCTTTAGAGCCGCCCCTATCCTCAAGGGCTAAACGCCGCCGCGAAACTGAGGCCCAGCCACTCCGGCCTAGCCTCGCGGGAAGCCAGCCCGACGCCCCAACAACAACCCCCTTAACGGCTAAGGGGCCCTCGACTATAACTGGGACAGCTACTGGAGCTGTCCTTACAGCTCTTAATAAAGAGGCTAAGCACTATGAAGCCCGAAAGGACGTCTTTATGGCTATTACTCAGTCTATGGACAACATGATCTCTTACTTTGAGGGGCCTAGGAAGCAGATTGCAAAAGAAGCTACAACCTATGTAATCCAAGCCTTGAAGAGGATTATGGGTAACGAGACTACGGCCCCGGCTCCGAGCCGGAAATGGACTGACGTAACAGCCTCGGCTTCAACTACAGCCGTGGCCATAGCCTCGACCCGTACCCGAATCCCCACCCGGCCCGATGTCCAGACACAGAGTCTGACGGAGACCCGGGCCCAGGCTCTATCCCAACCGAAGGAGGACCTCCGGGTCTTTACCCGTATCCCAGAAGAGGGCCTAGCGGCTACTAGGAAGCACGCCCCCTTCGCCCTACGCCGGACAGTCTGCCAGGCCCTTAGGCTCCAGCTGGTAGATATCCTATATATTTACCATATTGCAACTGTTTACTTACTAAGACCCCTGAATAAGCAGGTCCAGCAAGCCCTCCTTATAAACAAACAGAAACTAGTAGAGTATCTTAGAGCCTATAAGGTTAAGACCCCTACTAAGTAGTTTACCTACGTCGTCCCACGTTGCCCTACTAACGTCCGTCACCCACTTCCAGGCCCCCCCCCCCCACACTTCCGGGCCCCCCCAAAATGACTCACCGCCATTTTCATCCCCTAACAACAAACTTGAATATCTTCATCATTTCCTTATCAGTCCCTTTGAACTTTTATCTATATACTATTTTTTAGTTGATGAAGCAATATACAGAAGTTGACGTTAGCTAAGCCCTTGAGGCTATAGCTAACGGATAAAGCCTTAAGAAGGCATCCCTTGAATCGGGTATACTAAGGTCAATACTTCAACGCCGAATCCGAGGAGCTTAGTTAAGAGATACTGCCTTTTCCAACCAGCAGAGGCTCTCTCCTACCTAGGAAAGCAATCTAGCTGAATGGGTTCGAATTCAGGCTGCCCTGGGCCTGCCTCCAACCCATCAACAACTCAAGAATTTTGCTGAGCGTATCCTATAGATCTATGGAGACCCCTAGCCTCTTGGGAAGAACTGGGTTTAGTCTTTTATTAAGAGAAACCCATCTGTAAGGGTCTAGAGAAGCAGAGCAATCGATTCCTAGCGGATTAATGGAGCCTTAATTAATGTTATTAGGTAATGGTTTAAGCACCTCGCTATCCCTGAGATCATGGCTATTAAAGCCTCTAATCGATATAATATGGATGAAACTGGTATTCTAGAAGGTAGAGGATCAAACGGTCTTGTTCTTGGATCATCAGAAACTCGTTCTATCCGTAAGAAATAGCCTGGATTGCGTGCTTGGATATCTCTGATCGAGTGTATCTTTGTAACTGGTAAGGTACTGCCTCTACTTGTTATATATAAGGGCAAGTGTTGGAATAGGCCTACATTAGGCAGCAGGAGGTTGCTGCCGCGGTCCGTTCCAGCCACGGTGGTCCGTGTGGCTCAGCCACACGAGGGTGGTATACCCCAGACTTCCTGCCGCCGCTGGCACCTGGTTAGACTTCCACTGAAGAACAACAAGAACAAGCAATATCACCACTACAGTCGGTGATCGTTGCTACCCACGATACTCGAGTATTTTCCTTTTCCACCTGTGAATCCAACAGCAAGAATGTCTAGTAGCAGTGGTTCCCTCTAGATCTAAAGCTATACGAACCCTGGAGGTTCACAGCAATAGAAAACGGCTGGACTTTAGACTCTATAGCTGTCAAGTGGTTAATAGAGGTCTTCATCCCTTCAACCCAGCCAGCGGACCCCTCAGAGGTCAGATTATTGATCCTGGATGGTCATGGAAGCCATGAGATAACGTATTTCATGTATATTTGCTTCAAGAACAAGATACACTTGCTCTTCTTGCCAGCACATACGTCCCTCTAGATCAGGCCGTTTTTGGCCCCCTTAAGGCAGCATACAAGAAGGAGCTTGGATTACGTGCCGAGTGGGATGCTAGCACAGTTGTAGGCAAGAGAAACTTCATTATATGCTACAGCAAGGCACGCAAGGCAGCCCTGACAAGCAAAAACATCATCAGTGGCTGGAAATGGACTGGATTGTGGCCTGTTAGTATGGCTAGACCC